TGAAAGGTGTCCGCCACTAAGCGACCTTGAGAGGAGTTGAGAAGAGTTTTCTATGGTTATGCCAAACTCTATTGATAAAGGAAAAAGCCCTCACTCTGGACATAAATAGTAGAAGATCTTCTATTATGGAAGAGTTGGAAGGGGGAAAAAAAAAACCGAATACACATCACTATTCCTTTTACTACTGCCAATCTAACACTTGTAGTGCAGCGCAGCGCACGCCCATCTTTTGCTTCGTCACCGTGGTCATGGTTACATAATCGCTAATTTCCCACCACAGGGTCCCAGCCAACAACTGCCGCACTTTCTTGATCATTACAATAGTTCAATTATTCAATCGGCTCGAAGGCCCTGCTCTTTTTCTGACGAGCACGAAACGAAAAAAACAGACCGCAACGCTACATCCAGTGTATTTTGCCCACAAACTCCTCGCGCGCGTCGATCGATCGTCAAGACCGGATGCTCTTGCCAAAAAAAGACGAAAAACCTCCCAAGATATCGCGAAACGATGAGCCCTCCTCCACACGACGACCTCTCTTCCCTGGCCGAGCATCCAGCTCTGGCATGATACACGCACATCACGTCTACTTGCTGTTCATGGCGACAAAGTTGACCGCCTGGTCAACGTAGTCCTGCTTTTGGAAGTAGCCCAGGTGGACCGTGAGGTTCTGGCCCGAGGCGCAGAAGAGGTCCGTCTCGTCGCAGAAGGAGATGAACTTGGACGTCAGACCTTGGCAGGCGCCGAAGTCTTGGCGGGGGAAGATCTGGTGGATGGTCAGCTACGTCGCGATTTGCCGGCAGAAGGAGGGGAGGACTTACGCCATTCTTCTTGGCGGTGCCCTTCTGGAAGGGCTGCGTTGCGATGCTGGTTGGGTCGCCGACCAAGACGACGGCTGCGACTGCGCAACATGTCAGCATGAGATACATCCCAACTTGGGGCAGGGCACTTACTCTTGTTGCCAAGCATCGGTGCTTGCGCCTGTGTGGCGTTGAAGTTGGGCCCGTCTGTCGTTCCGCAGAGAGTATCAAGCGAAACTTGCGCTCCCTAGGACATGTCAGCGCTGGTTTCCGCCACCGAACGCACAAGACCTTACCTGAGAGTATCCCATCAACACAAACTTGGTATTAGGGCACGCCTGGGCTTGCGAAGTGAGGAGCTGTGTCATATTGCCGACGCCGGCAGACACTGAAGGCGGGTACGGGTCAAGCTGCGCAGGATACACCAACGGCGTGATGATGGAGCCGGGAATCGCCATCGACGACTTGTTGGCGATGTTGCCGAGGAGCCCGGCACCCTGGGCCTCGAGACTGCCGCGGGCAACGACGATCTGGACCGGTGCGCATGGCGCCGGCGGCTGCTGCGGCTGCGGCAGGGCGAGGACCAGAGGGGCAAGGCACGCAAGGGCCGACAGGCTCAGTTGGTGATGCATCTTTTTCGCTGCCGGAGGATGAACTCGAGAGATTCAGAGAAGAATCCGTGCGTTTGAAGGGTCCAGCTGGTTTGAAGAAAATAAAGGCTAGCGAGATTGTGATGGGCTGACGGGGCATCTACTCTAGGCCGTCTCGGGGGTGATCAAGGCCTTCTTGTATTGCGCCCATCGCAGAGCCTCAGACGAGACGACATCCATGACACAGCCGCGGCATCTCTGTCATTGCCCCATGTGGATGGAATGGTGTGGTGGTGGTGTGCGAAAGCGAGGGAAGGACGGGAGGGAATGCACTGCACACGTCTGTTCGCGCATGGCATCACTGGCTGAATATCACAGGTTTGCAGGACTCCACATGGAAGAAACTCCAGGGTCTCATGCTGTTCAGGGTTTTGGTTTTGGAATTCTTCGGCATCCCACCTTCTATCCAATCTCATCGGAGAGGCCCTTGGGCGGCCTTGACAGTGACATTGCCCAGTCGAAGAATGCCAGGAATAGGCGGCCCGAGCTCGCAGCGAACCTCTCGCATCTCTTCGCTCCTCTATCGAATCGAGCGCGACTTTGCCCCGACTTGGGGAGATCTGCGACTTTTCCCCAAAGAGGCAATCGGCGAGAGCTGAGGCCCCCCCTTGTCGCTGTCGAGCGACAGGTTGTTGGGGCGGACAGTGCCATTGCTGCCGCGAACCCGGAAACACCACCGAGATGGGATGAAACCCAAGCAGCATGCAGCCGCGGCTCAACACGAACGTTCGTTTACAAATATGCCAACACTTGCGGGAGCCGAACAACCTAGCCAACCAACACAACCCTCTCCGCCGTCATCAAACCATCTAACCAATAGCCGCTGCCTGCCAAACAACACACCACACCACAACACACCCTTCCTTTCAAGCAAAGTCTGGAGCCGCCCAAACCCTCTTCCCCGCGAACCAAGTCGCCTTGATCTCCCCCTTGAGCAGACCCTGCGGTGACCAGTCCATATCTGCAACCACAAAGTCAGCGACCTTGCCCTCCTGCAGGCTCCCAATCCGATCTTCCGCGAACACGCTCTTGGCCGTCCCATACGCCCCGGCCGTGATGGCCTCGCACACGCCCAATTTGAAATGCTCATTCACCACCACCTCGTAGCCCGGCTCCCTCGCGGACCGCCTCGTCGCCGCGATGTACGCGTTCTGCAGCGGCGCCCAGGGCGCCGTGGGCCCGTCGGATCCGAGTGCGAGCAGCGCCCCGTGGTCCGCGAACTCGCGGTACGCGAATGCGCGCTCGCAGCGCCGCGCGCCAATCAGCCGCGGCCACGCCTTGAGGATAGCGGGGTCCGCGTGGACGGGTTGTACTGACGCCGTGAGCCCCAGCTCGCCCAGGCGGCGCGCGTCCGCCGGCGAGGCCATCTCGATGTGCTCGATGCGGTGGCGGCGGCCCGGGGTTGCGTGTGTGGCCAGCGCGTCGACGGCCATCTTGATCGCGGCGTCGCCGATGGCGTGCAGCGCGATCTGCAGCCCGGCGGCGTCGGCGCGGGCTACCACGGGGTTGAGATCTGAGGCGTTCCAGAAGGGCGGCGGGGAGCCGGCCGCGGCGTAGGGCTCGGAGAGGTAGGCTGTGCAGGCGTCGATGATGCCGTCGGTGATGACTTTGATGCCCACGATGCGTAGGTCGGGCGAGGTTGTCTTGTTGAGTTCTGTGTGCAGCTCGATGGCGCGGTCTACCTGCTTGAAGCGCTCTTCTTCTGTCTCTGAGGGCTTGATGAGCCAGTAGGCGTGAATCCTCATCGGTAGGTCTGGTTCCTCGGCGCGGAGCGAGCACACGGCGTCCCATGCCGGCTCATCCATGGCCATTTCGATGAGGCCCGTGTAGCCTGATGCATTGTACGATTCCACCGCCCCCTTGATGGCGTCCATCCTGTCCCTTTTAGGCGCGGCCTGTGCAAGATGAGGCCAGACGAGGGTAAGCACCGCCGCCTCGCTCAGCAAGCCCGTCGCCTTCCCCTCCGCGTCGCGATGGATCTTCCCTCCCACGGGATCCTTCATGTCCTCAATGCCAAGTTCCTTTACCGCCGCCGTGTTGCACCACGTAGAATGCAAGTCCTTGGTATCAATAAAGATGGGCCGTGGGTCAATATCGTCCAGCATATGCCTGTCCACACCACCCGGCGTGACGTGCTGCGTCCACAGCTTGCACATGATGCGTGGCACATCCGGGTTCGCAGCCGCGAAGGCCTTGATGGCGACGCGGATCTCCTCGAGGGAGGTGCACGCGTCGAGGGACAGCTTGCGCAGCCCTTGGCCGAGGAGGAGTAGGTGCATGTGGCCGTCGATGAAGCCGGGCAGCACGGTGCGGCCGGCGAGGTCGGTGACGCGGGCGGTGGGGTTGGCGGAGGCGAGGTCGGCGGCGGCGCCGACTGCTGCGATGCGCCCGTCGGCGACGAGCATCGCCTCGGCGAAGGTGGGCTCCGTGGTGAGTGTTGCTGAGGGGTTGAGGAGGAAGACGCGGGCGTTTGTGAAGAGTTCGGGCGGTGGTGGTTCGGAGGCCATCTTTGCGGTGGTTTGCGCTTTCCGGCGTTGCTCCTTCTGTATGTGATGCGATGAAAGATGCAGTGAATGATACGGTGAAAATATGACCAGAATGCAAGAAAAAATTCTAAAAAAGATGCAGGGATTGATGAGAGTGACAGTCTGGTGTGTGAAGTGTGAGGTGATGTGTTCTTGAGGGAAATTATCGGCTTTATGACTCGGGGGGGGCAGGAGCGAGTCGCGTGGGTTGCGAGGGATCTGGTGTGACGTTCGTGGCGGAACCGCGGGGTTTAAAGCGGGATGGACGGGGCCGCTTTTTGATCTGATAAGATCTTTGCCATGTTTGGGGCTGTTTTCCACCGGCACGCTATCTTTTTCTGGCTTCCTTCGGCCATAGTCGGTGTTTCGGTGTGCAGCGGGTGGCTCACCGAGGTGGCTGCTCTTGCCTCGGTGAGAATTGCGGTGGAAGCAGCAACCTCAGCTCCTGCTTTCCCAGAAGGATGTGTTCAACACGCGGAAGTCACCAGCAGGTGGCTACTTACCCCATCAAAGAGCTTTCCTTGGCTGAGCTACTAGGTGCTTTTCTCAGTGCCGTCTTCGCTCAGACCAGTCTAATTTTCCACCATTCCGTTTGTATTAACACCATAACTTCAACTTTCACAACCGCGACATTCAAGTGACCTGGCGCCTTACCTTCATGAATATCCGAGGTTTTTCAAGCTCTCCAGACTCAAATGCTCTCCACAGCTTCCTGATTTGCACGGCAACTTCTGCTAGGGGCACTTCCTTTCTGCCGTCATCCTTTTCAAGTCTTCTCTTACCACGAGCAGATTTCCACAAGGGCACGAACTTCGTCTTTGCAATTAACCTAAGTCATTTCAAGAAGTATTCACCTCTTCAGCTTTCACCTTGCTCCTTCCCAGAGCTCCACGGCTGCCTGGCCGCCGCGAGACCCACTTGCCTTGCAATCGACTTCTCTTTTGTTCACCCTCTTTCCCTTCTTCCCTCATCGCTTCCATCCTACGACTTTCATTGCGCCATTTCGTCTCACTCAGTCTCTCACTCGAGTCTTTTCCAGCTTCCGAAATTTTCCGGGACCTATGATCAGAATTAGACGAGAGCCTGAAGCATTCGCAGCTATTCTTCAAATTACCTTCGACCGTAACATTCCAGTTGCCGCCCTCGCTCCTTCTTTGCAAAGGTCCATCACCAGCGCCGAGACAATTGCACGACACTATCTATAACTCGCCATCGAAATTTCACCATGCCTCCCGGTTGGCCCATCAAGATTGAGCCTATCCACGGCGGCGAGCTACTCAGGGTTCCTTATGTTCGGCAACCGCTTGCCAACATGACCTTCTCACTTCTAGACAGGCTCAAGTACGAAAACAATCCAGATGTCTGGGAAAGACACGTTGCAAAGGCTTTGCCTATCCTGGATAGGCTGGAGCCAATCTGCAAGAGCATGTCATCTTCACCGAGGCTCAGCAGGGAGATGAGAGTTGCTGCTACGAACTGGGTGAACGACATTGGTGCGGTCCGGCAGCGAGCTGCGCAGAGAAGCAAGATTGTCATTGGTGTGTTTGGCGGCACGGGTGACGGAAAGAGTTCAACCATCAACGCTCTGCTGGATGAGGCTAGGTAAGACTTCTTCCCAAGCATTGATATCAGCTAGTCCTAATATCCTTCAGTCTGCTCCCCACCAATTGCATGCGGGCCTGCACCGCTTGCGTCACCGAGATTTCTTACAATGATGATGACGACCCCGAGAATCCATACCGAGCGGAGATCGGCTTTGTCTCGCCAGAAGACTGGATGCGTGAGATTCGAACATTTCTCAAAGAGGTTGCTGCCAACAACGTTCAACCGTATGGTGACGAGGATGAGGATGAGATGGACTTGGACGCGAGCGAGGCTGCCGAGTCTGTTGCCAAAGTCTGAGCTGTCTATGCCAACATTGACAACGAAGTCCTGTTGGAAAGCAGCTAATCAGACATCCGAATGTCTATTGGGTCCTTGGAACCACTCGGACATTCAAGGCTGCTACGGGAACGGACCTCCGCCGACAAGTCGAACGCTACATCGACTCAACAGATGAGAATGATGACGAAACCGTCGCCTACTGGCCTTTGGTCAAGGCCGTCCGAATTTTCACACGCGCAGAGGCACTGTCCAACGGAGTGACAATCGCAGACCTGGTAAGCCCCAACATACCGCGGAGGAGGAGCTTCTAGCTGACCCATGGTTACAATTATCACAGCCCGGCACTCATGATGCAGATGCCGCCAGAGCATCTATGGCCAAAGAATACATGAAGTCCTGTGCTGCTATCTGGATTGTGGCCCCCATCCATAGAGCAGTCGACAACAAGACAGCCAGAGACTTGCTCAGTGACAATTTCAAGCACCAGCTCAATCTTGATGGGTCCTTCTCGTCGGTTACCTTCATCTGCACCAAGACGGACCAGATCAGCCTCAGCGATGCGATGAACAATTTGAAGAGGCATCTGGACCCCGAGATCATCAAATACCGGGAAAAGGCTGCCACGCGTCGGCAGGAGATCAAGCTTTTGAAAAAGAAGATCCTGAACCTGCGAATGAGCTCGGGCTTGACGGAAGACTCAGAGGACGACATCGACACGCATCAACCTGCGAAGAGAGTCAGGATTGAGCGAATTGACGAGTACAGAAAGCAACTGGAGATAGCCGAGAATGACCTGAATGACCTTGATGAGATGGTCCGCATGGCATGCATTCAGAAGCGAAATGACATTTCGCGTGACACCCTAAGAAACTACTTCAACCGCATCGTCAGAGAGTAAGTCAAAAGTGCGACTCGTCCCACGACATGAAGAGAGCTGACGAATGGTATTCAGGGCTCGCCAAAAGAGCAGTCTCAGAAGGAACGACACTGGAAATGCACAACTGGAGGATGATATTTCTGGCAATCTTCCCGTCTTCTGCACAAGCAGCCATGCATACCAGGCCTTGAGAGGTCTTTCGGAGGACGACATGGATGAATTTCGCGGGTTCTTCGATAACGCAGACACGGATATTCCACAGCCTCAAAGTCATGCACAAACCGTAACCAATGAGCTACGAATTGCGAAGCAGAGAGAAGTACTGGCTGGTATCTACCAGGTCCTCAACTCCGTCTCTCTTTGGACACAGAACACCCCAGATTTAGCAGCAGCGTTGAGCAGCGACACCTTGTCCTCATTGCTCGACACATTTGAGAGGGTAAGTCAGCTAGGTGTGGCGTGTAGGGAGGTCGTGATACTGACTTCTCTTCATACCATGAGTGCAACGATAAATGTTTGCCTCGACCATATCCAACATAACCTGAACGGACTCTTCGAGACAGCCCATCAGGCAGCCAGAGTTGCTGAAACAGAGGCTGCTTTGATCGTCTTCAATTGGTTTTTGCCAAAAAGATCAGGTGGTATCTATCATTCGACCTTGAGGGCATTGGTGGTTCGACGTGGCGTCTGGGGGCCATGGAATCTCAACGAAGAACTTCTTGAGCCGTTCTCCCACAACATACTCTACCAATGGGCTGGCGTGTTCCAACGAGATGTCCCTGGCCATTTGGATGACTTTCTTGTGGATGCGGTAGAGCTTCTCTCAAGGACTCACGACCGCATCATGCGCAAGCTTCGAGAGACTGCGGGCGAAGACTTGCGCCTTCGTGGGCAACTGGATATGCAACTCAAACTTCACAAAGACGGCCTCAAGCGTATCAGCGCTGAAGTCAAGAACACTGTCAATCGCGCTCAGAAGCTGGCCAGTCGAGAGCCCTTGCAGGTTGTTGGAGCCTTCATGAATGCTGGCTATGGCCATTGCATGAACGAGAAAGGTAACATCCATTTTCACAAGGTTCGATAATTCAGAAAGCTGACATGAAGAATACACAGAAAAGGGAATGATGAAGCGCATGAGAAATGTGCTCTCGGATCATCTTGCCGTATACGAGAGAGACATGTTCTTTGCAGTTACCAGTGTTCCCGAACAAGTACTCCAAGAGGCAGCCCGCAACGCTTCGGATATCTTGGTGGATAGGGTTGGAGTGATTTTGCGCACGATGCGCACCGACTACGTGGTTGCGTTGGCGAAGCGTGAGGAGTCTGCGCGTCGCGCGGAGGCTCTCTTCAAGGACAAGATGGTGGAAGTTCTCAAGTTTGCGCAGCCTTTGATTCGATGAGATGGAGAGAGATGGGCAAGACGGATCATGGATAATGGCACGGCTGCCATATCACAGAGAACATGGTAGTTCAATGATTGTTAGATACCACATAGCGATTAGCTTAAGTAGTACCCAGGCCCCTAGTAAGGCCTGAGACCAGGAAACTCAAGACATTTTGTCACATTCACCTCCCTAACTTTGTTCATCTTGAAGCAATTTTGAAGTCGGTCGCACTGATGCCAAAACCGAGGTGGGAGAAAGTGTGGACATCTTTTCCATGAAACGTGACAAGTACCTAGCTGCTGATGCTGGGCGTGAAACCCTCAAACGACAATAGCCAGTTACCCGCGTGGTGCTTAGGAAGGAAAATGTGACATCAAAGCCATTTTAACTCATAATTGACCCCATAGCAACAGCTTCGAAAGACGTGAGGTACACAATGAAGCCACGTTTTCCACGACATGTTGACGTATGCACAGACGCGCTTCCATCTAGCTTGCACCCAATTGCCTTCCATATTATAGAAGTCTTCGCGGGGGGCCAACAACAGCTAAGAGATGGACAAGAGTCATCAAAACGACAAAAAGCTGATACCGCCTGGCAAAAATATTCCATATCAAGACGTATCATTGTTGGTCTAGTCCAGTAACTCGCAATAAAACGGTCTAACCCAGCCACCATGACCAAAGTCTCACATCAGCTTACGGAGACGCCCAAATGAGCGAGTCGTAAACCATAATCCACGATCTAATTCGTGCATTACATGCAGTCCTGGCAACGTTCATATAGCCTATTATCCTCATTACTTGGCTTGAAATTGCTCCGAGGTGTACCCCTGAGGGGCTACCACATTTAGGACAGACTCTCGCGCGTCGTCCCGACCGATGAGAAGATGGATTTCCCTCTTCCTTCCGTTGCCCTGTTCATGAATAAAGTGCTCTCCACCGTTTATCCTAAACCTTCCATCATGCCTTCTTCATCCTCCGATAAGGATCCTCAAGCTGCTGACCTAGTGCCAGTGGACTACTACATCCGCAAACAGAAGCCGTTGCCGACTGATCCAACTATCAAAGCTTACGTCCAGACAGTCCTCGAAAACGGCTACGTTGTAATCCCAAACGCATTCACCGAGGCCGAAGCCAAAGATGCTGTCGCCGAAATCGACCGCCTCCACGGCAAAGATCCCAAAGGCGGCATGCACGCCTTTGACGGATTCAAGACGAACCGCATCTTCTCCCTGCTAGGCAAGACCCGCACCTTCGACAAGTTCGTGCTTCTGCCACAGGTTTTGGCTCTGAACGACTACTTCCTCGACGAGGATTACCTCATCTACATCATGGAGACGATCGTCATCAACCCGGGCGAGAAGAACCAGGTCCTCCACCACGACGATAGTGTTACGCACCTGCCGCGCCCGAGACCGTCTGTCACGGCGGCGACGATGATTGTGCTGGATGACTACACCGAGACAAATGGCGCCACGCGCATCATACCCGGGTCGCATCTCTGGGGGAGTGATAGGATCGGGGCGGAGCATGAGGCGATTCCGGCGGTGTGCCCCAGGGGAAGTGTGATTTACTTCTTGGGCACGACGTGGCACTCTGGCGGGGCGAATCGCAGCCAGAAGCCGAGGTATGCGGCGACAATTCAGTACTGTCAGCCATATATTCGGCCGATTGAGAACTTGATGATTGGGATCGATCCGAGGAGGGCGCTTTCGGGAGAGATTCCGAAGAAAATTGTGGATATGATGGGGTACCGGAGTGCGATTCCCTTCATTGGATATGGTGAGTGTCAGCTGCACTTCAAAAAACTTCGTGAATTGTGCTGATCATGGTTTTAAACGACAGCTGATGGGATGAATCCACGCAAGGCGACACAGCGGATGATAAGGTGGCTTCAGGGGCCGGTCGATCGGGAGCCACCAACATTTCCTAGCGAGAAGGGAGACAAGGAGGTTCACGTTATCAGCAAATTGTAAAGGTTTATGCTTGGGATGTGCATTTAAAGCTGACGTTTGATATAATGGTGCTATTCAATCACCAACATCTTTCATTGAACTCCTGTCCCGTTCCACGATCCCTAGATCCTCTTCGAGTCGCTCATCTACAATATGTCATCACAGCCTTCTACTTTGATGTAGACCCTTATCTTTGCACGGCCATTATTTAGTCTTCTGCTTCTTGAAGCCAACCTCCGCAAGAAACGAGACCCTCGCAATCGTCACTCCAATCGTGATGATCATCCCCACCCAGTCCCCGGCCTGCCACGTGGTCGGGGACAGGCGACCTTGGTTCCCAAACACCTCGAAGGTGCCTGCAAGAAGTGAAAGGTCGATCGCTAGAATAGCTGCTTGGGCGATCTTCCACACACCGATGTCTTTTGTATATCGTAGGAGGACGCCGTTGAGGATGGCACAGCCAACCATGGCTCCGCCGCCCTGGTATAGAAGGAGATCGTGGGCTGCATCGCGCGTTCCGGTGTGGGATTCGAGGAAGAACTGGTCAAGCATCCAGTCGCGCGTGAAGAAGGACATGAAGGCGCCCCATAGCGCGCACGGGGGGTCCCAGTAGAGGAAGACGGCTTTGTAGATAGAGGGGATCTGGGTAGTCATTATGAAACGGTGATAGCTTGCAAACGTGGTTAAAGTTCAAGAATATCCGTCAGCGCATGGCCGCAGGGAAGGATACAGCAGCTTATTTAAACCCCCGACCGATTGCGCCCAGCTTTTGAGGGTTGGTTGCGGGCGGCGAATGCTGGAAACTGCTTAGTGCTGACATCTGGGCGACAAAGTGCTTCCTTCTCAGAGAGTAACTCCCCATACAAGCAGGAAATGGACCTTTGGTGCTGCAGCCAGATACCAGTTTTCTTATTCGTCTGCTGACGGTCGTCATATGTGTTTCGGAAATGAACGCCCAGGAATCAGGACGTTCACTTTCAGCCTAATGACCAAATGCCGCAGACGTCTAACAACGATTTGAAATCAGATCCAATGCATTCTTTCTGTTCTATCTTGCAATGTTGTTTTTTTGCAAGTTGAGCTATTCGCGAGAAAGGTCTGATGATGTTCCACTCCTCAATCCCGCTCATCAGCCTCCATGCTCATACTCGGTCATCTATGGATAGCATCCAAGGCAGCCTCTCAAACATCATCCTTGACCTTTACACCCCCACTGTCGACGAGAACCCTGGTCTTTTGCAGACTTCGTTTCACCGGCTTAGGGTCGTTGAAGATCTCCTCAATCTCTTCGAGAGTACGCTCCTTCGTCTCCACGCATGCCATGTACATCAGTACTAGATGGACGAAGTGGAGTACAAGAAAGATAGTATAGGTCTTCCAGCCGATATGCTTCAGAGATACGGAAGTTCCGTATGTGTTGATGAAACTGGCAACTCCCGAGATGAATCCCTTGACACCCATACCCTTCGCGCGGATCTCATTATTGAGGATCTCGGATGGGTACAAGGCTTGCAGAGGCGTCCAGCAAAATGACCAGAAAATGCCGTAAAGAAAGATCATTGCAATGAAAGAATATGCTTGCGACGTGGGGAGGGAGCCTTCTTCGCTGTTCTCGGCTCTGGCCGCGAGCACATTGATAGGGATGTAGACCAAGCCGGTAAGGAACGTGCCCCATAAGAAGAGGGGACGACGACCAACTTTGTCAACAAAGAAGGACCCGCAGAGACCACCGACGAAAGATGTGACTGTGTTAAGTCCGTTGAGAAGCAGTTGGCGGCGAGAGTCCGTAATCCCGATGCCTCTTACCATGGCGGGGAGGTAGTACCTGGTAGAGTCGGTTTAGCTAGTGCGTTCCCCATGGAAATACTGAAGTCTCTACTTACGAGATGACTGCCCCGCCGATGAATTGGGCAAAGACCGCAACAAGCATCACAAGCCACATGCGGTATCGGTTTGGATGATTGTTGACGAGAATCTTGTAATTCCAATTATGATTGTTCATCTCCTGTTCACGCTCGAGAGACTCTTGAATCTCGTCGATTTCGAGCTTGACGAGAGCCGAGTTTGGGTTCTTGTTGCCGTGATATTTGGTCAAGATTGACTTTGCTCTTTCAGTCTTTCCTTGAGACCAGAGCCATCGAGGGCTCTCGGGGAGGAACCAGGCCAGGGACACAACAATAGTGGCTGGAGTAAGCTGTACGATGTATGGAATGCGCCACGACCAATCGTTGGGAATGAAGTTTGTACCGTAGCATGTCCATGCCGCAACTACGCACAAGTAGTCAGAAGCTTTGCCTCAATATTCGAGCGTAGGATCCAGATGAGCACGTACTATTCGCGCCGATGTACCAGCCAAGAACATTGTACAAGCCACCAGCGAGACCGCGCCAAGTTGGGTAGGCAATCTCGACGAGGAAGACGGGCGCAGAAGTTGCGCACATTGGAGTTCCAATACCAACAATAAAGCGGCCGACGAAAAATTGGGGGAGCTGATAGCTGCTTGCCTGAAGGACGGAACCGAGGATAATGGATGTGGCCCCGGAGAACATGCAGGCTCGACGTCCCCATCGGTCCATGATGTAACCGCACGCAAGACTACCCACAATGTTTCCAACGGTGTATATGGAGAACACTGCACCGTTCAGCTCGCCAGTCAAGCCAATCTTGAAGCGATCTTGGAAGGGGTCCATGGCGTTGATAGCGCTCATGACTGAGCCATCGTAGCCATTCATGACTCCGTCTGAAGTCGTGATGTTAGCTCAAGACCTCGATGCATCTGAACTGTTTCTGCAACTTACTGAGAACGCAAAGTGCCATCATGGCATACAAAGTCATCTGCGTCGCCGACTTGTAGTCGGGCTTATCTTTGGCGATGGCATCAGCGAGCGCAACCGACTGGACATTTACTTGCTTCACATGGCGATTGCTGAGATCGCCCTTCTCGGCTTCCACCGCAGAGGTAGTCGCCTCGATATGATGCTCTGTCGCCGAAGTGTGCTTCTCCATGGCTATTATTTCGGGTTTCACAGGTTTGCCATCCCGAAAACTGCCATCCATGTCTGAGAAGGTCCACCCCGCAGTCTTTATACCTTCGCCTGCAAAACCTCCAACAGGTGCCGACACGGTATCTACGGATTTTACACCAACAGAAACACCTTTTAAGGAGCGGGTAATCTCAAGCCAAGGCTTCGGGTGGAGTGAAATGTCTAGACTCTGTCACCCCTGGTCTTCCCCAGAACCCCGCATGCACCTCATCGCGCCTTCGTTGGGCCCCAATGGGACACTGGACAACGTTGATACGCCGTTACCCACACATTGTCGCCCGCCAAGACGGCAATGTAAATTTCCGTTTTTGTTTCCGGCATCGGGCCAGTCTGCTGACAACCGCATGCTGCATATAATCCCTGGTAGACAGACGGCAATAGGGTAGACGGCAAGTGAACCGACATAAGCCTATGCGTGACTGTATGTGAGCCGAGCATTTTCCGACAAAACGGCATCCATTGGAATTGAACTATGCCACAATTGAGTTCAGACTAGTCCCAAAAACCATCCCGATTGACAGACAAATCGTACTGGTCTGATCTAAGGCAACCATTGCAACAAAGTACATCTTCTTTGCAGCGTGCCACGTCGAATGGGGATAACACAGAGATGTTGTGAGGTGTTGCGAAAACATCAGCCGATGCAGAAAGACAAGTGGTGGATTGTCAGTTCCAGTTGTCAAGTCAGTGGTGGCAAAAGACGAACATCCACAAGAGCTATGTGATGTCTTACTCCTCCACCAGACGTCCCTTTCGCGATCTCCGGAAGTGAGCAATTACCTGCAGGGTCGGTACTTTCTGCGTGGTGACTTCCATCCCCTTTGACAACTTCTGGGCCTCCAGAAGGAGAAAAGGATCTGAATCTCTTCCAAAAGCCTGTATGGGATCGAATAACACAAGGGACACATGATGCACATCGAGTCAGATCCACCGCGTAGTTAGTGGCTGCGGTATATGCACAGGGTCTCAGCTGGAGTCTCACTCCGGGAGAGACATTCTGCACCCAAAGAGCAGCTCGGCATAGAGGCACGCGAGCCTGGAAATTGAAGTTAGCGTAGAGCATCGATCACAATCGGGCCGCACCTTGAGCATATGCCGACAACGATGCTTGCGGCAGCCATCACATAGTTCGGTGGCTTCTATGTGTCAAAGACAAACTCGATAAAGTGGCATGCAGAAGATGGATGTGCGTGGCTTTTAGCCGTTAACCGAGCCTCGGAAACACGCCTGTCTCAGGAACAAAATATAATCTACCGACTCCAACTATCAAGGCCGAGACACACGGCCAGACCGAGCGGGCTGCCGCAAAGGGAAAGGCTCTGCGTCTGAAAACGCTTGAAACTCAGCCAGAGAATAACTCGAAAGAAAGATCTTTTGTCTCAAATAAGTGCTGAAGTGGTATCTCAGCATATGTCACAGAGTGACTGAACGAATGTTGCATTCAGTATCATCAAAAAGGAAACATTTCAGCTGTCATCGGACAAACTGTATCAGTCGTGCTTCCTTGCAAAAGAAGGTGGCGCATTAGCTAATCGTACATGTACGCCATTGAGGTCCCAAAATGCACATACCGCTCGCTGTAGAAACTAGGTATGGCCGGGGGGATCATCCCGTATATTGTGATCAAACGTCAAGTTAGGTTGTAGTTACCCAATTGCGGACCAGCCGAATATTCACCACGTATAAATCAACGCGAGGGACCTCCCCGTGATCAAACCTCAATAAAACCAGTAGCAACTGCTGTTAAAGGTGGACTTTCATCTGGCACTGCAAAACATTCATCGTCGGCAATATGTCCAATACCTTGGCTCACGACGGAATTTCTCATCAACCCTGCGACTCGACAACGTCAACTGCCCCAACGGGCTTGCCGTCCACAAATGACAGGACAGGTGGCCCCGATCATGCGAAACATCAATTTCCAGTTGAAGATTACCACCGTACAACAACACAGCCATCTACCGGTCACACTCTCCTCAGCGCTTGGTGGAGTCTGGAACTGGGGTCTATTTCCATTTCGGTTGGACTTTTTGCGGCATACTGGTGGCTTCTCGCGACCTACAGCGACCAGCCTGTAAGCCAGTGGCATGGTCTACAAGTCTCCCTTTCTCCATTCAAGAACCTTCCGTCGGCTGCTGCATTTGTCATGACTGCCTTCAGAATTTTCTTGACCTATCCCATTACTGCAGCGATGGGCCAACTGAAATGGCACCATCTCGGCCAACCATCACCAAGACCCGTCGCCAGTCTCCAGGCATTCGACGCTGCATCTCGAGGCACCTTTGGGTCTGCCAGACTACTCCTCTCGAAGGGGGCATTGTGCGTAAACCTATTTTTGTGACCCGCGCCACTTATTTGGTAACTACTACAGATCAAACAAGATTCACTGACATTATAGATAGCCATTCCATGCACATCTCGCTTGGCTGCATTCTTATCCTCTCCTCGCAAGGGTTGCAGACCCTGAGCCAGAGTGCAATCACCCAACACGGTGGCATGTACTTGCAACCCGAGATTCCCGGAATATTGAATGCAAGTATCGCATTCGGACGACGTTTTAATGTCTCGGAAAACAACTATTTTGATCGTAACGACGTAAACATCACAGACCGGCAAAGAATCAACGCCGACTCGCGCACGCAGGCAGCTCTCCTAACATCATGGGCCTACTACCTGAGCCCTAAACCAACAAGCCAAAGACTGACCTCGATACCGGCCAATTGTTCGAGGGAGACCTGTGAATGGGAAAATCTCACCACAATTGCTATTGCCTACGATTGCAAAAGCACGCCAGTTACCATCGACCCCGAAGGTTTTGGATACTCCAACGAAGCCAACATCACCAGTGGCGTTCCAAGCTCCAACATGTCATTGGCGCATGCTCAAATTCATCTGAAGCCAAGCCTGGTTGTTCCTAATAACAGCAACTTCGCGGCCACGGACTCAAACAGTCCTAGCCTTATCATCCATTTAGCAGCAATCGCTGAGCAGGATAATGGCAGCTTCGAAGCAGCGGAATGTGTTCTGAACTGGGTCGTGGCTACTTGGACTCACACTACATACAATTCAACCAGACGCAGCTTGCTTCAAAGCGGCGTTGAGCAGTACCCCAACGTCTCGACTACCCCGACAAATGATAGCGGAAATGACATTGTTATCAACGCGCCTTGCAATGCAGGTTACAACATTACCACTAAAGAAGATCCAGGCGGCAAAGCATGTCAATATACTATCGCGGACCATGCACATATAGGACTTCGAAACTTTCTTTTCCGCACCTTCAGGGGTTCAACAGCTAGGGAGACTTCAAAGCCCCATAATCTACTGTTGTCAAACGACACGATATTCAATCTATTCCGCTCGTCATGGCAGGCGAATTCCCGACAACCCAATATTACAAATCCGTTGAATCAGACTCTCGATATCTATACTTGGAATATCGGCAAAGGGATAGGAGATACTGTAAGAGGCTTGTCCGACGACATGCTATCCGGAAAAGTCCGCAAGGAGGAGTAAATCTTCAATATCAACAGGGCTTACATTGCGTTTCCGGGTTGTATGTTATGCCTAACGATTTACTTGTTGTTTTTCGCCATGTGGCGCACCAAAGGAGAGCCTACCTGGAAGTCCTCTCTTCTTCCTTTTTTGTATCACGGCTTCGAGTATCCGGCGACTGAGCCAGGTGATCACTGCCGGAACCTAGCATGGATGGAGGAGGCTAGCAAGCAGAAGAAAGTAGTCTTACGAGACGATGGTGATGGGTTGGGCTTAAAGCTTAGAAGCGGTTAAGATCTTGACGGAGGTTTCTTATAAAATACTTATCCATGTCTTGGTTTGCAAGGATCGGCCGAGTGATTTCGCAACCGTGAATCTTGAATAGAAGGTTCTTTTACCACATTTGTCCTGAGTTGCAAGACTGGAAACCTTGTGGTATATATCAATAGTTGCTTTTAAAAACGCGTAACGCACAAGATACTGGAATTCCACAGCCGCTGTCTCCTGAAAAGATTATTCTCTGGAACTTAGTCAACGAAGAATCGTACGACAAGCTAATTTGCAACAGTATCAGGTGTGAAAAGGTGTTCGAAGCATTGAATACAACCGTGTTTCACAGAGACCACGCGCCAACACAGCGGTCAGTTCTGAAAGGACTGCCATTCTATTGCAATGCATCTCCGTCAAAAGTCACAAGGAATGGATTTGTGTGGATCGAGATATCGCTCGAGTGATCAAAACTACCTTTTTTAACTTCATGCACAACGAATTCCCTCAAAATGATATCATAAATCATAAGTTGCTCGAAATTCGAAAGGTGGTCTTGCAGACTTTCATGCATTTCATCCACAACTTAGAACTACACTCGTGCATTGTCTTCGGGTTTCAATGTTTCAGGTCGTCTCAAGCTAACATGACTGAAAGAATGAAGGCCTGAGCAGCATAGGCCCAACTAAGCTTTCAACTTGAATTCACTCATAAGACTGCGAAGCTCTTTAGTCATATTGCGAATGATAAATTAGTCTACCTTCCCTATCTCTCTCTCTCAGCCGAAGACCCAGACCACCTCTATCTTCCCGCAAGATTACCTGTCTCTCTTTATTAATCTCTTCCATCCATGATGGATCAGAGAGATCTTTTCCTACATCCGAGATCGGGTGATCAAATCCATGATAAAGGAATGACAGGAAAGATGTCTTCCATGCTGGCAAATCCCGGGTCGTATACACTGTGACGGCGAAGAGATACAGGCTTAGGGCTAACTCTACTCCCAGATAAATAACATACCGCCACATGATGATGTAGACGGCACCAAAGCAGCCATTCTCCCCTCTCAGTGGCGTAAATTGCATGGCTCGGATGTACCCGGAGAGGCATACCACCACCGACTGCGTATCCTGGAGCCGACTGACGGCGGCTCTACAGACTGGGGGATGCCATGGCTCTCTTGCTATTGAGTAGTTGGTTGAAGCTCGACTGACTTCTCAGGTGCTGGCTCCATGTCGCCTGAGATGCCAAATGTCTGGACGAACTATCTGCAAAGGCTTCGCAACTCGACCACCCAATGCTTCAGCCTGTCATTCTTGGCAAACCATGGCGTTCACTCATATCGAAGCAGAAAGATTACAGTCTGGCTCGATGAGGTTGCATCAATCCAAGATGCGGACTCACACATTCCGAAGAGTAGGCCAATTCAGTGCGGAGATCCTGGTCATCATCACGGAGCTGTTGCGATTGGTGCCCTTTTTGGGAATCTGCCTGAATTGGAGACCCCATCGAACACACGCCACACCACTTCCGAGATTCTCTAATCGGTAGCGTGCCGAGACCGTTTAGATGACAGCTGTTGGAGATTGATGGTAAAATATGCATAAATATGCTCTGTCCCCCTGGAGGTGAACTTTGGCAATCTTCCCATGGAAGGTGCCCTCCAGTTGACCCTGACCCATAACCCTTCACATTGCAGGACTTGCGATCCGAAAGATACCGATCATGGCCGTCGGCAACAACGAAGACGTCGAAACAACCCCGGCCACGGATCCGACGATCAGTACCGTTGACTTTAATCTCCAAATTGGTGTCGAGGAGATCCTCGTCGACGTTGACCCAGATGTCTCCCTCGAGTTCCTCCAGAAGGCCGAGGCGCATGCTGGCAAGCCGCCGCCGACAAGAGCACCCAAGGAAGCTCTTCTGCGCATGCACAATCGCTATGTCGAGCAACAACGGAAGGCCAGTGAAGGAAAAGCCCCGCGAATGGTGAAGAAAGTGGTCCTGGCTCTGGCCTATCCGCCGTCAGGCAAGCCGATTAAGGATTTATCCCCTGTCAGTTAGCCTATTCTCGTACATGCATGCGACGTATTGATTTTATCACAGATCAGACTGGATGAGCTTCTTGTAGAAACTCACCACGAAGACAAATACCTGGTCGTCAAAGCGATCTCTCCGCCTTACCAAGGTGCTGGGACGATCACCGTGGTCGAAGACGAGCATGGAAATGTTGACAAGCTGGCGTTGTACAACCAAAGCACCTCCAACATCCTTCAGTCCATCCCAGAAGGAACCATCGTTCTTATCAAAGAACCGTACTACAAATTCAGCGGGGAAAATGATTATATGCTTTGCGTCGATCACCCATCAGACATCATCAGGCTCCAGCAAGGCCGAGATGAATCCCTGATACCAACTCCATGGAGAGAGCCACATGAGACCCGCGAGGCGGTGGACTGGGGAACTGCAGGTGACAGAGCCTTCATGTCCAAGGAACTTCCGTTGGCGGCTGAAAAGTGTGTGTCGTCAGATCCGCTCGCCATCTTCCCAGTTGGCTAACACTTTCACAGCTATACAAAGGCTCTCGAAGTGGCAGGTGACGCCGACCACTCCTTCCGGAGCAGCATTTTCTTGAAACGTGCTAGCATAAATCTCACTCTCAAACGCTTCGATGACGCATTCTCAGACGCTCTTGCCGCGATTGGAGGTTCCTCGGACTGGAAGGTTTACTTCCTTGCAGCGAGAGCTTCATACGAACTTACCGACTTCCAAACAAGCAAGCAACACTTAGACTCCGCTCTTGCCCTCAAGCCACCGACGTCCAACGTGGAGAAGGAATACGAACGATGTCTTGCACGACTAGAAGAGGAGAAAGGCGTCTACAACTTTCCCGACATGGCCAAAGACGTCACCCCAGAGAATATCCACATCGACCGCGCCAGCTTCTTTTCAAGGACCGAGATTAGAGACTCACCACACCATGGGCGAGGTCTGTTCGCAACGGAGGATATCAAGGCGGGCGAGCTTGTCTTCGCGGAGAAGGCGACCAGCGTGCCCAACGAGTTCAACCCAGAGCACAACTCTGCTGCTGCATATGCCCAACTCATCGAGCTCTGCGCAGACAATCCCACCATGCATAAGAAGGTTCTCGATCTCTATGGTGGGACATACAAGCGATCCGGACTAGAAGGGACCGAAGTCGACGGCAAGCCTATCATCGACGTCTTCCTTCTCGAGTCGATCCGAAGAAAGAACTGCTTCAGCGGTGCACACGTCTCTGCACAGGCCGCAAACGGGGAGTGGAACATGTGGAAGGATGGCATGTCGCGCGGGCTTTGGGTGTACTCAGCTTATGCCAACCACTCCTGCCTTCCAAACTGCAACCGGTCTTTTGTCGGAGACATGCTTTTCGTCAGAGCTACCGTGGATATCCCGAAGGGCACAGAGATTACGCACATCTATCTCCCGCCTAAAGCCGCGTTTCTTCTCCGTGTGCCGCAGTTCCGGAGGACGTGGGGCTTCGAGTGCAGCTGCGATCTTTGTGACGGGGAGGCCAAATCGCCATTGGAGCAACACAAGAAGCGCGTCTCAGCGCTAGCTGAGTTGCAACGCACGATCAAGAAGAAGAACCCGGTGAAGTTCCACCCCGACGCGACGATTCGGCAGATTGAGAGGATGGCTGGCAAGCTCGCCGCTCTCCACGAACCCGAAGTCTACGACGAGTTGAAGTTGCCGAGGTTGATGCTCGTCTGGCCGACGATGTGGCTTATCGAGGCGTTGTATACGAGGAAGCAGTGGGCCAAGGTCATCAAATGGGGCAACGAGGTCTTCCGCAACTTTGGGTTCGTTGAGCCGGTTCGTGGGGAGAGGTTGTGGATGTACAAGAACACGCAGGCCGTGACCACCTTTGAGGTCATCAAGGCATTGAAGTTGACTGCAGACGCATACGATGCTACTGGTCAAGGGGACTTGGCGAGAGACTGCAGAGATGCGGCTAGAACCGGGCTGGTCTGTATGGTGGGTTGGGTGACGGACGAGAGTTTTGAGGCGTTTAGATAACCTTTGAACGTCCTGGGTTGGAGCCCCATGGAAGAGATGGCAATCAATACATTGGAGAAATTTTGCTTGTTGAAAACTTTGTACGCTGCGTGATTTTGTGCGTTGGTGGCCGAGAGATATGGCGAAGCCTTGGCAAACGGCGTTCGTCTTGGCACCGGCCGTTGAGCATGAATCAGGAACTAGCCTTATCGCTGCAAAGAAAGGTTTCTTGGCGATTTGGCTTGTTTTTGAGAGGATTTCGGATGAACCCCAATTTCATACGATTCCGTGGCCATGGGTTCGGCAGAAACCTACAACGTCGTCTTCGATGAATAGCGAAATCCATGGACCTCGTTCACCAACCTGGTGTTCGATACTTCCAATCCATTTAAAAAAAAGTCTTTGCTTTACTGTTACGTATACTTTAGGCGTCATCAATTGAGTTTACGTGCCTGTGCATGTTCCACCTGCATTGCATTTATGCTTGGAGATGGAATAGGGCGAAAATGATCAGATCCCCGGTTCCTCCGAGCATCTTCCCTCACCCTTCCTCCGGCCTAAGCTTCCCACTGCCAACAGCCAAGATCAAACCATCCTATCATTCCCAGCAAACTCGGCAACTGGTCGCGTGCTTATCGAGACCTGGTGAGGGGGAAAATCACCAACGGAGCGGGGTACGCAGCAATGAAGCTGCAAGCCAAGAATGATACTGCGCTTGCAATGCCTGTCTTCCCCCACCTCATGACAGGTCGGTCAGTGGCTGTCGGACGACGCCGATCCTCATTCTTCGTGATAAGTCGAGTTCACTGGTCACAGCATGGATCCATTGAGGAGTATTCCCCGGTTTCCGCCCCGGGAGTTGGGAGAATGCTTGCGCGGCACCTTGGACGACCTTCTATGTCGAGTTAGCCACATATCATGAAGCCACCGACGAAGAGGAGGTTGGGGAATTGGCATCGTGACACGCGGATATGTATATGACCGCAAACCCTCCTCGTGGCACGCTCAGTAGCAGTCACCCCAAGCCCTCCCCTCCTCGGTGGACCATCCCATCGTCACCTCACCCGCGATGTCCGCCCTCGCCTTGGTCCTCTTGGCATCCGCCCCCGCGGCCCTCGCCCAAACCTTCCAACGTCTCGGCGCCTGCCCCGACCTCGGCTGCGTCTTCCCGCCAGACCAAGCCAACTTCCTCCCCGGCCAGAACTTTGACATCCGCGTCGAGGTCCACGCGCCCGTCAACGGCACCGAGGCCTTCAACGACGGCGTGCCGGACACGGAGTTCACGCTCACGATCGCTAGCAACAGCAAGCCCGACGGCGTGCCGGTGACGGAGTTCTTCGCGCTCGACGAGCCGCAGCTGGAGACGTGGACGTTCTCGTGGTATGAGGACCTTTTTGCCCAGGATGCGGGGGAGAAGTCTGTTGTCAACGTCGCGTCGAAGGCGTACCGCCATTTGTCGCTGTATGAGCCGGGAAACTACACGGTCGAGCTGAGCTACTACAACGGCACGAAGAAGACTCTGGGGGAGTGGTTTGTGCGGCCGCTTGCCGAGGAGAAGAAGGCTAAGAATGTGATTTTGTTCATTGGAGATGGTATGACGACGAACATGATCACGGCGGCGAGATTGTTGGGTCACAAGAGTGTGAACGGGAAGTACCAGTCGAGGATGCAGATGGACGAGTTCCCGATTCTCGGTCACCAGATGGTGAGTTGCATCAAGCGAGTGTGATTTGAAGGTCAAGGCTGACGTTTGGGTAGACTCACTCAGTCGACAGCTTTGTCACAGACAGCGCGAACTCAGCCTCGGCGCTATACTCCGGCCACAAGGGAACATCAGACTCTATGGGGTAAGACAGCTCTATTGGCGATATTTGTGCCTTGGTAGCTAACATGCCTAGTGTGTACTCTGACTCATCCGACGATGACTTTGACGATCCCAAGGTTGAGACCATTGTGGAAATGGTGACAAGAATCTGGGTAAGAAAACTACAAAAAGCAAGGCTGAAATATCTCTGACCATCTGGTAGGGATCCGCATGGGGTGCAGTGACAACCGCCGCCCTCGACGACGCAACCCCGGCTGCTCTCACTGGCCACAGCCGATCCCGCTCCAACGCCGGATCTCTCATCGACCAAGCGCTCAACGGCATGACGAACTATTCGTGGAGCACCCATCCCGGACCAGACGTCTACTTTGGCGGCGGTGCCTCCACCTTCCTTCCAGGATCCACCTCATACCTGGGCAAGGATTACTACGAAGAGTTCCGTAACCAGGGATACTCCGTCAGCTGGAACGCGACATCACTCAAGAAAGCACCGATCGACACCCCTGCCTTGGGCGTGTTTTCCCTCTCCCACTTGCCCGTGTGGCTTGATAGAAACATCTTGACCGATAACATTGCTGAACTAGAGACCCACCCCTCCGGAGACGGTTCCCCGCCGCTCGACCTCCCTGGGTTGAAGGACATGACTCTCAAGGCGCTCGACATCCTGCTCGAGCGCAGCAACGACACCGGCTTCTTCCTCATGTCTGAAGGTGCGTCGATTGATAAGCAGATGCACGCCCTCGACTATGACAGGGCCCTCGGCGATCTCCTCGAGTTCGACGATACGATCCGTGCGACCGTGAAGAAGCTCAAGGAGGTCGGCGAGCTGGAGGAGACCCTCATCGTCGTCACCGCAGACCACGGCCATGGTTTCGACGTCTTCGGCGTAGCAGACACAAAGTATCTTGCCGCCCAAGACACTGATCGCAAGAAGCGTGACGCGATCGGCATTTATGAGCGCTCTGGTCTGTCTCACTACACTGTTGAACGACCTGATGGCATCGAGTATGGGACCGGTCCTAACTTCCCCTTGAACTGGAGCCCTCGTTATGCCATTGCGCCCGGTTTCGGAGCAAGCCCCGATCGGAGGGAGAACTACCAACTGCACGAGTCGCCTCGTAAGGTGGTCGTCAGCGGAGATGATGGATATGTGGCTAACCCAGAGGATGGTGAGGGTGGCTTCTTTGTTCAGGGAACGTTGCCGGTATCTTCGTCGTCAGGCGTCCACTCAATTACGGATGTGCCACTCTTCGCGATGGGTCCCTGCCAACAGACATTCGCTGGCGTGTATGACAACACGGATGTCTTCTTCAAGATTGCCTCTTGCCTTGGCCTTGGACAGTCATCGGCTACTCCCAAGAGACAGTAATTGCATCGAGTGAGAAGATAGCGAAGAGAGGATTTCGTAGAGATAGAATCAGACTAGGTCTGCCTCTCGGTGACGGTTATCCAAAATCATCTTGCAGCAATCCACATTTTCCGTTCCAAACTGCATCCGCTGGGCGTCCTTCGCGACCCAAACCTCTTCCATGTCTTGTTGAACCCGCACCAGGGACGGCAGCCGTCTGCTTTCGTACATTTCTTTGATTCTTCCGAGAACGAGCTGCCGGTTCTGAGGATCGACCGACTCGCATCCTGCGGTCCAGAGAGGCCAGGCATGGGCCGAGCAGAACGAGGATGTGATTGGGACCTTCAGTAGATGATGAATGCATTGCTCTGCATGAAATGGCTTTGGAGGCTCCGTGCCATCGTCCCAGACTCGGTAGAGATAGACAATAGCCGCATGCCTGTATGCCTGGATTGTATTCTCGATGTCCTGGTCCCCATCTGTGGACGAGTCCATGGACAGCAAGTTCTTCCTGATGTTGAAGCCTCGTCGCTGGTGTGCTTCGCCCGACTGCCCCTGCATTTTGCTGATTGTGCCAACGATAGAGAGAAGTGATGTAAGCTTCTCTAGGCTGTGCAAGCCCTCCAATGGGGCCACATTCGTCATGCTCAAGAGCGGCTTCGCTGTGCGAGAAATTGATGACATGACGTCATGGTAAAAGCAGAGGCTCAGAAGAAACTGCGCACTAGAGCTCGTCCAGTTACTAGGTCCTCCTGAGTGCATGATCACAGCTTTCGCACCAGCGAGGTGATCAATCTGACTGTCCGTGTTGAACAGTCTGTCAGAAATCTGGAGCATCATGATGGTGGCGAGGGATAGCTCTGGGTTCTCTGTCTGGAGTGACTCTCGAAGTGATGATACGGCCATGAGCATGTGTCTCGATGCCACTGTCCGGAGACTCTCGTCTTTTCGGAGTACTGCAAGATGTCCTGCAGCCATGGAGGAGATGGAGAACAGGAGGGCTGACGAGCGCAGCATCATGGGCGTCAGGTGAATGAGGAATGGGTTCTGTCTGCCGGAGGCCATGGAGACTAGGCTCGCTAGAGATGAGTTCCAGTGATGGAGTAAGAATCTGTTCGTTGAGGAGATATCCGATGGGATGTACGATGGATTTCGAATGAGGCTTGTTTCAGTTGATGGCGCAGTTGATGATGGCCAAGCAAAACCTGGTATCGCCATCCCAGTCTGTTCAGGAGATGTTGGCTTGAACGCGCCTTTCTGAGGTGCTGTGGAGCCTTTCGCTTTTGGGCTCCGTCGTTTCGTGACCTTGGAGGGAACCGTCGACACATCGGTAGCCTTCCATCTCACCCTGAGACCGTACCCCTTACAGACCTTACCGAGCCGGACGCATCGGCCGCAATTCGGCTTCGCCTCGTCGCACTTGTAGCCATCGTCTCTGCACTTCAGTCAGTCTGAGAGCTCAGAAGGTGATGAGGGTTAATTACCGGCAGGTCAAGCAACCTGTTCGACTTCTTGTATGTTGCGGCATTGTGGACTTGTGTCGTGAGTTGCGATGGATCGAGGGGCGAAACAGACGATTCTTCACCGAGGGGTGGGGTAGAAACCCACTTTCGGGGAACCGGGATAAACCCCGAACCTGTGTTACGGTGGCGCACCCATCATCCGTCGACTCGGCCAGTCAAAACTGACGATGCAGATTTTCTTTGTTCTCAATAATTCACAACTTTAGGAAATGGAAAGGTCATTTGAAATTTGTCCATCAATCATTGGACGTCCAAAACGTCATGTGATTCAACTCCTAGTGGTACCTCCACGACATTCTCCGGTGGCTCTTGTGGATCGCGGACCGGGTGACGTTAATTCTGATTGGTATTTGACAATCAGATAGCATTGACTAAACCTCCACTTGGGACTTACGAATACTTCGTTGGTTGAGGATGTTCTGTTCCTTTCCAAGGAAGTTCAAAAGATAAGTCCGCCATGATAGTACGCTGTTTGGCTGGCAACCCTACCTTGTACGCCAAAATGACCTACCAAGTTGCTTGTAAACATCTCGGGGTACGCGAGATCTCAAACTTCATATCCCTTCGTATGGAGAGAGCCCATAGAACGAATCTTGACTGCATTGCAATTGAATGTTGCATTGCGCACCCATCAGGCCATATTTATCTGACATTTTCTTCATTTCGGGCGAACCATGGCCCCCGATTTGACAGGATCTATCACAATTTCTGTTTTCTTTCGACATTCTTCAGCAAAAAGCAATCATTGCCCTTTTGGGTCAATTCCTATCACATCTGGGCTTCCAAGCATCTGACAATGTCACGCGTAGTCCGCCCAGCTTTGGAGACCGTTGGTTGGCTGACGTGATTTCTAAGATGAGCCTTGGGGTCCGGACCCAACTCCGCTCTCAGCCTTCGCATGCAACCCAACCTGTAGCCCTATAAGGTCTCATGCCAGTGGCGCAGCTTATGAAAAGGGTTGGCCAAGCTAAGATGAAGTCGTTTAGGCCACCAAACTCAGCACTTCTTTCGCCCGACAGTATGCTCACTGCCTGGCTGAGACTCAACACCCCCAAGCAACTAAATCCACAACATGGGGGCCTTCGAAAAATGTCAACCTTGGGGGAAAGGGGCTCTGACGGACAGGTTTTGAGGATGAGGCTGAGGCCGAGGGCGACAGACACCATTTTGACTTTAGTGAACGCTAAGAACAGAACTGGTTGCGGTGTGGGACAATGGAAGAATCTCGAATACCAGCTTAAAAACTATAAAGGCACTTCAGCCAGGCTTCTTCAATCTAAATATTGCTCGTCATCATCGCATAGAACTCAAACATTTTGTAACTACTTCAAGCCCCAACATGTTTCCTTCAACTTCAGTCCGGTTGCTGGCCATCTTTGCTGCCTTAACCACGGCGATGGAAACTAAGTTGAACGTCACCGCCATTGGCAGGTACAACAACGCCTCGCGATTCGAATGCTGGGAGTTGGACGAGCCTTTCCGCTCCTCAACCCAATCTGGACTCGTTGATACCAAAACAACAGTTCTCGGAGATGTCTCAAAGATGTCGTACAATGTCGTCCCTGCCGGCTTCGACAGTGGTTTCCATCCTGCACCCACCAATCAGTACGTTTACCCGGTCAAAGAAGACAATATGAAACATTGACACAGCTTAGGTGGGTAGTTTTGGTTGGAGGCCTTGGTGTCATCACTTTGCCAGACAACAGCTCCACTACCTTGACAACGAAGGGTGGAGAGTTTGGCTTGCTGTTTGCCACTGACACCGCGGACCTTACCGAAGAAGGGCATGGCTCCATTTTTCCTGGCGCAACGGAAAGCATTGTCCTTCAGATCCCGACCAAGGACGACAAGATTCCAAAGCACCGCGTGTTGTACGATAACAAGCCATGCACAGCGGGCGAGGTTGCGGGGCTGCGAGCGTGGGCACTTAGTGCTTGATCCGAGAGGACTGGGGTTGAAATGACTATACTAAAGTGCGTCAGTTTGAGCATGGCTTCAATTGTTTCACGTCAAACTGGCATGGGATGGCGTCAGGATATCTGTTTCATGGTTATGTATGCATACTAGAAAGAGGGGATTGATAGAGGCCACCCACTTTTCCCATGGGTTTATACCAAATACTATTATTGCTGTCGTCATCGTTACGTCTATTGATAGTATAAGGTGACTGTAATTATTAACACCATCGTCATTTCCATTATTCTCATCGTCGAATGAAGAAGTTAAGTGCAGAGAGAGAAAATGTAGCTGCAGCCACCAAAGGATTAGGCGGTTTCTGTGAATATTTGTATCAGGCTAATCGCAAGGTCTTGTCTCGTTCTCAATGCAGCAATCAGTCGATATTGATATTGTTGACAGAGTCGTATCTCAGAGCTCTTCGCTCCGGGCGTCCACCTTGTAGTCCCTCGTAAATGGGGCTGTTGACCCAAAGCCCTCCACTCGCCCCAATAGTACCTCTAGTGCTCGAAACGAGATAAATGGTGCATCACGACCAACGAAGTGGCCAGACATCGGGGTCTCGAAATACGTGAGACCTCTCTCTGAATGCCATACCCCAAGCTCACCACTACCACCAAAAGCTTCCATATCTGGGTGAAGCGGTATGTTCAGTGTATTCTCAGGTCGCACTTGGAACCCCTGTATCCCGCCCCATGTCATGTTCTGGATACCAAGCAAGGTGCCAGTGCTCTGCAAGATGAAGTCTTGCAATCCGTGCCCGATGATTACGTTTTTGGTTCTCTCGATAATGCCAGGGATAACAGGCAAACTTCCAGGACCTGGGTTGTTGGAGTTGTCGATGTCATCTACAAATACGGGCTCTCTGCTGCAAAATCGCCACTCCTTGTCAACAGGAGCATCGATGGCGGCTTTGACGTCTTCTCGGTCAAAGTAAATCGGACCAGCTGACGGATGACGGAGCCTGTTGTCGGTAAAGCCGATGGGGTCGTACGCAAGTGGGCAGGTCTGAAGGACATTGTAGAGACTAAAGCATGGATTTGCAACTCTCTCTGCTTCAGCGACGAATGACAGGATGTCACACTCTGGAATGTACTCGTTATCTGGGTTCCAAGCTCTCGGGACGTCGACTGGCTGAGTTCCTGACGGTGGGAAAGTCATATATTTGTCCACATACTCGCTGTAGCCACATCTTTGATCGATTTCATTGACTTTCGCCCTTGCTGTGTGGTTCAGCGTGAAGACAGGACCCCAGTACTCGAGAGTCTTGGTCACTCCAAATTGCTGACCAATGCTCCGTTGCGATATCGAAGGATCAAAGATCATCATGCCCTTGACGTTGAAATAATCCGTATCCTCTGCATCAAGCATGGCACTCGAGATGTACGGAGAGAACAGGCCGCTATAGGAAGACCCAGTAACAAAGACTTTGTAGCCATGCAAGTCGAACGTGTCAACAAAGGCTTTCCAGAATCCCATGAACTGTCTTGCGACATCTCTTTCGTCAGTAGCCGTTACCGGACCCTGAGAGAAGCCTGTTCCCACGGGTTGTTCAATCCACACAACATTGCTCAGGCGGTGCCAGCTCCAGGGGTTTTGCACAGGCCCGAAGGTTCCAGGCTTCCACGATATGGGGCCATTTTCTTGAAGAAGTTCACCAATGGAAGAGCAACCAGGCTGCATCTTGATTAGCTTTTCGTCTTTAACACCACCAATGTGCATGGAAACCGAAAGAAGACTTACACCACCAGTGAGCCAAATGATGATCTCATTTTCAGCCGGTGGCTCTTTAGAGGGGAAGAACCAGAAGTATAGCTCTTGCAAGTCATCCTTGGCCACAGAAGAATTCACTGGAAGCAGGCCCGCATAAGACTCTCCAGCATCAAAGTGAACGTTTGGGAGGGTCTTTCCGTCAACAGTAAACCCTGGTCGTGTTAGAATCGAATTTATCTGGACTATCATTTGATTGTTGCCTTACCTTTGGTCTTCTCGGTCAAGAACCTGCGTTGTTCTGACTGCGTTTGATCCCCCTCAAATGACGATTCGACGAAAGATTCTCGTGTCCAGTCTAGTCCTGGGTTTTGAACTTTTAACGCGGGTTCATTGAACGCCCCAGCGATTTGTGTAGCGCAGAGCGGAAAAAGAGATAGCCAATACATCGTTTCTCGGACGGTCCGACAACCTTGAGGATTGAAACATTTCTTCCATCTCGCGTGATATGTGCTTTTTGCTTTGCCAAGCTCGCTTGTGTTGGCGATGGCGACGCGTTGAGGTCTCACTCGGCTAACCGCTTTCGCTCTCGCCAAGATTTCGAACAGGCAGGCGGTAATGCGAATAGCGTCATTGTGCAACGAAAGCCGACGCGTGTCGGCGCCCTTTGCGCGGGGTCATCGGCAGGGAAAAACGGACCCTCGGAAACCCTAGCCAGCCGGGCGATTCTGAGATTGGATGTCGCATTCGTGCCAAGGTGTTTGGTCGCCAACAGCGAATCCGAGCCTTGGCAGTTAATTACCAGCAATTCGACAGCTCTTTGGTGAATCTGCGTTTCCGTAAGGTTAGCTCCGGCTAGCTCCAGGGTCGTCTATCCCGTCACACGTGGAATCGAAATTGACTTTACGAAAGAAGCATCCAGTTCAACGGCATTGAATCTCCAATGGGCCGTCCCTCTAATGAGCTCCCTACACGAGTTGACACGCCATATTAATCGAGGCCGCACTTTTGCCCAGGGCCAGTCCGGCCGTCGCGCGCGCGGGCTTATTAAGGAAGCTGATCCCTGTTGCGCCCGGGCACGCGGTGACAAGAACAGACAGGGATATCCGAACTCCGCGAGGTCTCCGCGAGAGCTCAACACGGATCCGAAGCGCCCCGAGGGCGCAAGCGACTCGGGCACGGTCGTTTCGCGGAGATATCTCGTGCGATTGCCTTACTCGTGAACAGTAGCGATAACTTAGATTCTATCACTCGATAATTGATCCCATCATCCTCCCACCTATGTTTATGCCGCGGTCCTGGCCGACCTTTTTCGTCTCTATCGTCCTCCCGCCGTTGCCTTTATCGTCCAAAAAAGTCGTTGCAGACTCTAAATATTCGGCATGTGGGAAATCCTCAGCTGGCGGGCTGTTCACAGAAGCCTATTCTACAATTAGACCTTTGTGGCGCTAGGAAAGGTCAGATTTCAGATGGAAGCCGTCGATCCGGAAAACTCACTAACGGCCTGAGGAAGCTGGGCATCGTGGGATTTCCGTTGGCCTCGACTATTATTTCTCCGACAAACTCATTGGTACTAGCGCAGGGGAAAACGCCTTACAGCTGGGGTCTTTGGGTTTACCTCTGACTACGACAGTGAGGATCGCTGCCCCTTGGGCCTGACTGACTCTAGGCATTGCTTGTCTGGCTTATGGTTGACAGAAACCCCACTGGCGGGCGAGACGCAGTGCGACTGGATACTTCACATTCGAGACACCTCGCGACTGCGACCCTGCCCCTTATGCAGACTTCGGACGGAAATTCAAGGCGGAGAAGTCCAGTCAAAAGTGGCATGTTGCTGCACACCATCTCAACCTATCGCCTAACCGTCATAGGCGCGGATCCCCACAAGCTTGAGTTTATCCTCTAGCTCAGCGCCCTGATCTTGAGGCAATCGCTTCCTGCGGTCTCGCTTGTCTTCCAATGCGGGATGCCGTTGAACGAGAAGCACTCAAAGTGTGTTTGCAAATCACTCAAAATGCGTTTGAACTACAGTTGCGGGAAGATAGTTTCTGCCCGGCTTGTGATCATAGCTTCTGCAGGTATGACAGGTAGTAAAAGCAATTGTTTCTCGATCGCGTTTCTATCATGATCCTCCGGGATGGCTCATTCCGCAGGGCATTTTTTTTTCAGTCTCCACAGCATGGCTTAGCTGATTCAAGATGCTGTTATCTGGGGCTATATAGCATACAATATCTAAGATAACGCGCTTGTCGTATCTGGCGATAAGTCATGCAGCCTACCATCGGCGATTCTTGTGGAACGCGACCTCCATCGCACCGTTGCACGTCTCGGGATCGGCCTTTTGCCAAGAGCGCGCCGAGAGGAGTGTTCGCCCATCATATTGGGTATGAAAATCCCAGCAAGGGTTTCAAATTTGAAGACACAAGAGCCTTGATTTGCATGAGAAGATGAATGTGGTGTGGTGTGGTGTGGTACTGGTCAAAACACGGGCTGGCTTATTACCATGAGCGTTTCCGGGATGAGGCTCGTGGTTGGGGCTGACACTCATAACATCTTTCTTAGTTGGTATGATCACCTCGCCTATTCTACAATGCAGTGTGCACATGACAGATTCTTAGAATCGAAGATGGTGGGCTCGATTGCATGCAAGCGTGGTGGCGCACATGGACTTCCGTTGGCGACGGAGTAGTGTTAATCTCCGCGAAGATGGTGGCGCTCAGTCTGATCAGTGAGAGCCAAACATCTGGGACAGCCCGAGGGAGAGTTTCTGTAGATCCGAGGAAACATTTTTTAGCGGGTGAGCGAACGCCTCCCGCAGCTTCCACAACGTGGGAAGGGATTGGAGGGAAGGGTGACCGAGATCCAGGCCGTTCATGTGCAGCCCTATCAAACTGCCAAGGAAATTATATGACACTCTGTTAAGAGTCTGTTAAGAGGCCGGGCCTCAGCCAGCTGCTGGCCTGGTTGACCATTGGGGCCAGAGCACCAGACACTCAATTTCGCTACGGGCCATATGAAACTGCGCTTTCCTTCAATTCAGAGAAGAAGGGAGAGACCCGGACAGGCAAACAAGCAATTAAGTTGTCAACTTGCAGGTTTTGAGGACGGGTGTTTGAACTGCCATCCGTTCCTTTTGGCTTATTTTGGGCCACCTTTGGCCTGTTGAGGCTGCTTGTAGTAGCATCACCCAAGGACGGGAGATGACTAACCAAAAGCTTAGCCTATTCTAGCGACGGCGCTGTCATTAAGCTTCTCGGAGAAAGTACTCTTTTCAGCATTGATGGGTGTGGGCAGCGGAAACATCCTTCAGACGAGTCATGGATGTAGCCATGTTGGCAGTCGGCAAGACTCACCAGTCCCCCTGAATTTCGAGGAGAAGAGGGACGAGAATGGACCAAAAGAGAGCGGGAAGGAAGGGCACCATTCCAATCTAAGTTCGAAGGCCGAGACGTAAAGTTGTGACGTCTGGACGGGGACCGCCGGCGGCCCCCCTGTGAAGGTGCCAACCAACACCAATCCGCTCCGCAAGTTCGGACTCGTCCTGCCTTATGAAGCCGGCCACGAGTCGGCAGAGGGGGAGAAGGGCAGGTGGAATCTGGACCGGCGCCCTGCCACCAGGGATGTGATTCGTGGGCTGTGTGGCTACTCTGATACCCTGCATCTCAATGCACCGTCTGTGCGACTGGACAATCAGGGAAATCCTTCCTTCGTCCCAATGGTATTCAAGGTTCGAAACAAGCAGCACAGTGACTCGGCGACCGCACCAAAACACTACAGAAAGTCTATCATCCGGAAGTTTCAACCTCCTTCGCTGGCCCGCCCTGTCTTCTGCGCTGCCGCCAATGGCTCCCCACCCGCGGCATCATCTCATGATTGCTTCGTGAACCGTGCCGGCGTTAGACTGAATGCCGTCCCGTCGTTGCAACTTACTTATAAGACCAGTTGACCCAACCCTTTTTACCCGTTTTCCTCTGGTCGGTACTGAATCTGGATTCGGCATCGTCGTCAAGCAGCAGCAACGGTCATTACTCAACCAGCCCCGGGCAGGTCCTTCATACGCTAATCAACTACTATTCAATCTTTACCAATAATCAGTAAACAAAAGCAACCCGCAAAAATGAAGGCCTACGCTGTCATCCTTTCCCTCGCCACCTTGGCCGCCTGCCAGGCTCCCCAGCCGCCCCCGGCCCCGGCCCCGAATGACACCCCCGCTTGCGCCGAGGCGAAGATTCTGGCTGGCGGTATTGCTCTGAACATCCAGATCCAGCAACAGGAGCAGGCCGGTCTCGCGGCCGTGATGCAATCTCTTCAGGCCAACCCCGTCAACATGCAGCAGTTCCAGGTTGCCAAGTCCAACTTGCTGTCCTTCGTCAGCGACGGTATCCAGGTCCGCCAGGCCAACCAGCTTATCGCCCCCTCCGGCAACGGTGCCGCTCAGGGTCTCGCAGTTGTACGTGGTGTCTGGAAAGGATGTTGAATCGTATATGAGAACTAACAGTCCAACAGGTTGCGAATGCCCAGCTCTCTGAGCTCCAGAAGGTTGCTGGCCTTACTGGCAACCCTCAGCAGGATAACCCGGTCACTCAGTCACTTCAGATGGACTTCTCTGGAGGTATCCAACAAAACATGAAGAACCAGCAAGCTGTACGTGACAATGATCAAGACGCTCCGAGAAATAGTTACTGACATCCTCTAGGCGCTTACTGGCTGCTAGAGAATGACATATCAAAGCGGTCATCATGATGATAAGCGACAGTGCTTGGGATGGGTTTCGGACAACGGCGTTTAGCGGTTTTGTCCATATCTTCTTTTTAATTCAATGAAAGAACCGGAGCTGGGGCGGCTGGGACTTGACGATGTTGATCCTCGACGGGATTCAGCCGGCAGGAGTACCAATTAGGCTACTTGAATACCACCAGACATCCGACTACTATTAGTTCCATCCTCGTCGGGACTGAGGATCTAGGCTTCCCTCATGAAATATTATCAAATAAAATATTACCATTTGAGGGAACTCTCTGTATGACGCACAGCTCCAGTGGCATGTATGGTGACAGAGTACTCCTCGATTCAGTCCGCAAAAGACTTCATCCTCACACGAGATGCGGGCACATCAAACTCGCCTAACATGTATTTACAAAGATCAGCCTTAGACGATGCTAATCCGGAGACGCAACCGACAGAACCCCACCTGGAGAGGATAATCTCCGTCGGCCGAAGAGGGGTAGTAAACTACATTCAGAACAAAAGAAGACGCGCTCTCTGTAGCCCAATCGAGCCTTGCAATCCCAAATCAAATACCCAAAGCCTCAAACAATGTCCCATTTACTTGAAGCTAGCTTCTCTCCAAGTGGACCCCTATCCTCGAACGAGACGCAGACAACGTCGGTTCGGACGATGCCACCATTCGCAGACTGAGGCGGAGTCGTCTCGTGCCTGTCTGACATGAACGCCGGGGCTGGCCTCTTGCACTCGGGTAGAATGTTCTCCTGGCTGTCATCCTCCATGATTGTGAAGCCTAAGTCGTCCCTAGGTTTCGGCCTGGGCTTGCGCTGTCCAAGCTCGATCTTGCTTCCTCCTCGAGACTCCCTCTGAGAAGCGTAGTCCTCGTAGAACTTTGGCGTCTCTTCGGTCGTATTTTTGGCGGTGCTGAAGGGGTTGCGTCGCAGGATCAACTCGAGCAAGGGCTGGAGGACAGGGATGGTGCTCGCAATGGTGATCGTGCTGCCTTCGACCCTGTAAACTCTAGTCAGTTCCGTATGATCGACGCAAAGAATCAACTACATCTCGGAGCCGACCAGCCGAGAAATTGGAATAATGCTCACACAGTTCGTATTTGAAGGTCAGAGGTGAGATCTGGGTCGCGTGTCAGTACCTTCCATGGCATTTCAAGGAGGGTGGGGTCATACAGGTGAAGTCGTCTTCCCTGAGTTGTGGCAGACGTATGGACTTGACAATTGCCACAGCACCACCACTGAATCAGTGTTAGTCAAACCTCACGAAACACTGGGCAGTCTTCATGGGAGTTCCATACACAGCACCGACTCCAAGTGCACAAGACAAGGCAATCTTTCTCTTCATCGCCATTTGTAATCTGAATAGCACCACTGTTGGGTACAACGCTAGGTAGACATCTACAAATGCTGACAGTACTACGCAGGGATGTTAGCCAAGACTCCCATGACTGAAGGTTCACGTAGTTGTAGATTACCTCCTCCATAGATACTGTAATCGACAGTGATATTTGGGTCAAAGCAACGGCCGGGAACATGCTCGTCCCAGATTGAAGCGACGGGAACGCATCGACCGAAATGTAAGCCGGGGACAACGATGTGTGTAAGTAAACACAGGATTGTGATACCCCAGAGGAACCACAGATGATATCGCCTTGGATTCATTAACCGCGTTAACAATGAGACAACCGCGAGTTTCGGAATCGCAAAAGACATGATTCCCGGAGCAAACCCCACATGTGACCAGAAGATGGCACCCTTCTTCTGCTCATATGTGAGTACGTCCTTATGCCTGCCATAGCCATAGCTGATGGCACCGGTGGCAGCTGCACAAGACGCAAGTATGCAAGCCTATGATGAACCAGTGTCAGTGCGAAGACACTCTCGGCATCCTTGAAGGAGAGACCACATGTGGACCCAAGCTCCCGATAGATGCACATACCAATGACAGGATACAGCAGTAGTCATCGCTGTAGAACGTCCTCCCAATCCTCCGCCTACACCAGACTCGCGCCACGACGAAAACTGTTGTCAACCCAGCCATCGCCCAACAGACCCATAGTATCTCTGGCCCTTTGTCCTCGGCCCTCCATGCCTCAGACCCCTTGACCGACATCGTCTGGAGGTGTTATGCAGAGGTGGCTGGCTTGTTGTGTTGAGCGCCAGGCGCGACTGGCGGTGAGATGAAACTGCCACCTGAGTGTCGATATGCAAGATCAGTCGCACAAACAATGGAATGAAATTTGGAACCGATGAAGGCCAAGGTGTTGGCGAAGGCGCAGAAAGCGAGTTGAAAATTGGAACACCGCAGGTGTCTCTGGCAGGACGACCATCACCATTTTGTTATGTAGTCACCCGCAACCATCTCGACCATCACGCTCGACGAACAATGGAGTTCCCTTTGAGGCGGATATGCATGCTGACCCATTCATTCAGCTGCCCGTGGCCTGGTTCTGCGTTGAGGAAGGGGGCAATCAGAACGCCCCAAAGCGCGGGTGCAAATTACTTGGTAAGTGAGCCAAACGACCGGGTGCATCTGCCCAGAATCTCGGTTGACAGGCTGGTGGCTGATTAGAGCCCAGATCGTCGGGGTATCCCGTTAAACAACGTGGAAAGAGGTGGGCACAAGCAGAGAAGCGTTGCAATCGGGAATTGGGCTGGCAGATTAGAGGCCTGACGGCAATCCGTGCTGTGGAGTGCTGCCTGTTGGAACCTGCATGCTTGCGTGGTTACGGACGTATGGGGGGCACGGATGGTCTGTAAACGAAAAGCAAACAGTCAAACAAGACTCGACCCCATGGCGAAAGCTGAGAAGATGTAATTGACGACGCCACGTGGGATTCGCCGAGGGGGAGAGTCCAGGGCTTGGACTCGCATTTGAAAGACGACCCGGATCGAGCATGCGAACGAATCATCAGGACTCATGGGTGATGCTACTTATCGCAGGCTCATTTGACGTATCAACATTGAAAGATCATGCGAAAGCCTCTTCTCGTGGGTTCGAGATGGCAGCCTCGTGGCAATAATGGCGCCACGAAACAACAAATTCATTCACTACAGCGGTTTTAATATTATCACTTACAATGCATACAATGATTTTGACGAGTGAGATTGACTCGAGTCGGCGGGATCCGACAGTCCATAGTAATTATCGCCTGTGGGCTAGGCTCGGCTGTGCAAACAGACCAGGGTGTTTGCGCCGTTTGTCCAAGAGGGGTAAATTTACACCAAAGTGCTGACCTCGAGGCCGGAAATAGCTGTCTGCATAACATGAGAAGGTTGCAAACAACCAAATTCTGGGCAGTGACAGCATATCTAAGCCCGCCGTTGAGGGCAGAGAACTTTTGCTCGGTCAATCAGAACAGTTATCCACACGCGAACACGAGCAAATTGTGTCACTAATCGCAAACGGTGACAGTGAGATCCTCCAAGAGTACACACAGAACCTGATCTGCTTCGTCATTGGCGCATTCGATCAAAGTGTGAATCAACACCGCCAAGTCCCAGGCCAGCAGGTCTGATGCAGCTGAATGACATGCAGGCTGCGTGGAAGAGGACCGAGATTCGATGGCTCAAGTATCCGAGTCACCATTCTGAATCGAAACACACTTAGGATTTTGTCAGATCTCAGACTTTGTACGCAAGTATCCCTGATAATTTGGTCATGCCATTTGACTTCAGTGGAAAACAACATGTTTTATTAATCGCCTCGTCAGTCAAGTAAATGCCAATTAGATCTAGTCCGAGGTAAGAGGCTTGAAAGGTCTCCGCGCCATTCAAAATAGCAATTAAATTTGGCCACACATGATTCATAACCTGTGATGATGCAAATAAATTGATTTGGTAACATTTGCCAGGGGCAAGTATTCTTTCGCTGTGTGTCGCTAACTTCCGGTCCATCGCTTTCGAAGCACATGCGCTGCCATCTTCGGCCTCCGATCTCTCGTGAACACACCCTTCTTGTTCCCGTCTACGCGGAAGATGAAGGTCGACGGGGTCTGGAAGTCCGCAAAGTTCCACACATGCTCCCCAACGACACTGTCTATCCGATCAAAGACTCTGTGGCTCATTTCCAACACGCGGCTCTGGTATTCCTCACTCCACGGAACATCACCCACAGTGTGCAGCCCAGCAAGAGTATCGGCACCATATTCTGACATCACGATGGGTTTGTTGAACTTCGCTTGCCATTGCAACAGTTCCTTCTCGAGATTGGTCTCAGCAGCCTCGAGGTCGCCCGTGTGCAGGTACCAGCCGTAGTAGCGATTGAGACACAGCACGTCGAACAGGTCGGAAATAAGACATTTGTCGACGCTTGCTTGGAACTCGTTGGCGTAGCAAATCGGTCGGGAGTCTAGATGGCGAGCAAGGGCGACTAACGGTTCGAAATATTCCCTTGCCCCGGGCTCATGTGCCGCCGGCTCGTTGGCAATGGCCCACATGACGACTGAGGGATGATTCTTATCGCGGTCGATGAGTTCTCGAATAGCTTTCTCATGCGATGTCCTCGTCTTGTCGCTGACCGTGTCAGGGGAGTATGTCGGCAACTGCTTCGACCCGTGAAGGCCGGCAACCACAGCCAAGTTCAAGCCAACTGCAGCCGTTTCGTCGATGATGATAACTCCATGACGATCCGCATATTCCATCACTTCCTCTGCGTAGGGATAGTGCGACGCGCGGAATGAGTTGGCCCCGACCCACTTCATCAGCTCGAAGTCGTGGATCATGTATGCGGCATCATGGCCTTTGCCTCGAATAGGGGTATCCTCATGCTTCCCAAACCCGCGGAAATGGAACGGCTCGTCGTTAATCAAGAACCGGTTGTCTTTCAACTCGACTGATCTTATGCCAACGGGAAGATGGTAAGAGTCTTCAGCACGATCCTCGTCATTGACGAGCTGAATACAAAGCTGGTAGAGGTATGCTGCTCCCGGCTGCCACAGATGAACCGAGCTCACCACTACCTTTCCGGTCATCCCAGATGCTTTTCCAACCACCTTGCCGTCTTCATCTCCAAGTGACACATTGACTTTGGAGTCTGATATCGACTGGCTGGTGTTGATCTCAAAGTTGACGATGCCAACTCTTCCTCCTTCGATGACGTCGGTGTTGACGGTTACATCAGAGATATGTATCTGTGGGACACAGTATAGCCACACAGATCGAGCAAGTCCAGCGTAGTTGAAGAAGTCGTGTTGATAGTGTTGCTTTCGCTTCCCGTCCTCGACTTCGATCCTGCCTGGAGGGATCGTCGTCCAGTCCAACTCATTGCTGACAGCAACAGTCAAACGGAACCCTTGCCCCGGCGACACAGCATCAGTGATATCCGCCTCGAATGGCGTATATCCACCAGTGTGTTCCGTGATGAATTGATCGTTCACGTAGACACGGCCCCGATGGGTGGCGGCATCGAAGCGAAGGACATACCGCCTTCCAGACCACGCGCGAGGAATCGTTGCGTGACGTTGGTAGTACACCCATCCGACATGGTTTCGAATCTTTGGATCGATGAGGATGTCGTTGTAACTGGCTGGTACAGGGACTTGGAGTTGAGATGTTAGATCATGTTCCCATGCTTTCGGCTGCGGCTGTGTCGAAGGTTCCAAGGCGAAGTTCCAGACCCCGTCAAGTGAGACGAGTTCCCGAATAGCGTTAGCCTGTGGCTTGAGCATATTGTCTTGAAAGAATATCCTTCGAGGAAGAGAATGCGATTTCAAACATGCCGTGAGCTTGGGGGTCAGGCTATACGACTGATGATTTAGTTGAAATACACCGCGGCTCAAGATGGGCACACTTGCTCCCATAGGCCCCACCAAATACGAAGCGCAATATTAGCTACCAACTATCATTGTGTCATAGTGAGGGGTATGAACTGAGTACCCATGATCTTTTAGGCGTCATGTGAGCTATAGGTGCATCGGACAGGTGGATTGATCTCGACAGAGTGCACTTTACGGAGACCGGGCAACGATCGGCCGGTGGTCGGCCGGTCATCGGCCGATGGTTTTCCGGGGCTAAACATCCATTTTGGTCCACACCGAGAGCTTGAGTGTTAGGATTTTCTGCATTCACCAAACACATGGGGTAAGTACAGTTGAACTATGGAAACGAGTGCCGGGCTTTTGGAAATGTTCGGCTAAAGGCCGGTCGGCTCACGTTGCAACGGCCAACCATCTTAAGCCATCATCAACAAAGTGGATGAAGTGAGATGGGCTTGCCCTGTGATGTCAGGGATCGGGCATGGTCGAGAGGCCGGGACATATTTCTGAACCCCAGAAATCACGCTGTTCTTATATCCATGGGTGTAATGTGACATGATACTAAAGCTGCTCTGGTCAGTATTGACCATTTTTGGTAACAATAAGCGTCGTCGCTGAAGGTCCCCACGAGCTCTAGGAAACCTGTTTCCCCACGGTTGGTCTTCATAAAGAACCACCCCACATCCCCGGACTTTCCAAAACGTCGGGACTTGCGACTACTCAACTTTTGAGCTTTGAACTCTTGTGTTGCTTCTTGCACTGTCCGTGGTCGTTCATTGCCGCTGTCTCGAATTGTCATTCATTCTCTTCATTCTCTTTCTGTCACCAAGAGATGACACAAGATCGCGACGGTGCTCATATAGCCGAGAAGCCGAATGGCGACCATCTCGAGGAAGCAGCCGAGATGGACCATGAAGCCGGCATCTCGAAAGAGGGTGGGGAAGTAACACCTATCACCTCTGCATTTGCCGACTGGAGTAGGGCGAAATGTATCAAGAAGTTCTGGAGGCTCTACGCTTGCGGCCTTTCTGTGTCGCTTGCGGGAATGTCAGTTTGCTCCCCATGAATTCACAAACCAGACACGCTGAGACTTCCTTCCAGGTACGCGGGCTATGCCAATTCGGTAGTCGGCAGCATCGTCGCCAACGAAGGCTTCATCAAGCAATTCGCTACCGTTCGAGACCCCAAGACTGGCCAACCGGCTCTCAACGCCAACCATGTCTCCCTATGGAGCTCCATGTTCTTCGTCACTGCCATCGCCATTCAGCTCATCGCTCCCCACACAGCGGATCGCTTCGGGCGGAAGTTCAACATGTGGGGAGTCACGTTCTTCCTGACATTGGTAAACAATAATCCTCCACACCCCTAGAACCGACAAAGACTAACAACAAAAGTCCATCATAGTAGCCATTATATCCAAGGATTGGATCGTCCTCCTCGTTGCCAGACTGATCGCAGGCTGTGCCGGTGGTATGATGGGCACCTCCGTCATGGTATACATGTCCGAGATTGCAATGCCTCAGTTCCGTGGCGCGCTATTGGGCAGCTTTTCCCTCGCCTTTTCGTTGGGTCAGGTTTTCCTTGCCATCGGACTCAAGATCCTCGAGGACACCAACCCCATGCACTTCAGAAACATCTTCTACTCGGAGTTTGTGTTCTGCGGACTCTGGATCATGCCGATGCTTTTCTTACCGGAGTCTCCAGGTACGTTTTAAACCACCTAAAAGCAGCGTTAGGCCATAGCTAACTAGGCTCAGCCTGGTATGCCTCCAAGGGAGAACACGAAGAAGCCAAGAACTCTCTCCGAAGACTTGTTGGAAACGTCGAGGGTTATGACGTTGAACATGAGTACGCTGTTATGCGGTATGAAATCGACCAGTCAATCGCCCTTTCCCAGTCCCTCGGTGGCGATAGTGATTGGAAAGCCCTCATGACTCCAATCAACCTCAAGCGTGCTATCATCTCAACCCTGCCCCTGACCTTTCAGAATGTCGTTGGCGTGCCCCTCATGTTTGGCTACACAACATATTTCTTCTCCATGGCAAACGTCGAAGATCCCTTCTTGGGCAAAATCATCATCAACGCCATTCTTCTGGTCGGGATCATCTTGTCGTTCTACATGGTTGACAAGGTCGGTCGCCGCACCCTGGTTCTCGGAGGTGGTTTCGGCATGATGGTCATTTGCTTCATCGTCGGCGGCCTGGGGTTTATGCAACCCACCTCGGCGTCCGGTCCTGTACTGATTGCTCTATGCGGTATCTGGGCATTCCTGTATGCCAACTCACTGGCTCCAATCGGTGAGCCTGTCATTAGTTTAACCTTCTGGGATCGATCATACGTATACTAATATTTCTAGGCTGGATCTCCCTTGTCGAGGTCTCAAGTCCGAAGCTGAGGGCGAAGACAACTTCACTAGCTGTAACTGTTCAATACATCACGGGTATCATTTTTGTAAGTCATGGCATCACATCTTGTCATTTTCATGCCCATCCAAGCCTAACCAGAGTAGAACTACACTGTGCCGTTGATGCTTTCAAATCAGTACGCTGGCTGGCAGCAAAAGATCGGTCTCTTTTTTGGAGGCGTCACCTTTGTATACCTCATCCCTTGTGTTCTACTCTATCCCGAGACAAAGGGGCGCACATATCAAGAGCTTGATGAACTATTCGAGCGTCGTATTCCCGCATGGAAATTTGCTAAGACAAAGACAGCGCATCAGGCCGGTATCGAGCTGCGCGCTCGAGACCTTTAAGCTGTGGCGCATACATCAAATGATTCACGAGGCTTACCTACATCTGTACCGTATTCTGCTTTAGCTACTGCGTTGGATGTTATAATACCTTGCCGAGGGCGACATTTCGAATTTTAATTTATTAGGCTCGGCTTCGATGTGAATGGACCTGCTACGGTCACTCAAACCATAGGAAATGTATCAAATGAAATGTTTATCCAAATTGAAATTGGGTATATGAATCATACGTTCTCCCTCCTAACCATTAAATTGACACTTCTGTCATCGACTCCTCCGTACAATAGGAGCGACATGTGGAAACAAGTAAATGCTCCTTCAGTGTGTATGGACTTTGCCGTTGATCGAATACTCCTTCTCAGAGTATGTACGTTTCCATTGGCACACGAGAGTTGAATGCGATTTACATCAAACAGATTCCAGCGTTGCAGTCCTAGATCAACATTAGCCAACGGATCTCTAGATGGTCCATGTTGAGATACGAACCGCCCTGCACCGAGCCAAGCAAATCTACACTACGTGTTAGCCATCATGTACAGTTGTCATCATTGAGCGACTTACGCATTTATTGTGTTGACCGTTGTACCGACAGCAGACGTTGTATCTACCACTCGAACCTTGACCCGGGCTAGGAGATCCGCCATTGTCGCCGACAGGCCCGCCGTTCTCACCCTCGTTTTCGTCGCCACAGTCGGGTGGGTGGCCTCTGAGAGTCAAAGGGTTGTAAGGGTCACGAAGATCCATTTGGAACTCCATCAATGTCTCGGGGCTTGCGGCATAAGCTGCCGCCGCGAACATAACCAAGGGAAGAAACAGCTTCATCTTGACAGCGGTGTCTTGTTACTGAGTGCAAAATGAGAGAATAGGCAATCAAACAAGGCTTAAGAAAGCACGAAGCGGTTTATATGTAGGGACCATCCAGTAGTCCCAAGGCCTCGGAGGCATCGCATTGACTCGCTTTAATGTGAGCGTCACGTTTCCTCTCAACTTATTCATCAAAAGTTATCGACAATGGGCGATGTTCTGGAATCCGGCTGACTCGGGGAAATAAAACCGTTTGGCTTATTTTCCAGCGATATGCAGCAAAGCCCTGCGCATTGCCCTGCGCTTTGATTGCTCAGCTTTGAGTGGGCGAGACTTCAGCCAAAGTTTAAAAGGTCATTTGCTCCAGTATGCGCACACTGAGGCGCGAAATATGCTGCTTACTGAGAGTCTGAGGGCTTACCTATGCAACGTTCCGGAACTTCCATGCAGGTCTCATGCATACGCGCACAGTCAGCGCATAGCAACCCCTGACTGTGCTGATGAAACCTCGACCTGAGCCCCGGAACACGCCGCGTATTCTTAGTGATCAGTCTATGGTGCCATTTTTGAGCGATTCACCCAAAGGCCTCGGCGACAGCTCAGTATCGTCCTCCATGGCAAATGACGGCGAGAAGGTGTTGGTAATTGGATGGCGAACCGGCGATGACCTTCTGGACGTATGCACTTGTGTGTCCAGGTATTGAGTGAGAAAACTCCCGCGAGCTGTAGCTTGGATATATATCGGGAAGGCTTGTTATTTTTTCGCGTCAAACTTTGTGCAATTATTAAGATGAGCGCACACCGGTTGTCGAATAGCACTTGCATGAGAAATGCACTAGGCGTTGCGGCTTTCGGTTCCACCCTCGCGTTGCCTCACCACAAAAGGCAGATATCCAGCCCTTGATTTGGGTTGCTTCTGATCAATTTGTTGAGCCTCGTCCGAATGCTTACATTGGAGCATAGAGCAGCTCTACTGGTGCTAGGCATTACTTTTATGCTAACTGTAGCAGATGTGCAGTTACGTCCGAGGCTGTGTTGACACCGCCCATTGTGGCATAATACACAATACCGCACGAATGTACAGTACCCGAAAAAACAAGTACTGCCATTATAATCGTCTCATAAGGGCCGTCATTGGCATCACCGGCGTGTTATGAATATGACCTAGCCTTTCTGCAGGGCGAGACAGCAATAATTCATTCTCTGCTACTGATCTTTGACGAGGGAAATGAGCTGATGTATGACCCCAGTAGTGATCGTCCTCGAGGAGTGAGCAGTTGAGAAGGGGCGCAGATACGACTGAGCCAACTCGTCCGGACTCACCTGTACGGTTGCTGAGTCGAGGACTCAAAGTGGACGGCCGCGGAACTCCGCCGCAGCGTTATAAAAGGTATGCCTGCATCGCAACAACTGGAAAATCTAGGTCTTAGTCACATTCCTTTATGTCATTCTTCCCTTGTGTTGCAACTATCATAAGGCCAATGACGTCGAGCTTGTCAATTTATGAAATAGCTAAAGATGGATGCCGAATCTGTTCCCTAAAATACACTGCGCGGCGGCCGCTTATTAAGTGGCCAAGGATACGATAGTATCCAACAATCTCCTAGCCTAAGCTCTTCAGGAGAGAAGCTCTTGAAGGTTTCTGAAGTGCAAATGTGGCCAAACGTTGCCCAGGGGCCAAATCCATCTGCATTCGGCTCTTCGTGGCAAGTCCATGTGGCAAGGAACCTCCCCGGGTTCTTGTTGACTGATGCGGTTGCTTCTGTAAACCTTGCGCGGTCTTTCTGAAGGTTAGCTGGTGATAAAAGCTCTAAATTGCCTTCAAGCATTCCGAATGCTGGTCTTCTCACCCTGGACTTTTGCTGCGTCGTTCTTGCTGAAGTCGAACGACCAACTCGTCATGGCACTGCCTTGAGACCCAAAGGCATTGGAGCCACCTGGGCTGCTCTTTCCGAACGCACCAAAAGCGACTGTGTCGGCTGCTGTGCTTCTCTTTGCTTCGAACCTCTTTTCAAATTTGAGGGTTCCTGGCATGCCGGCCGCCAGTCCCGATGTCCCGTTTGTTGTGCCAAAATTTGATAGAGGCTGACTTGGGACTTGGCCAAAGATATTGCTGGTTCCGTCACCAAACCCAGTGGGCTTTCTGGAAATGGATCCAAAGAGTGCTCTATTCTCAGCCGGAGAGATCTTCTCGGGCTTCATGGCAGTTTTTGCATAGCTTTCGGGGGGAGGTAACTTGACCACTGGGGCCTTCGTCTTCTTTGCCAGGGTGGTCTCGGCTGACGATTCTCCTTGCGTGGGCGTTATGACGATAGGGACTGTTTTTGGTGTGAGTCCTCTAAACGTTCTCATCTTGAAGTAATCAAAAACTGCTTACCGATCGTGTGCATCCCTCCAGCAGTCTCCAGCTTAGTGCTTTTTGTGGGGGTGGTGCGTTGCACTAAAGGAAGATTGTTAATATGCTGTGTTCTTTCGGTGTTGAAGACATGGAAATTTTCTCACTCATCACGCCTCTGGGTCTGTACCGGCGGCACTGATCCAGGCCCTACTTGAGCAGCTTGATATCGATCTGCAACTGTGTGCGGCGCTCCCGTATTTCCTCTGACTCGGCCGCAAGCTCCGCCAACCTCGTGTCATTCATTTCGTTCACGGCCTTTGGTGTCAAAATTCCTGGGAGTTCTTGAATGAGACAGCTTTCTGTCGCCAGGTTGATCAGATTATTAGTGAATGTGCGCAACGCCATCTACGCCAAGTCAATAAGCTTCCATACGGCTGGCTACAATAAGAAAGCATAATACGTACGTCGTAGAATATCTGCATTGTTTCGATGGCCCGCCCAGTACCAAACTCATTGCGCCGGTATGGGAGGTCTGCTCTCGAGTGTCGTGAGCCGTCTGGGTCGTCGTCGTCTTCGTCGTCTGGGGCACTTTCTAAGCTACGATCATAAGTTCTGGGGTTCATAGCTTCCTGGAAGTCAACGTCGAGAGGTAGCGCATACCCCTCCTGAATAGGTCGGAGGAGCTCCCGCAACTTTTTCTCGAGAATCTTCTCTTTTGCATCGAAGAAAGGATCGACGCAGGTCGACAGAATCGTGGAAGTGGTATTGCAGGTGTCCAAGGGCCCAGCAACGTGCTCAAATGCCTCGTCCACGAACGTCTTCACAACAGCAGTGACCTTCTCCAAATGTACCCTGGCGACGGCCTCCCAGGGCTTCGACTGTCTTTGAAAAAGCTGCAGTATCAAATTCGTACTGGCGTATCCGGGAAACTCGGTGCCCTGGTTTGCGGCCGCTTGCCGCTCCAGTTGAGTGGCGATCTCTGACCAAGTGATTGGCTCTGGCATTGGAAGATCGTACGGATGCTTGTCGAGGAACTCTTGAAGATGCAGAGGAATAACGCTTTGTCTCGTAGAGCCAGGAGGGTCAGGAGATATCTTCTGTGATGACCCCTGCACCAGGAGGATGTGACAAATGGCTCGATTGAAACTCCGCAGGTGAGACCGCAACTTCCGATCACTACCATCAAGGCCGCCGAAAAACGGATCAGTGTAGTGACCCTGAATGCTGTCGCGGACAAGTCTCTCGAACCTTCCCGCGATGTCCACGAGATATGCCCTCATGTCGACCGAACTGGATCTGACCTGCCCTAAGCGTGCGAGCTCGGCCTCATGTTCAGCGATCTTTCCCCGAATCTCTTCAAGAACACCCGGGAGACTTTTCTTGATATGATCGTGAAGAATATGGCTTAGACGCTTTCGTAGAGCAGATATGCCCCGATGGATTACCGTTATGGACGCCCAAGACCCGGATTCGAAGAACTTTCTTTCAACTGCGTCCCGATAGTCAGGGTCTGCCTCAGATTCGTCGTAGTCTGGAAGGTTGCGCAACACATGCCATCCTAGTTGCAGGTTGTGCACCGCCTCGCGCCCTCTGACTACCTGAAGATACTCGAGTTCGTCGGGAGATCCTGGATGGAGAAGATCTGGCTTAGTAATGACTCCAAGTGTTCGCTCTCTAGCGGGGTCGTGTTTCGCGGCCTCCTCCAGGACTCTCTGGTTGGCGAGCTGATTACCCGCTGATATGACGGCGAGTATGATGCTGTTTTCTTTTTTCATATAGCTCTCCACCAGCTCCATGACGGTTGTTCTGCCCTCGGCTGATTGCTTCGCTGTTGCGGTGTGGAAGATTCCAGGCAGATCAACTAGGGTGAGAGGATACAGGTTCGGGCCTTCGACCTCCAGACGAAGAACGTCCTTGGAAAATCCTCTGGTGGAGTCGGTGAGGCCCATGTTCTCTTTGGCGGTGGCGACAATTCTGCCAATATCCTCTCTCCCATAATAGTCGACCCGCGTCTCCAGTACAGGCTTAACATCGTTGTGGAACTGAATTGTGGCCTTCACGCGTCGTTGGCTGCCATTTCGGAGAACCAGCTCCGTGGCAAAACGTGTGCACAAGCCCGAGCTGACGGGGAACTTGACATGAGATATGGCTTCGAGGACAGATGACTTTCCGGATGACTGATCTCCAACGACGATAATCTGAGGGAGGTTGACAATCCTGCCAACGCCGAGAGAGGAAAGCTTGTCCGTAATATCGAATAAGGCACGAGTTTCGACGGAGTTCAACTCGTCGAGAGCTCCAGGATCGAGTCTAACTTCAGCCATGTTTGCAAGAGTCTGCGTAAGCTGCAAATAGCCGTGAGCTGACTGTCAACAATCCAAGTAAATTTTCCACGGTGAGCAATGGCATCGTAATATCCTCAACGTATACTCACCAAAACCCAATGTCGGACTTGTTGGTTCGGCCTGTCGGTTCGACCTGTTAGTTCATTTGCGATGGGAGTGGCGCAGCTCATGCATACCACCTAACCACGCACAACTTGACACAGCTGAAATGCAGGAGACCCGACCCAACCTTTGGCCCAAAAACAAAATACTGCACCAGTCTGCAGTTGATGGCCTGATGCCTAAAGCCTGTAATCTCAATCAGGCAAGGCTCCGCGTACGCCATTCTTGATTCGGGTGTTTTACTGTCGTATGGGCCCCAATCCCCGCGCACCTGGTAGGCGCGCGCCAACACGTTAGTTGTCACTGTTGGTATCATGTATCAGAGGGCCAGCTCTGATAGCGTGGGACTTTTCAAGGTAGTTGGGCGTCGTTTGGAACTCAGTTGGGAATATCTGGTGGGCGTCGCAAAGCTAAACGCAACGTGGACGACGCGAAGTCCCTTTTACACCTACCTATATGGAGCTAGACCATAGGCTTGTGCGCATATGGAAAGAGTTGTGCTGTCATAGTTCGACAACTACACGCCTCTCGAAGCGATCTGTTATCTCTCATGACTCGTTATTCCGACGTCGGCTTTGACGTGCCAGCCGTGAGAGAGTAAAACCTACGCATATCAATGTGTTGGGCGTCGTTTTACCATTACGGAGCCTGCTGCTTACCCTGTAAGAAGATAAGATTCCACGCAAGAATCGCTGATCCTGTTTGGGCGAGATTGCCTGATACGATAGAAGATCTGGACTAGCATTTGCACGTACATATGATAACAAAGTCCTGCAAACATTCAATTGTCACTCTGAGCCCTGTCGTGTCACAGCTTGCCTTACATCGACATGAAGCAGCGTGGCAACTTTTGGAAGCTTTTCCAAAGTCTTCAGTTCCTCGGGTTCGGTGGTCCCTTTTAACCCCAAGTTACTCATCTCATGCAAGACCTGAGACCTTTTAAAATCGAATTTTTCTGACGGTATCGGAGTAGATATGCGAATTCAATCCATAAAATCTCAGCGCGCTAGTAGTGGGCAGGCTGTACCCAATGACACTCTCACATTGATGTCATGCAGTTTTGACCCCTGTCAGTAAGAAATGCCTCGATTATGCAATTGCGTGGTCTGAAGTCTGACAAAAGGACCAGCTGCCGAGGCGCGGGGATTTTCGACCAGTTGCAGCCTGGGTGGGAAAATTGTCTGTCACAACCAAAGCCTAGGTACACATCCTCCCTGAAGTCAACTAGGTATGTTATGCTCAGTTTGTACAAGCATTAACTTCAGGGACTTTTCTTCCCAATCGGACGAACGCTTACCAAACTGGTACTACCTATTTCGATCTCAGAATGTAACTGCAGACATTCACGGGTCATTCTACCCATATTCTCACCAGCCGAGTGTCGAGGCACTGCGCGCCGCTGCAGAGAACGGGTGTCATCTGTGCGCATTATTACTCGACAACTTCAAGCACAGCATCTTTGGTGACCGTAGTAGGCCTTCTCGTGTGCTTCCAGAGAGTGCAGTCGAGATCCGCTGGTATCCAGATGTTCAATTCGGTAGTGGGAATGACAGAGCGACACATCGCTGTCTAGCTGCATTCCTACTCACGAAACCCAGTTTATTCCAAGTTCCGTTCCACTTCACGCAGTATGAAGGTCCGGTTGCTCTTGCCCATGTCTTCGAGGCATAGTATGATCCAAGCTAATGACCACTACAGGCGGGATCAGCTCCATCCTATCATCGAAAGCAGTCAGCTCTTCATGGGCAACTGGCTCAGATGACGATTTTCGTCTCGCGGCTTCCTGGGTAAAGCGGTGTCTCGCAACCCATTCTTCTTGCAGCCTAGTTACTAATCCTCTGGCGCCGCTCCCCTCTCGTGTGCTGGACGTCATGGCGAAAAGCTGTCCATCGGGACTCCGCCTTGTTGACGGTGCCGGACGACTCGGCCCATACATTACGCTGAGCCATTGCTGGGGAAAGTCTTCGATTATTACTACAAAGCAGGACACTATTACACAAAGAAGACAGTGTGTTCTCCTGGAAGACTTATCTCAGACCTTCCGCGATGCCGTTATTGCTTCAAGAGCATTGGGTGTACGGTATCTGTGGATAGACTCTCTTTGTAAGTCTTACGCTTGTGCCAATAATCGGCACCCTTAGCTTCGTTCTGCTTAGGCATATCCTCTCTAGGCATCATCCAAGATTCGAAAGACGACTGGGAGTTTGAGGCTAAAAGGATGTGCCAGTACTACACCAACTCTATCATGACCATATCAGGGGTCAGTTCATCTGGTGGCGAGGGCGGCCTGTTTGCGACGCGGCATCCCGGCCTTACATCTCCGATACCAACAGAAATTACCTTCCCTGAAGATGGAAAGCTGAAAGGGTTTGCGCATGCACTATATTTTCCCGACCCGGCACGCGATATTTGGGGCGACCATAAGCCCCCGCTATGGACAAGAGCATGGGTCGTCCAGGAGCGTGTCTTGTCACCAAGGCTGCTTTTGTTCTCCTTGGCCCAGATGAGCTGGCAGTGCCAAGAGGAAATTGCATCAGAGAATATCCCAGAAGGTAGGCCTCTGGAAAGTAGCAGAGAGGATGTGGACATGCGGTGGTCGATTATGGGTTGGCAACGTGCGCAGTCTACATCCCAGATTGGGGAAGACCTGTACTCATCGCCTGTCGCATCTCACAGACTCTATCACGGCTGGTACGAGATCGTGTGGGAGTACACGCACTGCAAATTGACCATGCCATCCGACATCTTTCATGCCGTTGCTGGCATAATGCAGGCACTTCAGTTCGCGTTGAAGGATGAATATGTCTCCGGACTCTGGAAAGGCGACATACACCGGGGACTTATTTGGGTGGTGGCCGAAGGAGTCAAGAGCCAGACGGCATTGAGGTCATATCGCGCCCCATCGTGGTCGTGGGGCTCACTGCCGGGGGCTTGCAGGTTCATTTTGTCTAATGCCCCTAGAGAGTTCATCGATACGAGATGGCTACACATTCTCAGCATTGAGGCGTTGGGTCAGGATGAGTCACAGCCGGTGCTGAGAGTAAGAGGTCGACTTAGGAAGGCGTACTACGTGCCCTATGTTGAATACGATTTCCAAAAGCACTTCCCGGCAAAGCTCAAGCGGGGCGACGACCTGGTTGACGCAGAGACTGGCGAGTCTTTAGGGGCAGTGACGATCGATAACAATGAGGTGTCCCTTCTCGTTGAGCTGTGTTGTCTTCCCGTTTGTCTTGTTAGGTCCAACGTGCCAGGGCACGTCCGCAAGCGAACGGCTATGGGGTATTTGGAATACAGCTGTCTTGGGAAGCACCGCAACATGAAGTCGCCTCCGGTTTGGATTGAAGGACTGGCCTTGCAGTGTCTTGACAAAGAGAAACACGTTTATATGAGAGTTGGGAAGTGGCGGTGTGAAGACCTCAAGTTATTCCGGTGGTCCAAGTCTCGAGCACTATCCATCGTCTAGGGCATATGAGGGGTTAAGCCGGCGCCGGAAGCACAAGTGGGGCTGCCATCGGATCCGGCCCGGGCGCTAACGGCCGAAAAGCGCCCTCTTCTCAACCGCATGTTTGTCGCACCTTTGCTCAATGTTTTGCTCTTTTGAAGTAAACCAAACGCAAAAGAAAGACCAGAATTGCATTGCAGATTTTCGGCGCTAAATCTATTGACACAATGATTGCTGTCTTATCACGCGGTGCCTATCACCGGCCGAAATCCAATGCATGATGCCGGAGGCCGACAGCAATCGCAGATGTCGTTGGGAGCCAGCGAAGCCAAGCGCATGTCTTGCGCTAGGTTCTCACCTTTCCTTCACGAAAGTTATGTAAAAACGCAGAGCTTTTGCGGCAAGCTCCTGGAGGACACAATCTACCGGAGGTCCTGTGGCGTGGCAATCTAATCTGGTCAATTGGCGTCGGTCCGGCTCCCAGTTGAGTACATGAAGCAATGAAACTCATATGATTTACAAGCGGTCACCACGGCTTCCGTTTCTCAACTTGCACTCTCACTCGCGCTACCGAAATGGCCACTCTTGACCACATGAAGCGCGCGTTGAGGCAACAGGCCAAATCCGACGATGCACTCGCCAGCCAACCTCTGTCCGACGAGCAGTACAGCGCAGGCTTCAAATTCTTCGTACAATGTTCAACCGCATACGAGGACTTCATCCTGCCTCAACTCATTCAGCTCCTCGCCCTAATCCTCAAATCACGCCTCCGTGTCTCCGTGCTGGAAATCGGACCGGGCCCGGAGAGTGTGCTTGGACGCCTGCCTTTGAAAATAAGGCAGAACATCACGAGGTACTCTGCGCTTGAGTCAAACAGTATTTTTGCTTCGCATCTGGAAGAGTGGCTAAAGTCGGCGTACGAGTACGGGCTACCGCGGCCCTGCTTAGAGAGTGAAGCCGGCCTGAGACGAACGCCCTTGGATCCTCAAGCGTGGCTACATCTGTACTGCACTGGAACTGCTAGTGGACCAGCCAGGAAACGGCACGGCAATCCTCTTCCACAGAGATGGACCACTTCTCTTGCAGGGCCTAGTACTTTACCAAGTTGCAACTTTCCCCACAGGAATCGTTCGAGTAGAGAACAGTGACGACTCCCTGGACCGCCTCATCCCATTCATTGCAGGCTACGTGCCACAAACCACAGCTACTCAACTCCAATGGCGCAACATCTGCCGCTCCCTGGGCCGACAAGTCGAGGCACATCTCATCTTCGCCGCGCCGGAGGTCATGATGGCTTTCACGCGCCATTCAACAGCACTGCCTGAGATAGCGTCGAGGGTGCCGGTCGCGGACGGGAAGATGCAGGTTAAGAACTAGGAAGCTCATCTACAACGCTCGGCCGCGGCCTTCAGACCTACCAAGATTCAGCATGTCCAGGACTGTGTCCGATGAGCTTCGAAACACTGCACAGCATTGAGGGTTGTAGGCGGGGGGCACAGCGACCATTGTCTGTGGCCTAATGTTGTTGCCTTCGGCATGAGCCCTTTCAACCAGGTTCACATTATCACAGATGAAGACGATGTCGACGAAGCCGGAAGTCTAGTCATTGCCGGAGCGGGCTGCAAAGGAGGAGAAGGAGACATCATTCAAAAAGCCATGAAAAGGGGCTCACCGTGCCTCTAGGCTCTAAACCTACCGTATACTAAGCTTTATTCTCTCTATTTTCTCATATATAACGGAAGTCTAACCATACTATCTTCTTATATAGGATATAAACTAGTTAGTAGTAACTAATAAGAAATATAGCATAAGAAAGCCTAGAGTCCTTAGATAAGCAGCTAGAGTATATATTTATGTAGTTATATCCCTTGCGATATTATTAAAGCAAGGTATTCTAAACATAATCAGATTATTAAGATAGGTGTGTAAGTTTTTACATTAAACAAATCATTTAGCTATAAATAAGAGATCAAACAAGATATCTAAATTAAACTATCCCTTTGTATTAAAGAAACTAGTAATAACTAAGCTTAACGTAATTAGAAATAACATACGTATGTGAAAGACTTGCACCTAGTTTCCTCCTCTTGAATGGATCGGCTTAAATGTGGAATCCGGTCATCTCGGGTGTCATCAACAGTCTGGAGCTGGACTGCTCGCTGCCCCCTGGCGAATCGTGTTCCTCATCTATGCCACGCTCGTACTCCTGAATATTGATTTCGCTTTGAAACAGAACTGAAAACGAGCGAATAGGACGCGTCGCCATTTCTGAAGACCACGATTGGGATGTGAAGACAGAGGCTTCACGAGTATGATATGGTTCCTGGCTACCCATCATCGTGACAGATACAATAGGTGAGAGGGAAGAGGTCATGGGGATGCTGCGTTGGAGTGACGGAGAGAACATGGATGTTGTGCTACCTTGAACACCAGCTGCCTGTACAGCACTGAATGATGGCTGCTCAGGAGTCCTGGTCATCTGGAGTCCAGTCCTTGGAGGCCCCATTTCTTGTGGTGGAGGTGGTAATTGGTGTGCCCTTGGGCGTCGTTGAAGATCCTTGGAAGTCCTTGCACCGTGGGCGATGAGGCACTGCTTCTTGGGTTGGTTGTTGAAGTGAACGTCCAGTGGCGTCCTGCCTATGTCAGAAACGGCGTTCACATCAGCGCCAGCATCGACTAGGAGCTGAATAATTTCCACGGTTTTTGCGAAGTGCTATCAACGTTTCAAATTAGGTCTTCAGGGAACCGCGGAAATTGAAGAGGTGAATTACCAGAGGAGCCCAGCGGTAAGGCGTCTGGAAGGATGGATCAGCTCCTCTGCGGAGCAAGGTCCTGACTGCTTCTGTATGTCCGCCTGCGGCACATTCATATAGACTGTTCATCAATTCCGGTCTCGTGTCGTTTATACACGCCCCAGCCTGAATGAGAAGTTTGGACACGTCCTCGTGGCTGGCCGAGCCTCCAATAGCGGTCCATGGTGTCCGGCCATTTCGGGATCTTACATTGACGTCTACATTCCGGCTAAGTAGAAACTCGACTACTCGCGGCTGGTTGTGGATGCTAGAAATATGCAGACACGTCTCTCCATCGTTGTTCTTCGGGTTCTTTGAGCCGAACACACCCCAGAGAATCTCGACCAAGTCTAAGACGCCCTTCCGAACCGCTAGGAACAGTGCCGCACGGAACACATCCTCGTATTCGCTCTTGTCAACATGGGCGACATCACCTCGGACAGAATCGCAATCGATGCGGTATGTGCCGAGAAGAATATTAAATCCCGTCGTGAAAGTGGTCATCTCAATTGGAATGGCGTATTCTTTGGACGTCTGGGCAGCAATCAGGAGGCCATGAGCGATGGCCTCGTAGAGCTCATGAATCTTCTGATGAGACATACTGCGGCCACTTGAGCCCCAGATCCTGATGAAAGCACCACAGGACTGCAGAGTTTCCACAATCATTGTCTTGTCTTGGAGGTCGATCTCGGGGGTACTGCCAGTCGCCGCCTCGGGGCTTTCGACTATGTCGATGGCGTCAAAACCGACGGGGCTACTAGTGTCGTCGGGTTCCCATTGGTCGGCGACTGGTGTCGGAGGCTGTGAAGCGGGTGTCGAGACAGCTCCGACTGGGGTTCCTCCTGAGATAGCGGAGGCTGGAGTTTCGATGCGGTACCCTTTAGGTGTGCATGGGCTCGGGGCTGCTAACGTTAGGGGGATGTCTTGCCTCGATCGATGTGTACGCACCTGCCCTCGCCGAAAGATATGCCTGCTGCAAAGTCGTAACGTGACGAGATATCTCCTTCTGGATTTCATTCATCGGAATCCGCCTGTCCTGGATATAGAGAGCGCTTTTTCGGCCGTCGCCATGCCGTTTGCGCATCCTGTGGTCGACCCAGGCCCAGTTCTCGCCTTTTTTGTTCTTGCTCAAGCCCCACTCTCTGAAGAGACGTTCGTAGGTTGAATTTCTGGAGTCAGAGTATCTATCAGAATCCATGATGCTCGCAACCTGACAGCACGGAAGTTTGGAGGCTATCGACCTACCCGGCGGTGATGGAATGCTCGCTCTTCATGTACGCAATAACCTGCTGAATTTTCATATCCTGCTTGATGTAAAGGCTCTCAAGTAGATCATGGTGCTTTCTGAGTTCGCGAGCCATTGCGATGGTCCGATGGGCGAGAAAGTAAGGGGTAAGCAGATGGGAAGTGTTTCGTCAGAAAAAGCGATGTTGCAGAAGAGGGTAAGATGTAGTTAGATACCAGGAGACAAAAAGCACCTGATGAGACGGGGCGGTGATGAGAAGGATTATGTACGCACCAAATACCAGTCGGCTGGGGTCGTGTCTTACAAGTACGCCAGGACGGGAGGCATACAGCGAGGCGGCATGGGGCGCGGCCAGGCAGGCCGGTGCCAAAGAAAATAGAGACTCATATGTTACCGCGCCAAATTCCTAACAAAGATACCTTAAGAGCCACACGAATCCAGGCTAACACAAGTATTTCTAGCTAAAGCCAAGGCACCCGCCTGCTGGAACCCTCTGCCCGTACTCCCATTGGACGACGCCAGAACCATCATGTTTCGGGCCGTATACGTCTCTCCCGCCTTCCCGACTACGCACCTGCCTTGCCGTTTCCATTGTCATGGATGTTCTCTCCAGCCCGCTCACCTCCTTCCCATTCTCCCATTGGACAAGGCCACAATTATCACCATGTGTGTATGCAGCGAACCCTCCCACCAACGCCTACTCATATTCTTTCTGGCGCGTGGGGTCAACGAGGGACATGGGGCCTGGGGGCGACCGGGGGCACATAAGGCACACCCACGCACTACAGGCCGAGTACGTACCTAGGTGTTTGGGCTGACTGATTTCTTTTCCGGCTTTCTGGTTGGTTCATACCACAACCATCACTGATTTAGAGAAGCTTTGATTGGCTCACACCAGAACCATCATCAATATACGTACGTCGAGCCTTTTGTACTACCTGCCTTACTTTGGAAAATGGGGTCAGCGAATCCTGTGTCTCGCGATGTCTCGCAATGCCGGTTACTTCACAGCCTCCACCATCAGTTAATTGGTCGGGGCCCAAACCGTCGTCTCGTGGGTTGACCCACACGCTACTTAGCTCTGCCTACCTGCATGCTACCAATCCAGCGTCCCACGAGAGAGCGAATAGCATTGCGAAAACGAAGGCACGTCACAGCATCGAAATTCATGCTAACGGAACCTGGCGAGATGCGCATTCCAGTCTTGCAGCAGCATTTGATATACAATGGTCTCATAGGCTGATCCTCGGCATACTGAGGGACCAGTCCATTTCGAAATACTTTCCACTTTCCGCGCCTGGTCATGCTTGGTCCTCCTGAAGCCTATCCATAAGTATATATTATTGACATCGTCCTTGAATCCTCCAGGTCAGCTGTACACTGTACTCTTTCTGAAGCTCGTCGGTGCTGCTCCCTACTTCCTGGCGTCGTTGCTCCACGCCGGTAACCCTACACCTTTAAGCCAAGCCAATTCCTGATTGGAAACTACCACGTCCTCGTCTGACCTCGCCTCCGGCAAGATTAACTTCGAGGATAGGCCCCTCTTAAGCTCCTTTGATCGGTGCGTTCTATCCGACCTATTCCTTGTGTATGGTGCCCAGCAAGCGCCCTATTTCATTTTCCTTCACTGGTACCGTGAGTAACGAGTAGCTAATGGCGCGGCTCGACTGATAGGCAGAGGCAAAGCCTTACTACTACCTATTGACGAAGAAGAAACCTAACAGCTCCACCAAGACCAATCTGATTCTATTATCGAACCGAGCTTAACAGAGCAAATCACGCCGCTTTGCTTCAGGACCTTCTAACTATATCTCCTGGGAAATAGGCAACAAGGGGGCATCATGGAGGAGAAGAAACAAGCTGATGACGCCGTGATCCGAGGATTACGATCACTTGGTGTTGACTTGACCGACGACATCGTTCAGAAAGCGGCTTCCACCTTTAAGGGTATGATGCCTATGGATAGATTCCGCGCGGAGTACCTAGGAGACTGCAGCCCAGAAGGTCTATCAGTCAAGGCATCTACAGATGTCGAGATTGCCACCAGTTGCCAAGAAACGAATGGATCTGTACGCCAGAAGGCTGGATGATTGCGCGGTTACATATTTGCCAATAGCAAATGCCTATACGAGGAAATTAAATTATCTAATGGAGATGGTGTTCGGTGCTCCTGATGTTGACGTGCTTTTCATCACAGGCAAGAGAGATGAAGCGCCGGTTGCGGATTTGAGTCACCTTGTGCCGGAAAGTAAACTCGTCGATATCCGGGTCAACGCCAGCAAGGACATCAGATGGCGCCGACGAGGGGTATCCAATGGCGTGAAAATATGTAACGGTACAACGGATCATCATGGCGAGTCGGCCACATCGGACGCGGAGTACAGCCCCAGCATGGAGTTCCACAACAACGTCGAAGGAAACGAAGCCCTAACTGAGTTTGCTTCAAAGCAATTGCTTCCCCTTGCCCATGACGACCCGAAGAAGCTAGCCGACATGATCCGCGACATACCCGGCTTTCGCGCAGGAATCGACTTCCGTCACGCTGTCGACATCGCCAAGAGACCAGGCGGCCTGGTGCTCTGCATGCCCCTGCTCCAGTCTCACTTCGTGGGTGATTGGAGCAAGGTCGATGCCATTGTCTGCTGCGAGACCGGCGGCTTCATCTTTGCGTCCGCGTTGGCGATGCAACTTGGTAAACCGCTGGTCCCAATCCGAGAAGCCGGCAAGCTGCCCCCACCTATAGTTTCTGTGGCCAAAGCTGCGTCGCATATCTCTTCGGGGGTTGACGGAGTACACGAGAGACGAATTGAGATGGACCGGGATTTGCTACAAGGAGGGGCGTCGGTTGTGATTGTGGATGACGTGTTTGCGTCTGGGGAGACGATGTGTGCTGTGCTGGAGCTGTTGAAGCAAGTTGGTGTTGGTATGGAGCAAGTTAGGGTCATGGTTGTCGCTGAGTTTCCTCTTCATCGTGGAAGGGCATTGCTGCGAAATCGTGGATTGGGGCGGGTCAATGTTCAGAGTCTTTTAGTCTTTGGAGGTGTCTGAGGTCAGCAAAAGATGAAGAGTATTGGTACATCAGCTGACAGAAAAATAACTTTAAGGCATTCTCAGGATTTAGGAAGGAAGTGACGTTCCTGCCAGAAGTGAGGTGAAGTCAATGTCGGCGCCCCCCCACTTGTCATGCGGCCCCACAACGAACCCGCACCGAGCCCGGACACCGATGCGGCTGGGCCGGTGTGTGCCCATGGGTAAGGTGAGCCGCCGGTGTAGCCAATGGCGCCCTCGAACGCGGACAAAGAGCGATCGGTAGAAGATTGGGGAGTCAATGTACTGTGCGGTGAGCAAGACAATATCGGTGACATACTGATCCCAGTGTTTGGCCTGCACAACGCGGTATTGATTTGCACTTCGATAATTGTTGTGGTTCTCAGCCATTGGAACCGCAAAAATGGGCAGCGAACCAAAGTGCAATCCTCCAGCTCCAATGACCAGTGGCTGGTTGTTGATTATGCAGTGGCTGCTTACTGCCGATCTTCCAGTGAGATGACGAATGCCACTTCCGACCCAGGGAGGCGATATCCGCAACGTGACATCACCGCCATTACCCCCGGTACTCAGTCGCATCAACGGACGGGTCTTCACGATGAATGAGCATTACCGAAATTTTCATTGCAATACTGGATATCAACATCAACGCCATTTTCCTATCCCCGTGACTCGCTGATATATCCCAATATGGACCCAAATCCCCCAAACAGAGCGGTATCATAAAAAGCAAACCGTAGCCAATTCCAGCCCTGAACACCGTGTGCCCGTAGAACGTACAATTACATCCCCTTGCGTCCTTTCACCTCCCCACCTGCACGTAGTCTGCAGGGTTATACTGATACGCCTGATACGCCGTCGGGCCTTTCACTCTGTGCTGCGACGCATCCGCCACCTTGATCGGATCCCGGCGGTGCTCCTCCTGCGTCTCCGCGTGCGTCGCCAGCTCCGACGAGAAGCCCTTGTGATCCAGCCCGGGACTAGCGTAGCCTCCGCTGCCGTCGGAGCTCATGCTCGTCGGGCGGCTGCCCTGCTGGCTCGGGCTCGGCTGGCCCTGCGACCAGCGCCACGAGTTCGGGTCCGGGGACAGCTGCGAGCTCTGCTGCGACATGGAGTTGCGGTCGTACTGCGGCGGGGAGCCGGAACCCTGCGGCTGCGGCGACGGCGGGTAGAGCGTCTTGTTCTCGGGCGGGTGGTAGAAGTTCCCCGGCAGCTCGGCGATAAAGGAGGTGTGGCCCGGCGCGGTGTGTTGCTGGTTTTGCGGGGAGCTGGGGAGCTCCATGGGTTGTTGGTGTTGTTGTTGGGCGTACTGCGGCGCGTAGTTGCCCTGCGAGCCGGGGCGGCCCATGCTGGCCATGGAGACGGGGCGGGGCACCTGGTAGCGCGGGGAGGAGACGGACTCGGGGCGGGGGCTCCCGTTGGGGCGCTGGGGCGGGAAGGTGGGTGATCTGGCGCCGCTGATGCCGGTGCTCGTCCTGTCGGCGGGGTTGATCGTCTTGAGCTTGCCGTCCTCGATCATGGCCTGCAGCACGCCGGCGTCGAGGAGCTCTGCCTTTTTGATGATGCGGGAGACCATCTCCTTGCTGGCGGCCTTGAGCTGGGTGCGCACGAAGCTGGTCATGGTGACGTTGCAGCGGATCTCGATATCTTCGCGCAGGTAGAGGCCGTCAACGGGGACACCCAGGCCGGCCATGCCAATCTCGGGCTGGTGCGGGGGCTCGACGCCGGGCTGGTTGCCGTCGATGCGGTACTTGATGCGGATGTCGATGTTCATGGGGGCGTAGGTGTGCGTCTGCAGGCCCCAGGGCATGTCGTGGAAGCAGCCGTTGAAGGAGATCTTGCCGGAGCCCATCTTGCCGATTCCCGGGATGAACTGGACGCGCTCGGTGATCTCGTACCAGGTGGAGTAGTACTCGTCGGCGGCGGCGTCGCGGGGCGCCTTGATGGGCTTGTGTTCAAGGACGAGGGGGTTGAGGGTGATGACCTCGGAGTGGGAGTGGAGGATGTCGATGGCGAGCTGGCGGGGGATGAAGCCCGGGATGGGGGTGATGGTCGTGTAGACCTCCTTTTTGCGCAGCATCGTGACGGGTCGCTGGGCGCAGAGCGCTTTCCTCGTGTCTTTCGTTGAGTTCGTCTGGGTGGTCGGTTCGCGTCGACGGTGATGCTGGTGTTAAGGGGCGTCAATGGATGGTCGTCGGCGGTTGTCTGTCGAGAGTCGTCGTCGGTGGTGGTGGTGTAGGATCGCAAGTCTGTGGGAGGAGAAATGCGCCAGACATGAAAGAAGGATGTTGGAGGTAAGATAGATAGGGTAATCTGTCTGCTGACGGAGGTGCCGCTGATGATTAGGCATTTGATCGCGGCCAAGGATGCCACAGCCCCCCGGGCCGGGACCTCTCCATTGTGCTACCTTAGGTTGGCATGGTTGGTTTAGCTCTCGGCCTGGAGCTAAGGAGGAGGGCAGAAAGCATGGGCATCTGCAATCCAGCGAAACACAGACAAACACCACACACCTCTGGACAGGCGCAAAAAGATGCGCAGACTCTGAGGGGAGGGGCAGCCAGGCGGCGCAGGGCAGGGCGAGCGGTGCAGGGAGGCGTTGTTGGTGGGGGGTGGCAGGGTTCGGGGTTTCTTCCAGCAAGCAGGTGAAGAGGAGGTGCCTAAGTACCGTCCGGTCTCACGTCATCTGGCGCACGGGTGCAGATGATCCGTCTCCGGTTTTGCGGTCTCAGAGGGGCAGCTCGTAGGGATTTCAGTCTTTCAGCAGACAAAACCCTCTGAAGGATCCGTTTGTGAATGCTGTAGGTTCGCTAAGCCAAGGCCAGCCCAGGCCGAAGGATCACTAGAGCTTCTCTTGTGTGGAGTATTGGCCAATGAGAAGCCGCTGCTGTCGTCCGGACTGTGAGCGTTCCGGCGCAGGAGCCACACAATGAGGTGCACAAGCCACGAGTTGTGCACCATGCCAGCTGGCTATCCGTGTTTATGCATGTTTATCCCATCTTATCCACGTTTATCCATGTTTGTTTCTTATGTTTCTCATGTCTTCATGGATGTTTTTTTCATGTGTCTCTCCTGTCAAAGTCATCCCTCGGTGGATTCAACACTCATCAATGTCACTCAGCCCGACAAAACAGGGTCCTCCGAGACAACCCAAGAGCTGACGACCGGGGTCATTGTTGGAACGAGGAGCTTGGTTGCTTGGTTAAGGTGCCATTGTCACCTCTTGTCCCTGCTTCTACCACATTGCCAACAACGACAAACACCGCCGTTGACGGCATTCCCACCCCGTCTCCGCCGCAAATCTTCAGCTCGCCCCCTGATCTTCCGTGATCTCCAGCTGCTCTGCGGCTTGGGCGTCCCCGCTTCGGGGGTCTGAGACGGCGGCCAGTCCGGACACGACCCAGATCATCATTTTTTTCTTTCGAGGTTTTTTTTTCCAAGGCCCCAACGTCTTCGGCACCGATGTTAGGAGGCGCCCCCGTTCCAACCATCGCGGGGCGCCGTTCCCACGCCGCAACGCCCCGCGACGCCTCAAGGTTTGGGCCGTTGAACTTTGGTCTTGGCTGTGGTGGTTTTCCCCTTTCATCCTTCTTTCTCCCTTCAGATGCGTTGAATGCGAACGGCTAGGTTTGACGTTTCCTCGCAACCAGATCGCTGGAAAGCTCGGCTGTCTTGGATTTTAAGAGAATGTTTTGACTCACCTTGCCGACCTAAATCGCACAATGCCCGCAACCGCTGCGTTGCTTCTTTTGACGTGTGTTGCACCGAGGAGAGTGCCACGAAAGGACATCCGGTGCCGATCATCCATCTCCCACCGACGTCCGGCGACGCCAAGCCGTCCGGGCCAGCTCCTTCGTGTCGCCGGACTGTTCAAGCCGGATATCACGTTCCTCCTACGGTATCGGTGAGGGAATATCTAGAAAACAGTTCCCATTTTGCATTTTTCTTGGTTTTTGAGCGCCGCCGCATCATGTGCCGGTAATCCGCCAGCTGACAAAGACAAGACCTCAATATCCGTCCAACCCTCACAGTCGCATCGCAGCGGAGCTCCCATTATCAACCTGCCTTTCACTATGCAGACTGCAGAGCTACCCCGTTCAGGCAGCTGCATGCGATATCCTGCATCTTGACGTTGACATCAACCGGCCATCACCACCGAACTATCCGCGGCAGATTTCATCTCGCAGGATGCTGGCCCATTCGGCCGAGGTCAATCCCCGTGGCCCCCAAACTCCGAACCCCAATTCCCCAATTCCAACTTGACGCCAAGCACGTCCCTGTCGCTCAATCCCACATGGACCTGTCTCAAAAGACGCAGCTCGCTCAATTGCCCATGTGGCTGACTCGACCGAGGCATGCTGTGCTGTTTCACACCCTCATCCCTTGGGATCCAACTGCAGAGCAACCTGAACAAGCTCCAGCTCCGAACCGTAGGGTCGCGTCGGGTGCGTGGTGTTGAAGGTGGGTTCCCGGCCGGGGCACCGGTCTGCCCGCCAACGAGATCGGAAGCATTCACGATCCGGATCTTTTTGCGATCCTTTTGGTCAATTGTCATCGCTCTCGCCGCTGCACGGAAATTGAGCATGTAATCATGACATTCTTGCGGATTGTAAGATGTTGACGCGTTCTAAGGCTGCACCGGGATTTTGACAGCCGAATAACTGCGCCGCCTCTAGACGGCCGATGATGAGATGAAAGATCGAGTGCCTACTCGGCTCCCGTACTCTTCACCGCTGAGCCACAGCGAGCTCAGCCTCGAGTGCCTAAGCTGCTGCTTCCTGCATTGCAAGACGCTGAGCTCAATTATGTGATCAATTCATGCCCCAACAATAGCCCATCAACTCCAAAAGTCAAAAAAAAGTCATTCTCATCAACCGATATGCACTGCCGTAGATTTTTAGCTTCACGCTCCGCGCCCTCCCAAGCGCAAAAGCGCCGACGCCTGTTCCCGAAATCCACGCGTCGCTCGCTTAACACAAACCAATCACCAACAGAAAATGCCATGAATAGATCATCTGACCTTTTCCGCGTACAAGACAGAATTCCGACATCTCGGAACTGACGTCCTCACTACTGCAAAACAGAGTTTAGCACGACACCCGAATTAGCCAGGCCAGCCGCAAGTTTAGCGAGACGCTGTCACTCACCAACATCCCGTTCATCACAACGCGACACGTTCGCAACGAGAACAACCACACACAGCAGACCTCAGTTGCCGATCCCAGCTGCCGAAGACAAGCTGGCCCATCTACGGCCTCCTTGGCGGACTCCACGACGGACACACCTTTCCATTGCAATCCAACCTCCCTGATTGGGCCATCTGGCGGTGCCCGGGGCACGTGGAGCCAATGTGGGAACTTGCCCTTCAATATTTTTCTTAGTGCCCTTCTTCCCCAGGATTGCGGGGAGGAATCTGGGGAATGCGGCGCGGGCGGATACGTGGATGACTTCGGCAAGTAATTCGCCTTCAAAGAAGGAGCTTTTGATTATTGAAATCGTTCACGATTTCTTGTCTGCTGTAGAGATGAGGCTTTTAAAAAGGTCTGGGCATCGCTGATCTCCCGCGCGGAATCAGAAACAAGAGATCATCGCTCTTGCATCTCATCGCAGACGATGTCACCGCGAACCACAATTGGAGGAGAAGCGAACGCAGCAGCAGCAAACCCAACGACGTAGCATAGTGACAAATTCCTCAGTACTGCAACCCTTCAGAGCGAAAACCTGCATCTAATGCCGCAGGCAAAGCAAATCTGGCAGCTGCCACGCCTGCCTGGCCTGCCCTCTCCCCCGGTCCGCGTCTGCAATCTATGTGATTTACCCCGCAGAAATATCCCATGTCCAATCCCACACACACTCATGGGTCCCCGGGAAGCGACGAGTTGGAGCGCGCGGAACAGCTTAGAGCTGCAGCCTTTTGCGTCCCCGGGGTGGAGCTCTATCTGGGTTTTGTGAGGGGTAGGGATCTTGGGGGTCGGCACTTATTCGGAGATGGTATTGATGTAACCTCTGCCCTGGGGGGTTGATGGGGGTCCTTGCTGGAGGTATTAAAATGGGGTATTGCCATCGTGAGTCAAAAGGGAGAGAGGGCGCTGGCTTTGTTGTCGAGTTCGAGAGGTTGCTTGGGTTTTGATAGCAACCTGGAAGTGCCCTTCCTTTTTGAGCACACACGGTGTCGCAGCTTCCGTCCTGACTCGACAACATCGCGACTTCCGTTTTATCCTCGGTTACTTCTGGCCGTGCTGTCGAATTCCGGCATTTACGCCAGAGCGTTCAATCGGCTTCACGGAGCATCCTAACGTGCCCTCGGCTTTTCATCATTGAGCCGGGCTGTTCGCCCAACTGAGATATTGTGACGACAACACCTTAGCCATCTTCAAGACAGCATCTTCATCATGTCCTCTACCGAGAAAGAAACGCCCAAGGGCACCCACGTGGAAGGCGCCGACGGCATCACCCAAGTCCCCCTCCACGATGGAACCATCTCCAGCGCAGCCGGAAAGGGCCAGGTTGCTACCGACAAGTGAGCATCACTCCTAGGTCCCCCAAGTAAACACGCGATGCTGACGACTCACCACCAGGTACGGCAACCCCCTCATCGAATTCGACCCCGTCGCAGAACGCAAGCTGCGCTGGAAGCTTGACCTCTACACTATTCCCACCGTCGCCCTCCTCTACCTCTTCTGCTTCATCGACCGCGCCAACATCGGTAAGCCCCAAACTCTCTCCCCTCCCCCGTCATCCATCTAACTCAACAACCGAAAGGAAACGCCAGAATCGCCGGCCTCGACAAGGACCTCAACCTCAAAGGCTACGACTACAACATCATCCTCTCCACCTTCTACATCTCCTACATCCTCTTCGAGATCCCCGCCACCGTCCTCTGCAAGTGGATCGGCCCCGGCTGGTTCCTCCCCGCCACCTCCCTCGCCTTCGGCATCGTCTCCATCGCCACCGCCTTCTGCGAGTCCCGCGCCGCCATATGCGGCGTCCGCTTTCTCCTCGGCATCTTCGAGGCCGGCATGCTGCCCGGCATCGCCTACTACCTCTCCCGCTGGTACCAGCGCGCCGAGCTCACCTTCCGCCTGTCGCTGTACATGGTCATGGCCCCGCTGGCCGGCGCGTTCGGCGGCCTGCTTGCCTCCGCGATTCTCACGCTGGACCACTTCGGCACTCTCCACCGCTGGCGCATGATCTTCGCCATCGAGGGCATCGTCACCATCGCGCTCTCCCTCATCTCCTTCGTCACCCTCACCGACCGGCCCGAGACCGCGCGCTGGCTGACGCAGGAGGAAAAGGACCTGTGCATCGCGCGCGTCAAGTCAGAGCGCGTGGGCACCACGGAGGTCATCGATGGCATCGACAAGAAGAAGCTGCTGCGCGGCATGCTTAACCCCGTAACGCTCGAGATCTCGCTCATCTTCCTCTTCAACAACATCACCGTGCAGGGCCTGGCCTTCTTTCTGCCGACGATCGTGAGCACCATCTACCCGACCTTCTCGACCGTCCAGAAGCAGCTGTACTCAGTGCCGCCGTACGCTGTGGGCGCGTTCTTCACGCTGGCGTTCCCGGGGCTGAGTTGGTATCTGGATCGGCGGCAGGTGCTGATTGGGTTGTCGGCGCCGATGGTTATGACGGGGTATATTATGTTTTTGGCGTCGAAGGTGGCGAAGATTCGGTACGCGGCGACGTTTTTGATTGCCAGGTGACATTCTTTTCTACGCCCTGATTGTTGATGTTGCAAGTACTGATCATCAAATAGTTCCGCCATGGTTCTCGGCCCAATGTCCAATGCCCACATCAGCGCCAACGTCCTTAGCGACACAGCGCGAAGCAGTGCCATCGGCTTGAACGTCATGTGTGGCAACATCGGCGGCATCATCTCCACCTGGTCGTACCTGCCGTGGGACTCTCCGGACTACCACATTGGTAATGGTCTCAACTTGGCCGCGGCCAGTATGATCTTCATCGTCGCCTTCACGGCGTGGTTCTGGATGAAGTGGGACAACAAGCGCCGCGAGGACCGTAGCATCGAGGAGGAGCTGGCGGGTATGTCGGAGCAGGAGATCCAGGATCTGGATTGGAAGCACCCTGCGTTCAGGTGGAGAACTTAGGGTAGTGCGCTAGGTCTGCTGCGGTTCTGCGTGTGATAAAGCCGCTAATTAGCATGGCTTTATTGATATCGAAAACTGATTAGTACGAGAATTTAATCAATACTCTACAGAGATAAGGTGCTATGTTGACGTACAGCTCCAACAGCTCCAATGTTCTGAAAGTTGGGTCGCTGCTCGTTCAATGATCATCACATGACATGGATTCCGTAGGGCGAAATGGTTGGTGGACGTTCGCTTCAGACTTGCTCCCTACAAGTACAACGAAACTTTTCTCGGACCTGGGAAATGCTGTAATGCACGTTGCTTATCAGTCGTTTCAAAGACAATTCTGAAATTCTGTCTGGTTGGCCGCCTTGAAATCGTTTTTGCTCGTTCACAGCAGCATGATCATTCACGCAGGGCAGCCAATAGCAACTTGCGAAGACCGCCTTCTCGCCAACATGAAGATTTCTCACCGTCTCAGCCACAAATGTGCAACATCGAAGTGGGAATACAACGAAAAGTCTGCGGGTATACGACGTGGCCAATAACAACTCGCATCATGATGATTCCTCAGATGAGATGCGGAGGCAGGCCCGCCCACCTGTCGATAGGGCGCGCCCAACCCATTCTTTTGTGCCTAGGCAGCCCAAGTTGAAAGTACCGCACATCACCACTCGTAGGCAACGACGTTAGTTATTGACGTAAATAAGCCTCACTCAGCTAATTGCTCCTGTGAGAACGACACAGAGACCATGCCTCTGATGCTCTTTGGGGTTGAAGTAAGTTCTCACTTCATGGGTTGTGCGAAATATGCGCACCGTCAACCTCAAGCATGCCACTCACCCTTCATTGATAGACATGACAGGTCCTGGTACATGCATTCTCGCCTGTCGAAGCATCGTTGCATAACTCTGACGAATAGGAATTTGGCCAGCAAACACCCACAGATTTAGCTAGGCTGATTCTATGCAATTATGCCAATGGTTGGGCATATATCAGGAACGCGAGATACCCGACCTCACGCAATCATGCCAATCTGGGATGCTTCTTACAAAAGGACCGCGCTGCCATGGAGTGAGGAAATAACCAAATAGGGCTCGAGCTGAACTTGAGAAGCAGGGAAGCACGGATGATCGACAAGTCTAGACGGCGGCAGCGGCCGGCTAACCAAACAGGGATGCTTGGCAATGTGGGATCACGACTTCGGCGAGTATCAGACTACGCATTCCATGCCCAGCGATTCGTCCGGCGACATAAGGATGAGGCTCCGGTGAGCGTCAGACCACGCAATGTCCAATGGCGATTCGCTCGGCGGGCGTGGCAGGAGCACGCAAAGTGATGACCACCTGGACTAATTGGATATTGTTATCAATAAATGGATGGCATTCAATATTCACACCGGAAGACCCATCATGGTGGAGGCTGAGCTGAAAACACCAGACATGTTGTCGCCGTTTATTGGATGGTCGCAGTGTACGCATGTGCAGTAGCGCCTGTTGGCGGCTGGAAGAGCATAAACCAATCCTATCTCGTACTCGTTGCGACTCTCGAGTCGTCGCTTGCAACGTTGCTCGTTCTAGGTATCTCTACCAAAGTTCATCGTTTTGCAGCAGTGTTTGGAGACACCACATTTCTCCAGCACCTGGAGACCTTCCTTTCTGAGACACGCAGTCTCCTCCATTTTCGCTGTTCTCGCGAGAACAGCTATTTGGCGCTCGGCAAAGCATCTACCCTCTGAGAATCCTCTTGATCTCGACATCTGAGAAGAAACTCGAAAAGAACCGACCCTTGAGTATGTTAAGCCTCTGTAATCCAGGGCATTTCAGAAAGCACCCTCGCTAACTTAAAGTCCATGCAGCATGGGCATCACAACCAGCAGGGTAGTATCTGCGAACGAGGGCGTGACGAGCGAAGCCGAGGACAAAAATGCATACACAGTCGGATGGATTTGTGCCCTCCCGTTGGAGATGGCTGCCGCCGAACTGAAGCTCGATGAGATTTACGAAACCATTCAATTCGACCAAGACAAGAACGACCACAACAGCTACACCTTAGGCCGGATGAAGAGTCATAAAGTGGTCATCGCTTGCCTGCCAAGCGGAGACATCGGAACAACCCCGGCCGCAACGGTAGCTAATGACATGCTACGGACTTTCAAGTCGATCCGTTTTGCTCTTTTGGTCGGGATCGGAGGCGGAGCACCATTTTCGGGTCAAGATATTCGACTTGGTGATATCGTCGTCAGCAAACCCACCGGTACTAGCGGAGGTGTCATCCAATATGACCGGGGTAAAAAGAGACCAAATGGGGAGTTTGAACGAACAGGGTCGCTTAATGCGCCCCCGGTGCACTACTTTCGGCTTTAAGCCGCATCCAATCCTGTGAACTACGCGGTGGCAGCACTCTCCTTGAGCTGTTGCGCGAGGCAGTTGGCAAAATTCAAGACGAAACAATAAGAAAGAAGTATAGTCACCAGGGCGAACCAAACGACCTCTTATTTGAGGCAAAGTATGAGCATGTCGAGACTGGTTCTCACTGCGATGGGTGCGATATTTCACAGACGGTGCAGCGGAAGAACAGAAAAGACACTACCCCGGTCGTACACTACGGCAATATCGCTTCAGGAAACCAGATCATGAGAGATAGTGCGACTAGAGATCAACTCAGCAAGGAACTCGGAGTGCTCTGCTTTGAGACGGAGGCTGCAGGGCTGATGCAAAACTTTCCCTGCCTGGTAATCCGCGGTATATGTGACTATTCGGATAGTCACAAAAACAAAATATGGCAGCATTACGCTGCTGCAACCGCTGCGGCATATGCGAAAGATCTTTTGTCGATAGTTGTTCCTACCCACGTCCAGAAGGAGAAGATTGTTGAGCTCGGTAAGTAGTCTAGTTCATTGATATAGGCAATCGAACATCACGCGAAAGCGCAATTTTAACTGTGTAGAAAATGTGTGTTGTCTTCAAAGAACGCGGCCTGGCTAACAAATTAATCGTAGGGGAACTCATAACCACCTTTCTCGAAACGAAAGACGCAATATTACAGCACACGCACAAGCAAGAGACTCGCGCTGAGAGTGAAGTCAATCGAAAATGCCTCAACAAACTTTTCCTAACCGAGCCTGTGAACGACAGAAAGCGCATATTACTAGATATAGGTGGTCTTCTCGAAGACTCCTGTCAATGGATTCTCGATCACTCCACTTTCCAACACTGGAAGACGATCTCGCAGCACGGCTCATGGCTTTGAATTAAAGGGGATCCAGGCAAAGGAAAAACGATGCTAATCTGCGGCATTATTGAAAGTCTAGAAAAAGAGCTTCTAGATGCAGGTCATCCCGAGAGTCTGGGCTATTTCTTCTGCCAAGCTACTGACTTGAGGCTTAATAATGCTACGGCAGTTCTACGGGGCCTGATATACCAACTCGCAAGAACACACTCATGGATTCTTTCAAAGGTGCGCGAAGGTTACGACCCCGCGGGAAAGCAGCTATTTGAGGATCGCAATACCTGGTATGCCTTGTCGAACATCCTTCTGTCGTCACTTCAGGATCCACGTTTAGGTGGTGTTATACTGGTCGTAGATGCCCTCGATGAGTGTGTGACAGACCGTGGAAAGCTCCTGGGCTTCATACAGGCGTCATCCAAAGGTTTCGCCAAATGGATTGTCTCGAGCCGTAATTTCCCAGACATCAGAGAGGCACTGGAAATGAAAACCGCTGAGACCGAACGTCTCATCTCCCTCGAACAGCAACAAGACAGAATCTCGAGTATCGTTCAGAAGTATATCAAAAAGAATTTGGAGGACCTGGCAATCAAAAAGGATTACGACGACTCAACCCGATCCAAGGTCGAAAGCCACTTACATAAGAACGCAAATAACACCTTCCTATGGGTGGCATTGGTCTGCAAGACACTTGGGAATATCCAGAACTATGAGGTCGAGATGATTCTTGACGATCTCCCCGAAAGCCTCACCGCACTGTACAAACGAATGTTACATGATGTTTCAACAACGAGGAACGGCACACTGCGCAGAAAGGTTTTAGCTATCCTTTCGGTCTTGGAGCGACCTATCGCTGTAGGGGAGCTTCAGTTCATAACCGAGCTACCAAGCCACATATCTGCGAATATGAACTTTGTGGAACAGCTCTTGGAAGATTGCGGGTCCTTCCTGATTCTTCATGATGGAATAGTCCGTTTCGTACACCAATCGGCAGTGGATTTCCTACAGGATGAGGACTTCATGCAGAATGAACAGTTCGATGGACTTTCTCGAGTCGCAGATCGGCACCGCTCTGTGTTTCAGTACGCTTTCAGCGTGTTGTACAAGTGCGAGACGCTGAAGCGCAACATTTATGGTTTGGAAGCCCCCGGTTCACAAGTGGAAGATATCCGACCACCTGAGTCCGACCCACTTGCCTTTTTGGAGTACAGCTGCGTTCACTGGGTTGATCATTTTCACGCTTGGATCATTCGCCCAAAGAAGAAGAGGCCATTGAATACCATGCTATCTGAGTTAGGAGAGAGCCCAATGCTTTGCGATCGGGAGATCACACGACAAATTATTGGTTTTCTTCAGAACAAATTTCTCTATTGGATAGAGGCTTTCATTTTGCTTGGCAATGTTTCAAAGGGAATCCAAGCGATTCAGAAACTCGCAACGATAATCGTAAGTTGAGGTTACTTTCTTTGCTTCTGTCTCGCCATAAAAGTCATCTGCTAATGTGTCGTAAGGAGCCCGGCCTCAGCGAAGACGCAAAGGCGCTTGCTGACTTCATCGGAGACGCCAACCGATTCGTTCTTTACAACAGAGAAGTCATGGAGAAATATCCGTTGCAACTTTACGCTTCATCTCTGGTCTTCAGTCCTCAAGACAGTATCGTGAAGAAATACTTTCGGCATGATATTCCCGACTGGATCGTCAGGCTCTTGGGCCTGGACTCAGCTTGGAACCCGTGTCTGCAGACACTTCCCAATGGTTATCGGGTGGAAGAACTAAGTTTCTCGAGTGATGGGAAATGGCTTGCGTCCTCGTCAACCATCGACCATGAGGATGTCGTCAAAGTCTGGGCGGCCGATACAGGCATTCTGATGCACACACTCGAGGGCAACTTCCCATATTTACTATCATTTTCCTTCTCCGGCGACAGCAAGAAACCTTCTCAACTTGCAATTGCACCTAAGAGCAATTGTGTTGAGATTTGGGATCCAGAAAGCGGTACTCATTTGCGTACTCTCGATGACCGATCGAACGTATCCGTCTGCATGCCAGAACCATCTGGACCGTGTATACTTGCCGTGGCGTTTTCATTCGATAATTGCAAGGTAGCATCCCATCATATGGACGGGATGCTGGTGATCTGGGATGCCGAGAGCGGCGAGATCATCCATAAGCTTCCAGGACATCTAACGAACTCCTTAACAGCAACGAAACTAGCTTTCTCTCCGGATAATTCGCTGGTCGCAGCATTTGCCAAGAACGAAACTATCAATGTGTGGAAACTTCAGGCACCTCATTCACCGCAAATATTTGGAGATCCGGCCGAAGGAGTACATGATGTATCCTTCTCGTCCGATTCCCGTCTACTGGCGTCAGCGAATCTCAACCACGCCAAGAGAAGAGATGTCGTCGTTTGGGACATCTATACAGGCTCTTTGAGGCAGAGATTCCCGCGTGAAGGCTCAGGCGGAGTGCTTCTAGCATTCTCGCCCAAAGCTGGAAGTCAACATCTTGCAGTGGCTTTTGAGAATGACATAAACATATTGGACGTGGCTACAGCTACGTCTGTATGGAAGGTGAACGTGTCCCTTTTTGGCTTTCGCTCACTGTCGTTTTCACCTGATGGCCAGCGGCTCGCTTCCGGGGGAGAAGATGGCAAAATCAAAGTTTGGGACGTATCAATACGTCCCAGCACATCCAGAGAAATTGGATCAGTTCCCAAGGAACTAGTATTCTCTTCAGATGGCAATCAGGTCGTCTATGACCAGAGCAGCACGAACACGATCAGAACCCGCAACATCGAGACTGGGTGGCAGGACTCAGCAGTTCAATTGAAAGAAGAATATTATCCGAGGTTGGCTTTGTCCAATGACAAAAGTCGAATTGCATGCAAAGCCACGGGCGAGATCATGTTATTCGATGCAGCACTCCAATCTGTGTTGCCAACGATCCCTAATTCAACGGAGGGCCGTTCTTTAATAGCTTTCCAAAAGAACAATCAGGTTGCATCTGTGTCATCCGACGCTATCAAGCTTTGGGGTGATTCCTTGCGCACCTTCGATACACCCACCGACAACGCGAATGTCACATGTTTTGCGATCTCTGGAGATGGGAAATATCTCGCATATGCGTGCACCAAGATGCATGGAGTCATCACTAAAGGAGCATGTATCCAAGTATGGGACGTTGAGGCGGGTATAATGGCCCTTTCACTTGATGTCGACTATGGTCATATCGGACATATGGCGATCTCACCAGACAGCCAGAAACTTGCCGTAGCGGCTTCCGGGAGGATTCAGATTTGAGAAATACCCCGGGGCCTCTGCTTGTGGACGTTGCGAGAGAGACGCAAGTGGATTAACTTAAATTATCATATATCATTCGATACAAACATCAGCACGTCTTCACACTCAGTTCGGATTTATCGACTTGAATCAGGAGCCTCTGGACAATTCGAGCCACGAAACCTCGATAGAGCACGAACCGTTTTCTGGGTATGGGGTTGGGTTTTCCGAAACGAAAAAGAACCCTGATGCCTCACGTTTAAACTGGATAATGCGAGATGGGAAGAAAGTCCTGAGGGTTCCCGTGGACTACCAATGGAGCAACAGCGTATTCCAAAACATTGTCCCATTCATGAATGGGACGACACTCATTTGGGCGTCTCGCGAGCTGAATGGGCTCATGCGGATAGAGCTCAAAGATCCATGGCCAGGGCGATTGTAAGCGAAGTCATGTTCTTCGCTCAGCTCCCACATTGTCTGAACTTTGGCCATCTTCTCTCCTACTTTCCTGTTAATTTCTTAGCTTCTTGGTAGTAGTTGCTTTTCAAATAAAACCACGCGCTCTCTAAAGCTATATTCACCCGACCCAACAAAGAAATACGGTAGCGTATGATGCCAGAACTAACACTAACCCAAGGAGAACGCCGTCAACTCATCAGTCACATTAATATAGGAAGGAAGGGGCATATCACATAGTGCGTCTAGTGAATTTGAAATCACCCTAGTATTGGAAAGCCTGATAATGAACCGCCTGAGCCAAGGAAAATATGAGGAAAACGTACAACGTACAATACACGGTCCAGACCCGTCATCCTAAGGCACTGTCTTTCATCAGAATCCCCACAGCTCACCCCAAATAGCAAATTTAGCCAGTAAGCCTCATGACCCAAATCTCCCATCTCCTCCAGCCCCCCAAATGTCTATAATCTTCTGTATCAAACCGCTTGGGCGTAAGCACGGCTGGACCAAATCATGAAACGGGCGTCTTCTTGGGACGACCACGACCGCGCTTCTTTGGCGGCTCTCCATCGGTTTCCGTCTGCTCAGAAGCCTTCTCCGGCTCGGCGCTCTTTGTGGCCTCAACTGGCGCCTCTGCTTCCTCCGGAACCTTCTTTCGTCCGGCGCGGGGCTTCTTCGGCGCAGGTTCCTCGGCTTCCTTGACTTCCTTGGCCTTCGCCTTCGGAGCTGCCTTGGGGGCCGCCTTGGGAGCATCCTCGACCACCGACTCCTTACGAGGACGGCCACGGCCTCTCTTCGCAGGCGCGGCGATGGGCTTGATCACCTTGTCGCGGCCGCCCTTGGAGGCCCAGTAGTCTTCCACAAGTTCACGAGCGAATTGCGTGACGTTTTCCTCGGGCTCCCACGATCGATCGGGAGATCCGGTCCAAGCAACGTACAGCTCGACCTTTCCGGTGGGCTTCTGCTTGTGCTTCTCGACACGGAGGACGTGCCACAGATCCTTGTCGGCCATGGCTCCCAAACGGCCGCCCTTGACGCTGTCCCAGTATTCGAAGAGCGCCTCCTCGGCATCCTCCTGGATGTTGCTCTCGGGCTCCCAGCTTGGCTCGTCGTGCTTCCAGCGGACGTGCATCTGGAAAAGGGTCTTGTCCTTGGGATCCTTGCGGTGGCCAATGATGGTGTCGAGCACGAACAGGCCCTTCTCAGGGTCGTCGACCATTGTCTCGTCCTCGTCTTCGGCCGCGGGTTCAGGCGCAGGCTTGGGGGCGGTCTTGGGCGCGGCCTTGGCCTTTAGTGTGATCTTTGGTGCGGACTTGAGCGTGACTTTTGGTGTGGCCTTCGCCGCGGCCTTCGGTGAGGCCTTGGGGGCAGCCTTGGGCGCTGGCTTGGTCGTCTCAGCGGCTTGGATCGTGTCGGCGTTGTCGGCATCAGTGGTGACGCTGATCTCGCCGGCAGCGGAGGTAGGTCTGGGAGCAGCTGCAAAACGTTAGCAATTAGTTCACAAGGCAAAGAAGACAATCTTACGAGGCAATGACTCCTTAACAGGGCTCTTCGCACGCTCCGCAGCAATGTCCTCCTCAAGCTGGTTGCCGAGCTCGATGTTGGTGTCGTTTGCGCCCATGGTGACGTCAGCAGGCTCAGGCTCCTCCGTAGCCTGCTTCTCGGCGACCTCGGTCTTCTCAGCTGTATCCTTCTCGACAGGCTCAGCCTCCTTCGCAATCTCTTTCTCGGCGGGCTCTTTCTCTTTGGGAGTCTCCTTCTCTATGGGCGCAGGCGTTTCCTCAAGAGGAGCAGGCGTCTCCTCAGCTTCCGGCTCTCTGCTGCGCTTCCGGCTCACGATCGTCTGCTCAAAAGTCGTCGTGACGCTAGCTGTTCCGTTGCGCGCACCAGTGAAGTTGTTAAACACGTTGGTAAGCTTCTTCGACACAGACGAAACCACGCCGCCGACCGGGCGCGGAACAACCGGCTCGGGCGTAGCCGCCGCACTCTTCTCCGCATCCGAGGTCGCCATGTCCGCCGTGGGCGCAGTAGGCGTCGGCGTAGATTCCACGGGCGTCTCGGCAGCAGGAGCGGAAATCACAACGTCGGCAGGCGTGCCGCGATCCTCGCTCGTGTCCATCTCGTCCGCGCCAGCACCACCAGCAGCGGCAACCTCGCCAAACGCCTTGCGCACGGGAGAGCTGAGAGCTGCTTGTCCCGGCAGGCGCGGGACGGGGGACAGCGAGCGCGATGCGTCTGATCGGGGGCTGGTCAGGCTCTTGAGGCGTTTGTTGGCATGTGGCGACTGCGATCCGGAGGGCTTGGCGGGCGACGAGAGGAAGCCGCCGAGGGCGCCGTTCTTGAGTGTGATTTGGTGCTTGTTCGCGGGCTGGGAGCCTCCTCCGCTCGCGCCGTTGGCCGGCGATTCGCTGAGTCTGGCCATGGTGTCGGTGTTGGGTGAGCTATTTCGTGATGTTGACAGATTAGTGCAAACGCTCCTCCTCGGAAGCCGTGGGATAACGGATAACGACGTGCCGCGGGTCGGAGGTTGTTTGCGCTTACCTTTGCTCGCGCGATCCGGTGGATGGTGGTGACGTTGTTGATGGGAGTTCCGCCAAAATGGAATGTTCGACCGCAGCAGAGGCGTATGCGGTCAATTGGCAGGGACAGATACCTGCGACGCGGTTGCGATTGGGGGCGATTCGGAGTCGGAGATTGTACGTGAAGTGCGCTGATGGGTTTACGGCGAACCCGTCACGTCAGCTTAGGTTCGGGGAAGGAGGAGGAGCTTTGGCCTCCTGGTGGTGTGTGTTGCCTCTTTTTCTTGCAGCAAGCAGCAAGCAGCGCAGCAGCAGCCAGCAGCACCTAATTGGCGGGTTGCTTCTATCTGCTGGTATTGGGACTGATAACGTAAGAGAGAACGAACGCGACGCGATGCGACACAAGCTTAGCTAATCGTGGCATCCCCGCTGTCATTGGCTCGCTAAAAGCACGGGCTGCGTCAAACGGCATCGCTGGGGGCGATCCATGCACGTGACATCCACTTTGTGGAGACCGTTCCTTCCGTCTGGTTCCAAGGGACTGGACGCAGCCGTGGAAGGGGCCGCCGCCTACGGTACGGATACCGTGCCACGGCCCACGGCCCACGGTGTCACGGTGCCTGTCGGTTGGAGGGTCGCCGCTGCCGGTCGGGGGGCAGGACCTGGCCTGGGTCGCAGTGCAGATAGGGGGAAGATGTCCCGAAGCCAATGGCAGCAGGCAGGTGCAAGCGCACTCAATGACTGCCCGGGCCCCGGGGAGGGCAAGCACGTCAACCCAACAGCAGCTGCAGCTTCCTTCTGTTGTCTCCTTCCCTCGAGACGATGGACCACGTGCAGTTCATCCCGCATCCATCTGCATTACTCAATGTCATTTGTTTTATTCTGTTCATTTCCCTTTCTCTTGCATTAAAAAGTTTCATCAACTCAGGTGATCACCCGGGGAGGCTGAGAGACCCCGTCTCGGCCCAAACGGATCAGGCCCTTTGGCCCCAACCGGAACGAACCCTGGCCCCTGTGAGCTGGTCACGATGCATCTGCCCCCTTGCTCCCGCCAGAGTCCAGCCCCTGAACCGGCATCGGCTTCTCCAGAGAATTCCCATCTGGAGAAGCTGGAGAGAAAGAGCACCATCGTGGGTTTGTTTTCTGGGACTCACCGCTTTTGCTGGACCACATCCCGCCATCACCCGTCATGGTGTTTGGCAGACGGAGGCTTACGTTGACAGAGATCATGTCTGCAACCGAAACCGTTTCATTTTACTCAACAAAGCACTCATCTGGGATTCTCACTCAACACAGAAGATTCACACAAAGAAATTTCAAAAGACACAGAAGCTGTTCATATCCTCCAGTAGTATTAATTCTATCAAAATAGTCCACTCATAATCGCTGCATCATCTCAAGGTCTATCCCATCTGTAACAGGTCTATCCCATCTAGGTTCAAAATCCCATCTATCCATATCATGAAAGCCGTGAAGTTTTTTGGTTGTTGCATGTAGTAAAACAAACGTCAGACCCCATTTAGTCGACGTACTTGGGGAGCGTAGCCATGACACCGTCCTTGGCAATCAGCTCCATCGCCTTGGCGACCTCGTTCACGAAGCGCTCGTCGCCGCGCAAATCGTCACCGAAAAGGTGCTTGATCGTGAGCAGCTGGCCCGGGTGGTTGCCGCCCGCCTTCGCCAGCGCCTGCAGCTCCTCCTTCATCGGGTCGTCGACCTCGAAGTTCTCGCCCTCGTCGTCCACGCCGTTGATGTAGCGGAACCACGCGCCCGCCACGAAGCACAGCCTCCTGAACGGGCCGGTAACCCAGATCTGCTCCGCGATCGACGGCATGATGAACTGCGGGATCTTGCCCGACGCGCCCAGCGCCACGCGCGGGATGCCGTCCATGATGGTCGGGTTCGAGAACCGCTCCATCAGCGTGTTGCAGTACTCGTCGATGTCAACCCCCGCAATCTCAGGCAGCAAAGGCTTCACCTCCTGCTGCATCATCTGCCACACAAACTGCCTGTAGACGGGGTGCTCCATCACCTCGTGCACGTACTTGAAGCCCGCCAGCTGGCCCGGGTACGCCATGGCCGAGTGGCTCGCGTTCAGCAGGCGCAGCTTGTGCTTCTCAAACTGCTCGACCTCGTGCACGCCCTCGACGACCTGCACGCCGACCTTCTCGAACGGCGGGCGCCCGTCGCTGAACTTGTCCTCGATGACCCACTGCATGAACGGCTCCGTGACGACCGGCCACGCGTCCTCGACGCCGAACTTGGCCGCCAGCGAGGCGATATCCGCCGGCGACGTGCTCGGCGTGATGCGGTCCACCATCGCGTTCGGGAACGCGCCCTCCGCCGCGATCCACTCCGCCACCGCCGCGTCCCCGCGCAGCCGCGCGAACGACTGCAGCATGTGCCGCGTGATGCTGCCGTTCTTCTGCATGTTGTCGCAGCTCATCACGGTGAAGGGCTTCAGGCCCGCGGCGTGGCGCCTCGCCAGCGCGGCGTACAGGAAGCCGAACGTGCTCACGGGGGCGTCGCCATGAGCGAGGTCGTGCACGATGTCCGGGTGGTCGGCGTGCATCTCGTGCGTGTTCTCGTTGTAGTAGTACCCGCTCTCCGTGATCGTCAGGGACACGATGTGAGTGTCCGGGCTGGCCATCTTGGCAATCACGGCCTCGCGGTCGTCGGGGGCGTAGAGGAAGCCCGTGATGCTGCCGACGACGTTGGCGAAGCTGCCCTTTGCGGAGCGCTCGATGACGGTGTAGAGGTGGTCCTGGGCCTCGAGGACGTCGCGCATGGCGGCGTCGTTGGGGCGCAGGCCGACGCCGCAGATGGCCCAGTCGCGCAGGTCGTGCTTCTGCATGAGCTGGTCGACGTAGACGGCGAGATGGGCGCGGTGGAAGCCGCCGACGCCGACGTGGACGATGCCGTGCTTCACGCCATCGCGGGCGTAGGTCGGCGTCTTGACGCTCCTCTCACCCTGCTGCGAAGCGAACGTGGACAAGTTGGCGCTGGTGAGCTTGAGGGACTCCGTGCTGTGAGGCATTCTAAAGGACTTTTTTTTGGGACTTGTTTTCGCTAGATGAACAAAAGATGATAAAGAAATGAGATCACGGGTGGTCCTGCGGACGGAGAGGATGAAAAATTAAGACGGACGAGGACGCAGAGGCGTTATCGTGAGTCGCAGCAGGAGGAGGAGGACGGCGTTGTTGAATGAATGAGAAACAGAATACCACAGCTCACCGCCGGTTACCCCTGAGGTCAGCCCTTTTAAACCAGGCAGGTCACAGTCCGGAATAAGTTCGGGCACCGAGTTTTACAGAGGCCTGGCCTGGCCAGGAGGGCGAAAAGCACGTTCCCGTTCCAGCCAGGTTGTTGAGCAAAAAAAAATCAAGCACCTTTGATGGATCCGCAATTCAACTTCCCCATTGTTAGTGTCGGGGACCAAGGTGGCGGAGGAGGGTCCCCAAGGTCGCTCCCCGTGTCCACGAGGCCGCAGGTGTGTGGGTGGTGTGCTACCCGTCGATGGATACACAAGTGGTGTGTGCTTTCAAAGATGGGTGCCCGCCCTGCTTCACAGTGTTCACCTTGGATTTAAATCGGGTCCCCTGGTGGCGGCTCTGTGGGAACCCTTGAGGAAGCTAGAATTTTTAAAACTGGGACAAGAGGCGGTCTAGTGATTATCTAAGGGCCCCCGGTTTGTGGAGTTCTGGCTTCTTCTCTGTTCTTTCTTATCAGGATATGACGCAAGGATTGTAAAAATAGGCTTATTGCCAATGTCGTGGTTTCAATGTCGGTTTCTGCCCGAAGGTTGGCCCCAAAAAAAGGGTCCTCTTGGCGGCCGCAGCAGACGGGATGCAACATCACATGTTTAAGGTGCGCAGTGCAACATCGTATTCTCAACCTCACTTTTAGTGGCTGAGAAGATGCTGAATTCGCCCTGCAGAATCCAATTGAATAGTGCTTGAAGACCTTTGCGGTGTCTGAGTCAGGTTGTCGCCGTTGGACACGTTGGTGCTCTGACTGAACCGGATGTTCAACATCAGACGACCATTATCCACGTCAAAACCACCGAGACATGAGCAACAAGAAGCAACAATTGTCAAGTAAAGCAAGCAGGACTGTATCAAGAGAAAATCCATCTTATACTTGATGTGGCGCTTGAGTTCTCCTTGATGACTTCCATATTTCTTAGCCGGCATCTCTCGCTACCACCGTCGCCATATCAACTCTCCAAGCTTCACGCCTGTCACAGGAACGAACATGATGTAGTGCAGAGCACAACGCAAAGCTTCTAGTATTCCCATCATGCTAACATTTCACCTATCAAGACAGCTGCGTCTACTCTGTGGAGACTGCATCGAAAAGAGAACACAAATTGCCATCCGCAATCAGCTCAGTTCCCGCCACAATCGCTTCTTCATATCCTTCACTGGCGCGTACCACTGGCCAGGATCTGTGTCAACCTCCACAAAGTTGATCCATTCGCAGGTTTCAAACGCTGTTCACACCTTAGAGGGGATTGAGATGTCATTGATCTCCTCGTCATAAGCCAGCTCTTCCGGTATGTAGAAGCGGGTGGGGCGTTTCTTATGGTCGTCACCTTGGCCCTTATTCTTCCCGTTTGTATCCGCTTCAGTCTCATCTTCGTCTTGCTGGCTGTCCTCCTGGTTTTCGTCGTTCTGGTTGTTTTTGTTCTGGTTGCTGTCGTTCTGGTCGTTTTCGTTGTGCCGATGCTCGTCCTGCTGGTCTGTATTCTGCTTGTTGTTGCGCTCGCTCTCTTCCTCCACTTCGTACTCGTACTCGTCCGCTGTATAGTCGTCCTCTTCGCACAACTCCTCCTTGCACACATTCTCTCCGTAATTTTCCAAATCGTTCTTATCCTGTCCGTACTCATCTTCTTCAAACTCGGTCTCATCGTGCTCGTAATCACCATAGTCGTCCACTTCGTAGTCTTTCACGTCGTCCTCGTCGTCTTCATCTTCATCGTCGCCGTCATCGTCTTCATCGTCTTCATCGTCTTCGCTCTCTTCATCCTCGCTCACTTCGCCCACCTCGCCCTCATCCACGTTATCTTCTTCCTGCTCCAACAGGTCCTCTTCTATATCCAAGTCATCTTCAGCTTGGTCGCGAGAGTCGCCCTTACCATCCTGGGAGCCACCATTTTGACTCTCGTCATCCGAAGAAAAACACAAGCCGGCGAGAGGGTCAATGTCCTCCTCATCGCTCTCGCCGGTCAGTGACTTAGCCCACCACTCCAGGTCATCCGCAATAACGCTCGCGTCTCCGGCCAAGTGTAGTTTTTCCAAAGATGAGGGAATAGTCCGAAGCACACTGCTTTGTATGTAGTCGCCGAAGCAAGCACAGTTGATCCAAAGGCCTTGGAGACACTGAAAGTCGTCGGAGTCGATGTACGGGGGAGGAAGAAGGTCGAGTTGATCCCCGTCGTAAACGAAGCTCAAACAGAGTATCTGAAGGCTTGAACAGTGCTTCTTCAACGCCTGAAGGATTGCACCTGGACTTGGTATATCTGGCATGTCCTCCACGTCGTGGGTGTAGATGAATCTTGTGAGAGACGTGCTGCTGGAAATGAGATCTGTGAGAGTCGACGTGTCGATGCCCCTCAACTCCCTTAGTGCCAGGGAGGTGATGTTAGAGGACCAGGCGAGAGGGGCATTTAGCTGGCAGTCGCGGAAGTACACCGACGCTTGTGTTCGCATAGAGAATAGCTCCTCGAAGTCTCCAGGTAGTTGATAATCAAAGTGCCAAGAGCATGAGATGGTAACGGAATGCAGATGGAGAATTGGACGATTTTCGTCTCCGCTTGCCCTCAGCTCTTGGACGCGACGCAAAACATGGGTAATCGCCATCAGCGATATGGCGGGGAGTTCGATGGTGAGATCTCGGATGTTCCGAAGGTGAAGGATGAGAAGTTCAAGCAAAAGCCCTTTGAGGAAGTGAGGCTTAAATCCGTCCTTGGTTGTCAAAATCTTCCCAATGATGTAGCTTTGCGTGTCGCCAGGGGGTGTGAATGTCTCCTTCCAGATATCGAAACCAACACCTTGTGCTGTTTCCTCGAGAAGCTGCATATCGCGTTGATGGCTGGAATTGCTCAAGTCGAAAGGCTCACAGGCATGGTCGTATGAAGGCATCATGACGAACAGCTTTCTGACAACTCTGCACGACGCTGCCGGATTGTGGAGAAAAAGTCGCAGTAGTTGGAGCAGCTGTTGGTCCTCGTGGCCGCCAGTCCAATCACAAACACCGAGTGATATTAATCGCTCTGATAATAGGGCTTGGTCATAGACCTACGTAGTGTATGAGAAGTTGGCAAGCGAATACCATTTCTCGTTGTGGGACGCATACACTTCCCAGACCCAATCGTGTTCGGGGCCGTGATCCAACATTAGCTCCCCGGGCCAGTCGGGACAAAGGAAAGAGCCGATGTGTCTAATCATCTCCGGTGGAAGGTCGGACAGCTTCGCCATGTTGGTACCGGGGGATTGCGCCGGCTGTGGAGACTCGGGTGGAAGTCGGCAGGTGTCTGAAAATTGTTAGACGGAAACGATGGTGGAGAGTGAAAACAAGTACCGAGGAGATTTTGTTTGCATTCGTTATCGCTGTTGTGGAGAGAAATCGGTCCACGTTGTTTGCGCGTCGGGAATCGGCAGCTCGTGAAATGGTGGAAGTGAAGGAAGCTTGAGGAAACCGCTGGCATGTGCGCGGCGACTTTGTTTTGTGGGTGTGCTGTTTGATCGCTGCCGCCGTTGTCGTCACTGTGCGATCGAAGAGCGAAGCCGAAATCCGAGAGGTGAGTTGAGAAAATCAACGTGGAGGTGAAAGTCAACTGTCGAGGTGAGTTGCGCAAACACCGCAGTTCCAGGGTCACGTGATATACTTAACGTTAAGATGCGATGGCAGGAAGGAAGGCTCCAGCGGGGAGGCGTGGGTTCCTTCCTGCCTTTTTGGGTCGTAGGGTTAAAGCTATCAACACTCTCCAAGTCATTTTTGTTATTGGTCGCAAAGAGTGTGGCATGTGCAGAGAAAAGCTTCTATCTGGTATTTAATTCTAAGCAGGTACTAACACAACTCCATTTCTCAGTCTGAAGCAAGACCCAGCACCCTGCCCGCGGTCTGATCTTTGTCTGTGACCTTGCGCTTGTGATTATCTAGCTAAAAGATACCGGGCAAAGGGGAAGGGGCCTCAAAGAAGTCAACCCATTTGCTGTCCCGAAAAGCTTCGTGAACCTCATGGTCAAAGTTGTCCAAGCCGATGTCCCAAGCCAGATGCTCTGGGATATGGACATAGTCATTGTCATTGTCGTCTTCCTCCATGTCTTCCATCATGTCTTTCTCGTCGTCTTCCCCATCGCCTGCGTCATTGTCTTCCTCGTCGTCTTCCTCGTCGTATCCCTCGTCATCTCTCTCGTCATCCTGTTCATCAAAGCTTTTCCCCGAAAGTATCTCGGCCCAGCGCAACATGTCGTCCTCAAGGATGTCAACGCTGCCAGCCAGATGAAGCCTCCACAATGAGATTGGGATCGTTCGAAGGACTTTGCTACCAACACCATAACGGTCCCCAAAGCAGGAGCAGTTGATCCACATCTGCTCAAGAACCTTGAAGTCCTTAAATGAATTGATGTAAGGCGGAGGCGTCTGGTCGGGGAATGATTCGTACCGAAAGACAACCCCCAGGCACAGAGTTTTCAGGCTTGAGCCGTGCTTCTTCAGCGCCCGGAACATTGAACCGGGGCTAAGCACAGGAATGTTTTCGCTTTCAACCTCCTGGATGCAGATGAATTTCGTCAGACGCTGGATGTCGTTGATGAGTTGGCAGACGGTCGACAGCGTAATCCCCTTGACATCTCTGAATACCAGCGACGTGATGTTCGGGGCCCATGGCAGAGGCGCGTCTAGAATGCAGTTGCAGAAGTATATCGATGCATGGGGTCTGAAATCGAATAGTGTCTCAAAACCCGTGGGCTGAATGTCGTTAAAGTTCCAGTTTCTGACCGCAATGCTTTCAAGGTGAAGGATCGGTTGCATATCGTTGTCGACTGCCCTCAGTTTCTGAACAAGACGCAGCAGCTGGGTCACAGCCATGTGCGACGCTGGCGGAAGTATGATGCTTAGGTCTCGGATGTTTGGGAGGTTGAGGATGATAAGACCGACCAGAAACCCCTTCAGGGAATGTGGAACATGTATCAAGACTTCTCCGATGCTCCAGCCTACCATATCGTCGTTCCAAGCGAGCGTTTCCCTCCAGATATTGATGCCAAAGCAGAGGGCTGCTTCCTTGAGAAGATCCATGTCGCGTTGACAGACATGGTCCAAACCGGAAGATCCTCCCGTATGTTTGTCAGAGTAAAGGTCAATGAATAGTTTCCGAACGGCACCAGGCGATGACGCCGGATTGTGCAGCAAGTAGCGAAGCAACTTGAACAGCATTCGAAGCTCGTTTCCGCCAGTTCGGTCAAGGACCCCAAGCGAACGCACTAGCTCGGGCGCAAGGGCAAGGTGGTAGGCTTTTGAAGTGTACGAGAAGTTGAGTAGAGATGCTCGGTTGGCGTTGTGGACTTTTCGAATGTCGTGGACCCATTCCCAGCCCTCATCGTGATCCAAAAGCAGTGCGCCGGGCCAGTCAGGGCGAAGAAAGGACGCGATGTGGCGAACCAGCTCTAGCAGAAGGTCGGAAAGCTTCGCCATGAGGGCGTCGAGTACGATTAAGCGGTGCTTGTTAGGGTTACAGGATCGCGTCGGCGGTTGGGAGGTCGAGCAATAAATAGCAGATACCTATCTCCAAAGATCTTGGTTAGAGGAGGATAATAACTGAGAGGGAGACTGAGTACCAATGAAAAGGGTTATCTTCACACGCTGTGGCCGTGACTGGCAGAGATCAATCTTTGCCGTGTGCGGTTTGGCGGTTGACAGCTTGAGAAATGTTGAGGAGAAGCTGGGAAACCGGATATCTTCAGGGCGACAACTTTCTCTGTATCTTCGTGTATCTTAGCCGTTATTGTCGCCGTCCTCTCTGTGTTGCTAGTGAATTGATTTTAGATAAAACCTTGAGTCTGACAGGTGAATTGCGAAAATCAGCCTCGCCATGAAAGTGGTGTTGAGAAGGAAGGTGAAGAAATTGCGCTGTGCTAAGGTCATGTGGGAGGTGTCGCAATTCAATCTGAGAAAGGAAGGAAGGCTCCAGTACCTGAACGTAGCTTCCTTCTTGCTTCTCGTATTGTGCGGTCGAAGAAAGCTGCCGCATGGCCACAAAGGAAGAAAACTGTTCAAGATCAATAGGCATCCACCGACGCAGGCCCGGGACACCAAAGGACCGACCATGAAGAGCGATGGTACTCATTGTCTATGACACAGCAACAATCCTCATCTGCCTCAATTCTCTCACCTCAAAACACTATCCTCATCCAACCATGAATTTGGCTAGATGGGCAGTGTCTATCATGAATGCGTGTAATCAGTATATCCGATTGTGCGCGGCCCCCTTTGTTTTCCTGTCGTCTCATCGTCCACTATTGTTGTTGTTTCTGTCGCCACCGTGGTCTTTCGCCGTCGCCGTCTATACTCATCATATATCGTCATCGTCCATCGTCATCGTCCATCGTGGTCACTTCCCATCGTGATTATCATCTATCGTTGTCGTCTAATTTTATCATTGTTATCGCTATCCCTAGCGTCTTCTCTACTACTATCGGCCCAACCGACGGACGTCATTCTCTTGTTGTCGTATGTATCCGCTTGTCAAGGCCTACTTGTCTTCGTCTTCTCCTGCCTACCCATCTCCGAACCAGGCAAATCCAGCAAGATCGTGCCTACCACATGGCAGGGCGTGGATCAACTGTCGTTCGCAACGGGACGTACTCCGCGAACGCCTCCTCAAGCTCATCGTCCCACTGTCCCCTGCTCAAAGCAATCTCCCGCAGATTTCTCAGACCTCCCATCTTGATGCGTTGGACCATGTCCAGCAGACTTTTTCGGATCGGGCGCACTCCTCCACCTAGGTGCAAACGCTTCAACGACTCAGGAAGCCTTGGGAGAAAGGTCTCGAAGACCTCATGTTCTGCCAAGTTACTGTCATCTGTGTCGCTCTCATTACTGTTGTGGCCCTGACTTTCGCTGTTATCGATGTTATCTTCTTCGTCGTTATCAGCGAAGGTGCATGTAGTGATCCATAGCTGCGTCAGACTGGGCAGGTCGCCAAGCGTCGCAATGCGATCATATACACGCTGGTCTTGCACGTAGTGCCAGGTGCTTAGGTCCAGACAAAGGGTGATCAAAGTCTTGCATTGATCCTGTATGGCATCCATGAATGCATCGAGATCCGAGGACGACATCATCAGAGCTACGAATCGAACGCAGACAAGCTTCCTCAGGGCTAGACAGTCGCGAACCGTCTTAGCCAGAAGAGGTATCTCCATGTGAACTTTGTCGAGCACCAAAGAAGTGACAGTAGAAACATTGAAATGCTGGCGGAGGACGGAGTTGTGGAAGCATCTTTCAGAACCGGGTTTCGTCCACAGACATGGTTCCAGTTCTTCGATGTACTCCAACCCTAAATCGCTAATAGTGAGAGCTTGAAGGATAGGAATAGACAACGGTGTGGGTGTGTTTGAATTGGGATTCTGGTGAGTTCGAGCGACCGAGAGAACCTGGGCCATGGTTCGCAGCGTCGGTTGCTCCACACTAAGTGTGAGCTTCTGGAGACTTGGAAGGCGAATAAGAATGAGCGCAAAGCAGTAACCAATGAGGTAACGAGACGGCACAGCAGCGGTCGAGTCGAGAGATTCGAGACAAGGCACATCAAGGCTCATGGGCCCGAATGAATCCAGTAAAGTAGCCACCTTCGCTTCATAAAAGTCTATGAAATCCCTGGTCACTGTTGGATGTCGTGCGTGGACGTAGAGATGTCGGATAGAGGTGCGTACAGTGTTGTTGCAGTCGATAAGTCGGAGAAGCGATACCATCCTCTTCAACGCCGTTCTTTCGTAAAGCTTGTGGATTCCGGCAATGGTGTAGTTTTGCTCAACTGAAGCTCGAGTGAAGGCCCTGTGAGAAAGGGCAAAGCTCGCTAAAGCGTGGCGCTTCTGACTGTTTTCGTGAAGAAGATCGCTGACGGTGAATTCAGTGTCGTAGTAATCTTCTGCCGATGCTTTCTCATGGCCTGTCGCGACTGACAGCTTGCCATCCAATCGAGGTCGAAGAATCTTGATAATCATGAGAATTATCTCGGGAGGAAGGTCAGTCAGCTTCGCCATCTTGGTTGCCGATCGCTGGCGAGCAAGGTCCAGTCAACAGGGACGCAAATGGGGGAAGCGACGTCGATTCTGGCGAGTCGCACGGCTAGAAGAAAGTTAGCAGAGGAACGATAGGGGTAGCGATAAAGATAGCGACGCTGGATTACACGTACGAAGAAAGACGACGACAAAGGACGATGACGATGGACACTGCCGGGATAGCCAACTGGCGCTGCCTGGCCAGCAAAATTCTTCCGAGCACGCAGGATCGTCAGGCTCGGAAGCAGTCGTACTTCGATTCCTGGCGACTGCGTGAACTTTGCTTAGTCGATTGACAGGTTGTGCGTGTTGTTATTCTGGAGTGGGTGGTGGGACAGGAAAGTGATGTCGGTAGGTGCCTGAAGGTGAGTGTGAGATTGTGGAGAGTGGAAAGTCCACTACGTGATAGTCGAACGCAGTGGAAGGCGCGAATGATGAAGCAGGCAACGAAATAGGAAAGTGCAATCGGGCAAGACCAGAATGTAGGTTGTTTTCTACAATGCTTGCCTGTTTCGAAATTCTTTGCGACGTATGATCTCAGGAGTCCCAGAGACAAACCTATTTCACTGAGGTTTCAAAGAGCCTACGTAATGAACGTGTCAATCTCAGGATTTACGCCATGAGCTTTCCACGTTCTGTTGCACCACCTCAACCTCGTTACTTCCAGCTGGCATATGGACGCGATTGTACTCAGTAACCTATATGATAAACGTCGTAGAATGGTGTTATTGAATTTGACTGCGATACCTAAGTTGCGGAGTTTCTAGTAAATTTATTGCTCGCGGCTACCAAAAAGCTGGGGTTTGACTAGAATTCACGCATAACAGAACTCCCCTTCTCCTCAACATTTCATGCTTCCATATCAAACCTGTGAATTCTGAATCAGAATATTGAAAACACAACGCATCGTTCCCAACTCCCTCAAAGGTACTAGAGATCTTCTCTTCAGGGATCAAGTAGGTGGACCTTTTGGAAGTCACACCGGCGACATGGAAGACCTTCAACGACGGTGGGATAGTCCTCAAGAAAGGGATGTATGTTATACTTGCATCCAATGCTGCTTCGCTCCAGACCTCTTTGTGAATATTCTTGTCCCAGAGAGCATCGGTAATGATCCACCGTAGTGTGCTTGTCGAAAGACTCAGCCTCCTCAATGCCGTGAACTCCCCCAAACAGCGCAGGGGGCCATGATCTCTCCGGTAAATGAAGCTGGGGAAATCGAGGCATAATGTCTTCAGAGTGGCAGTGTGCTTTTTAAGCATGTCAATCGTATCCCCAGGACTAGGTATCGCAGACAAAACTGATCCACTCATACCGCTGTAGATGAACGTGAACTTTTCCAATGCCTGACATCTGCTCAAAACGTGATGAAGTTACGATTTTGAGATGGAGCAGCCGCTCAGTACGATCGAGCCTAGCTTTGGTGCGATGTCTGCGAGAGCATCTCCTACCTCGAAGCCATGTATGAAAACCTCCGCTCCAGCATTCCAAGAGAAGAGAGCTCCGAATCCAGGGTCAATCAGCGCTACCGAGCCCGTCTTAGCCGCATCCCAGGAGTCTCGCCCTATGGCCAGAGATCGGAGGGTTAAAAATTCGCGAATCCTGTTTCCTTTTCCGTCCTGTTGCGGCTTACGAATGACCTGTGAGGCAAATTCCGTGATTCCTTGAAGTACACGCGTCGGAAGTGATAGTGCCAAGTGTTTCACACTCTTGAATTTCAAAAGTATGATGCCGATGAGATGCGCGAAGAATCGTACGAAGCCTTTTCTAGAGAGGGCTCTGCACCACGTCCCGCTCTGCGGGTCATAGAAGCTGTTCGACGTTGGCGCCCGGAAGGCCTCGAGACCCATCGACGACGCCACACTATCCATTGCTGCAACATCGTCCACTGATACTTTTTGTTGATAATAGACATCCCAAAACCCGATATAGAGCTGTTGAACCGATTTTGGGTTTAGTGCGCCAGTATGAGCATGTCGGAGTAAGGAAACCAATCTGCGCGTAATATGCCAAGCTGACCGCTTGTGTACTTCAATCGAGCCTTGTAATTCATGAACACTCATATTCCGATACGTCTTGCATGCTGCAGAGAAGTTGAAGAGTGTATTCCGACTGTCCCTAGCGCTGCAAACGATGCTGATTCTGCCATCGATTTCTTCTGCAATGAGTTGTTTCCCTTCATAGTTGGTGCGAAGAAAGGAACAGATATGAAGGATCAACTCAGGGGGAAGGTCTTGAATAAAAACCATGGTAAAGGGTCGTTTAGATTGAGATCGTGGTTAGGAGTGGGATTTTGCATATGTGAGGAACCAGTTTTGGCGGACGAAGAGAAGCAGAATCAAAGAGGCTTAAGGCACTCTCGGCTTTTATTTTGAAGATTTGGTGGCGTTATAAGTTTAGAAAAGAAAAGTGTGACACCTTTCATACCTTCATGTGGCGGCCTAACACATGATCAAGGCTTTGCGATGGGGTTCGAGGCGTTCTCTACATGAATTCGAAAAGGTAGTCCACACTTAAGCGTAAAAGGTGCAGGCTGGGTTCATGAACTAAAAGTTTCATAAAAGTAGACATTTGGCAATGTGATTGATGCATATTCAACCGAAATATGTATACATGTCACCGAAATCTAATGTACAAGTTCAAGCTTGCTCGACCATGCTCTCTAGGTCCACATCCACATAGCACAAAACATCTGCCTGCCAAATGACCCAAGACTAGTCTACCACAGTTGTGGAAGAGGATCGATCTCGAATTTTATATTGAATCCATGACTGTTGCCACATTGAAGTAAATGTTTGGTGGGCCAATCCTGCGCAGCTTCATCGATGGCGAGGACGTTGGGCAGGCGTTGCATAGTGTGTTCTGAGGCGTGTTTCTCCCACATTGACAACAAGTCGAAGAGAAGGAATCTCACCGGTCCGCTCAAGTGAAACTTCTTCAGAGAAGCTGGTAAACGGTGAAAAGCGGGATGCCTTATTTCGTAATCCGAAAGTTGACTGTCGTTTCCACCAGCAAATGTGCCATTATTGGCGGCTAGTCCTAGCAATTTCTCCTGGATAGTCCGGCACATGCTGGGGACGGATCCGATTGAGGCTGACATATAGCTTCTTGCTATGAGCGTCTCTGGATCGCAAGCACCTCCTTGTTTGAATTCGAAGAAGGAGTCGACATGCAGCCACAGGTTCTCCAGCGCGGTGAACGTTTCTAGCGACTTGATCGGATGGACTTTCCTCAGACTCCGGCAGTCTATGCAGATCGTTCTCAGGGTCTTTGCGTGTACCTCAAGAGCTTCAATGACATCGCCAGCCGTCAGATCTCGGCCATTGTGAGCGACTTCGCCCTGTGCCACGTAGATGAACTTTGTAAGCTGTCGGCAGTCGGACAGCGTCTGGCGCAGGGCCTTGGGGCCCATCAACATCTTCACCAGCACGATCGACGTTAGGTTTGGCGTTAATTGTCCGCGGAGGGACTTGCAGTCGTCGAAAATACAGACCTCCGAGCGATCATATCCATGCGAGTAGACTTCGGCTCCCGGGGCAAGTGGGAAGAGGCAGTCGTATCCGCGGTTGCACATGACCCAGTCTATCTCGGTCCGTTGCGGATTTCGAAAGGAAAATGAACGCACTGTGTTGAGCGGGGCGTACCTCTGCCTGTGGCCTGTCGGCCCGCGCGCCGAGGTATTCTGCTCTACATCCGACCCATCACCCTCGACGTCTCGTGTGCCGGTGTCGTCGCTGCTGGAGTTGAGGCTCTGAGCAACAAGCCGGCGATTCATACAGCCTTTGTAGAATTCCTGTAAGTATCTCCACGTGTATGGCGTGACATTAAAAGCCATATCGTCAACACGAGGCAAGTGGAGGATGATGGCCAAGAGAAGGGTCCCCATGAGTGCTTCTGAGTCGTCCATTTGAATGGCTTCGCTGAACTTGACTTCTGAATGCCAACTGTTGCCGGGTATAACTCTGTCATAGTCGAAACCAATGGATTGCAAAGCCTGGATGACGAAGTCCCGTCTGTCGTCGGGGATCTCGGCAGGAGTCGCGTGCGCTTCGTCAACAAATACGAATAGTTTCCGGATCGACGAGAACTGCGCGGGGTATTTCCTGACCTCCCAGAGAAAACGAATCATTAGGAAGATGGCCTCTTGACTGTCTTTGGCGTAAAACCCAAAGTTGGTCTCGCGCCAGGTTGACTCCAGAGGGAGAGTGCTGAGCCTCTTGCATGTGAGGGCAAGATTCACGAGTCCGGCTCGATCGCGTCGAATGTGTTTTGAAATGTCATGGGCGACTGCGGCGGAGTTGGACTGGGCTCTGGCGATTTCATCCAAAATGCGTTTGCCGGTGTAAGGCGCTGGAATGAAGGAGTAGGTCATTAGGAGCAACTCCATGGGGAGACCACAGAGCCCTGTCATCGTTTCTACCTGCGCTGGTGGTTGATCTATGATGAAAGGCATGATGACATGACAATAACGACCCACGCTGGCACAAAGAAGTGCGAAACGAGGTCCAAAATGCCTCCACGAAAACTTTCGCAAATGCAGGCACTTTTAAGGGTTAAATGTGTGTTGTGGATGGCACAGTCAGGCTTTTAAATTGGGCGCCCACATAGACGGCAACATTCGTAGAGGTATCACACGTGATGCAGGCGTGTACGGAGTCTGGGCATGCAAAGCTTTGGGTCACCTGATTCTATAAATAAAGTCGCCATGGGGCGAGAGGCCACAGCTGTTCTTCCATTCCATCTTGCAGTCCATTTCCCATAACCTGGATGGCCCACGACAAGCCCGCCACGCAGGCTACGAAAGCTAATTCTCAGGAAGCCTCCCACATAACCGCATCCACCTCTGTGATCGTCACCGGGACACCGAATTTCTCAAACTCTTCCTGCATATCCTCCACGATGCCGTCGTGATTGTCAAGGTCCTTCAAGTAGACGCGCTCCAAGTTGGTAAGATAGTCGAGATTCTCCGCAAAGTTGGGGAGAACATACTTGGAAAGCTCAAGCTCATGAGTGAAGCATATTCTCTTCAAACTCGTTGGTAGGGACCAAAGAGCGTCTTCGTAGTAATAATATAGTTGCTCTCCTTTTTCGTATACGGTCGTAATTTCGAACTCTCCACGGTAGAGGCTGTCTCCGTCGATCCAGAGGTTCTCGAGATTCTCGAATTCGTCCAAATAGTCGATGCCAGACTTCCCGTAAGATACCCAATTATCGGAAAGGTCGATCACAAGGCTGCGAAGGGTCTTGGTGTGCCGCTCGCCCTGCCGGAGACCATCAAGAGCGTGCAATGGGTCGATTCCGTAGCCGGGTTCCGTATCCGAATCATTGAGGTGACCGACGAGCCGAAAGTCCAAGAGAGGGCCATAGTCCGCCATGACGGAGTCAAACGCATCGTGGTATTCACCCCCGGAGATGGTGCCGGCGATGGTGAGGTGCGTAACATTTTCGAATAAGCTGGGACAGAGGCCTGCGGACTCCAAGCCCATGCGCACTGGATACAGGTTGTCGATGTACAAGTGCGTGGGCTCAGCACCGATCTTGCCGATAATGGAGTACAGCCCCCTAAAGACGGGAATGGTGCCCTTCACGGGCCTCAAAGCGAGAGAGCTGAGCTGGGGACAAAGGGGACGCAAATTGAGGTCGGAGTTCTGTCCCAAGTCGTAATGGGAAGATGTCATCGGCTCGCCTCCTGAGAGGGCGAAGCCAAGTTCTTGCAGGTTGGGGAGGTTGGCAAGCAGAAGGAGAGTAATCGTCTCAATGCGATGACCATGCCATCCTTGATCGTTGCTCAGCCAGGCGTCCTCCGCCCATTCGACACCCTTGTTGGAAGCTTGCTGACGCAGGAAAGCGACCGAGGTCTCGTCGAAGCGGTGATTCGTCCGCTGAGACTGTTCGAGGTTCAGATAGACTGTGTGAATCCAGCCTTGGGCCTCGGAATGTTTGTCGAGAAATTTGAGGCAAGAGACCATTTTCCGAGTCGCGTTCGGTCCCGTGAAACTGATAGTGGACCAGGCCCGTCTCATGACACATTTGAGGCGATCGTGGGCGAGAGATATATTCCGGAGATCATCGAAGCCGCGCAGAAGACAGCGGCTGATGGCGCGATCCGAGTCGATCAAGTCATCTTTGTGGGCCTGGGCAAAGGCTTCGTCGATGGTCATTCCGCGATGGCGTAGCAAGTCGGCAATGATGAAGAGAACGTCGTCTGGAAGGTTGGTAAGCTTCGCCATTGTGTGCTTTTGCCTGAGTCTGGATGCAAGAGTGCAGTATAGGCAAGCTTTTGGGATGAGTTTCTTGTTCGAATTTGTGGTGGTGAAAATGGTGATGGACGCCAGTTGCTCAACTTGGAGGCGAAAATTTGCTGACAACGGAAAAAAAAAGGAAAAAGGAAAGGAGTTGAGGAAGGAGTATGTTGGAAGGACTTGCCTGCCTACGTGGCAAGCCTTGCTCCAGTTCCAGCCGGGAGCAGCATTCTCGGGGAGTCGACAGGCTTGATTGAAGAGATGTCTCTGTGTGAACTGCCATCAAAGACGTGGTACGAGTAAACCTTTCTGGCAGTTGAACTTCAAAGGATGTTCTTCGGTGGCTAAGTTTCCAAGTGCACCATAATAACAACAGATACACCATTGTGCCATCGTGACTCCCAAAGCCTGCATGTTGTTGAGACTTGCTGCATTTGACCCCATTAAATATCTAGATGGGGTCACAATCAGATTGAAATATCAGTAGTCAAGATTGTTTGGCAGGTTTGAAAAGCAAAAAATACTGCTTTCTGCTTGATACGTGGCTCTGACATCCACGTACCTGTTTGCTTGAGGAATCGGCCTTTGACCAGCCATCCTTGGTGAGTTTTTAGTCGACGAAGGCCACAGAAGAGCTCAGGAGGCTAGTAATTGGTATTGTACGGTATGAAATGTTGTCATTGTGTCTATGTCCTCATTGTTTGTTCATTGTTCGCTTTGCCCGCGTGCTTTTTTGGTCATAACTCTCGTCCCTAGATGGACTCCTCCGTTCGACTGTGGTGGAAATTGGTCTGATCTGTCGCAAGTTCCTCTATCATTATATCTCTCGCCAAATTTTGTTTTTGCTCCATATTTCGATCTCACTGTCCCTTTGTAACCCTCTAGAGACACTTTCCGCCGGTTTTGTAGCCACAGCCAAGGTGGAAGCCATCGGGAAGGTCGCAGCTGCCTTGCTGGTTGTTGGGGTCGGTCGATTTGTATGCGTTTTCATTGCAGCTGCACATTTTGCATCTGTGGCTATCGTACTTGACGTCGCCGCAGTAGCACTTGACGCAGCCGCCGAAGCAGTAGTGCTTCGCGGTCACGGCAGTGGCCAGGGACATGAGGGCTAAGACGGTGGCGAACTTCATTTTGTGCGGAGTATGATTAAGTTTGCGGCTGTGTAGCTGAGAACGTCTTGTAGGAAGAAACGAATGCGAGTTTGTTTTGATAGGGAACGTGTCTTATAAGCAGAAGAGTGTTCGACTGAGTTGAGTGAAGGTTCGCAATGCTTTTTATACGCAGGACGCTGTCAGGTAAATTTGCGATTGTTCGGAGTCGGCAGGAGTTTCCTCTCCATGGCCGTCTTGGAAACTTCGGCGGCAATTCCTTGAATTGTTTATTTTCGATATTAGTTGCAGCGATGCTCAATTACATTCTGGCTCTACGTCTATTGGCGAAGATTTCGTCGCGGGGGACTTATCGCAGAGCTGTATGTTGTGTGCGGAACGGGGAAGCCGAGATTAAGTGGGCTGCCGTCGTACCCCGGCCCGCCCGATCGCGTCGATCCTTTCCCCTGTCAGCCTTAACACGGCCAACCGCAACGATCGCACCGGCAAATATTTTTTGACTAGAAACAAAGTTTGCACGTATCAACAAAAACATTAATAGCTCCCGAGTTAAACCATTCGATCAGTCGTTAAAGAGTTGCAGCAATTCTGCCTCTGTCATGCAAGGCTTGGCTGAATATCTGGGAAAGCTCGCCTCGGCCGAATGATGCGGCAAAGTTTGGAGAACTTTGGATTTGAAGGACTTCAGAACTGATAACGGGTAGATAAGCAGCTTCAAGTATTACGACGAGACTCTTGGTCGACTCGTCTACAATATCGCGTCCTTTCTCCATCCCCCACAATTCGGGCATCCCGGCTCAAGCGTCCCGTCACCATGACTCGGACAAGCGTGCATACCATGGCCAGCAATGCTAGGTGTTTATGCAAGAGACTATGCTAAGAACCCTGTGAAAGACCAGAAGCAACAACAACAGCGCATCTCTTTTCCAATTATTACTTTTGGTATTCAGGTGTGGAAAATCAAGAAAGGGGAAGCTTTTGTGACTGTGAACGTTGATGATTGCAACTGCCGGGGCTTGGCTGAAGGAAGAAAAAGACTAAATCATGTGGAGAAGAATGCATCGAGTCATTTCATTGGGGATGGTGGACAAAGATTTCAATAAGACGAGGAAAGAAAACTTTCAGAAAGTCCCATGAGAACAGTTGGACTGCGAATCCTTCTAACGGACAGCAACGCTTTGCAACCAAAACGCTCATTTAAAGCGGTGCCAAGCCCCTTTATCTCTCATAGCAGCCCTCTTCCTCCTCAGCAAGCTTTCACGGCCTACAAATCGACCACCACATGAACATTTTCAACTCCTTTGCATGTCAAGTACTTGACCCTCGATCCCAAGACCTGTGTCCATCTACCTGCGGCCTGTCGCCACTTGAATGTCATTGTTGTACATGACATTCTCTACACCACTGTCTCTGTTGACTGGTCTTTTTCTTAGTTGATCGGTGTTCTGAGATAGATAATCACCAAGCCTGAACTTGGACGGTCGGTCCAGCGAATACACGTCAACTCCGCGAGAGCCTGCTGCGACAACAATCCCCCAATTCAGCCCGATGACTTGAACTTCCTCAGTCAGACGGCGTCCCCAATGCTGGTACCCAAACACTGAAAATGCTCTGAGAGCTACGAATCTCTGCACAGAATCGCCAGAAACCGGATTCTAATTTCTCGTGCAACCTCTCCTAAAATTTTCAGCGAACGTCTCAGACTTCGGCTACGACATGCCCTCGCAGCCCTTCGCCCATCTCGTTGATCATGAAATGAAAATCAAACTGTCCCGCCTGCAATCGTTATCGATTCGATCCAATTCTAAAAAAGTTTCCCGCCTACCATACAATCACCGATGACACTGGGGCCTGCCCGCACACTCTGCTTCGAGATTCCATGGGGCTCTATATCTCGCGACTACCAAATGAACCTACCTAGCGTTACCTCATTGATCTTGATGGTTTTTCCAGGGTCCTTGGTCGTCATGAGCACTTTCACCCAGGCTTGCCATCCACTGGCCAGTTTCGCGTTCAAAGGATAACGCCCGTGCCATCCTGTTGATAACACGATGTCCCCAAGCCAACTGGTGGACTGCTTGCAGCAGAGGTATGCCGCTACGCTGCGCACTATCTGCATCGAATTCAGCTTCCATGACCGTCACCCGGAAGTGATTACCTGTCTGGAGGCTTTCCCCATTTTAGAGATACTTCTGCTGAGCATCCGGGCTATCCCGCCTCCCCATAGGATCTCACAGGTCACTCTCGGCAGAACGGTTCACCGAACTCCTATTTTGTGATTCCTTCCAGTGACTCTCCACCGTCTCTGTACCTGTGGCGATCTACATTATTTGCATCACATAAGTCGCGATCTCCAATGCCAGAAGCGAAAGATTAGCTAAGGGAAATGTCGTCTCCGCGTTCTCCGAGCCGCAGAGGATGGTGTTCGGCAGAACAGGAGGAACACTTTGGGCGTTTGATGGACTTTGAATCTTTTTCAATATTTCCTGCAAGTAACAGGACACAGGGCCAGTTTCTCACGCTGGATTTCCGGAACGAATTAGCAGGATGTGTCAATTGGTTAACGAAGGCAGGCTGTATTGTGATGGGTCACATTGTCTTTCTCTCGACAATGACAAGGGCTCGTATTTTTGAGGGGCTGGGTTCTGGTAAGTACCTGTTGAGGATAGAATGAAGATAATGCAACATGAAGAACATAAACAAGCACAAAACAGATGGCGGCAATTTCATGATGTCAGAGCAACTGGAGGTATTATTTCGTCTAAATAGCTGGGGATTTCCGCGCACATCGCAGGATCCGAGACTTTTATGAGGCATGTGTGCCTGGTTTGATGGGATTCTTTCACACCGAATCTTCCTCTATTAGCATCGGATAGGTATCCAGCTCTCCAAGCGACATGTGACAGGATTCTTACTCGATAAACCTCGCTAGCCCCAGACCTCATCTTGCCAAGCAGGCCACGCCGGGGCAGGGCTTGCATCCCCAGAGCAGCTTGCATACAGCTTGGGGTCCTCGATCACAGTACCTTCGGGGAGGTCCAGCCCTAGAGTGTAATCTGGGTAGACCCCAGAGCTAAAAGCTCCGCCACCCCTGCCATTGGACCAGAAGATACGGAAGGGGATGTACTCCTCCACGGTTTCAAAGTAGATGAACTCGCTGTAGGGATATGAGCGAAAGCCCTTCTGAACTGTGATATCGGCATTATTCGCGTTGAAGCCTGACTTGGCCTTATCCCCGAGCCAGACCATCACCACGTCGTCAGCCTCACCAACAATGAACTCGTAAGATCCGCTGAGAGATGCTTTGAGGTAGCCGCGATGGACAAGAATATTGCACTTGATCGTTGATCCTGCGGAGCCTTGAACCCCTCTATAGTTGATTGGTTGGTTCTCGTCATTTTGGCTGTATCTTGGAACTTCTGAGTGTCCAATACCGACCGGAACACGACCTTGCACGAGATTCTTAAGATTGTACGTATTCGCCCTGACATCTGCGTTTTGAAGAGTGTTCCTACACAAGGTTGATCTCTCTTCAATCACATGGAGAGCGAACTCAGCGCCTGGCGTGCAAGAAGCTGAAGCGGTTGAAGAAGCAACACTTGTCGGCGCCGTCACAGGGATGGTGGTCGGCTTGATACCGTCAAAGCATTGACATGCCGACCAATAGGCAGCTACATCAGGGCAAGAGCTGGCGTATGCAGGCTTTGTGCCAAGGACCCTAGGCGTAGGGGTCTCTTGACGCGGGCCGTGGACGTTTCTCTTTTGCACCGGGGATGGAACCGACAGAGTAACAGTCGGCTGAGGTCTGTCCTCAGGTCAGCATATAAGCCACCTTGGGGAAGTTGTTTTGGACATTCTAGCTTACATAGCAGGCACCGTGGCATAGGTACTCACGAAGGCCGCACAAAGAGATGATCTCGAAGCAAGAGATGGATCATTCCTACCCGTGCCCGCAACTTGGCGGCCGCAGTTATTGTTGCATATTGCTGCAGACGCAACGCGGGAAAGGAACAAGAAGATGCTTAATGTTGCTGGCGACTTCATGGTGAGTCAGGAAATGATAAAAGCTGATCGAAGGCTGAAGGAGGCTCTAGGACTTTTAAGGAGAGCTACATTCGACACGATGGGAACATCGATCTTAAATAGTTGATGCCAAGAACTATTTTGAAATCGTGAATACAGCAAAGTGACCCCGACGATAACCCGGACGGTCAATCTGTTGAATAAGTAGACTAAGCCTTGGCTTCTCGCCCTCAATTTTCCACATGTGGCGTAGCGGCTGAGCGTTCGGTATGCAGTCGGGCATCCCTAAGAAGGGAAATAGCCAAGCTGAAGGAAGGGATGTGCGACGTCTTAGATATTAAGACAATTGTCGTACAACTCACGAATGTCTATCCCTGCGCAAGCCATCTGCCTCTGAACGTGGAGAAGCTTACCTGCTTTTAAGGCCATGGCAAGACAAGCCACATTCGTCAATTAAACTAAGAATGACTTACCATCCATGCAAAGGGAGAGGTTCTCCGATTCATGTTCTCGGAATATTTGCAAGGGAAGCAGATGATTCAATTTCTTCCATGTATGTGTACAAGAGTCTCTTCGAGTGCCAATACCAGTGGTGATGTTGCTGGCAATCGGCTCCTCGAAGTCCCACGCAAGCAACTTTTGGGATAGCCACCCGCTGAATAGTGCCGAGGGTCTCAAATCGAAGCCTGCATGCCGCTCAGCTATTTGGCCTTGAGCCACTTTCTACGGCATCGGCGAATGATTCAGATGTGAAATTCACTTTTGAGGCGACTTAGCGATGAGAATTGGCGTGTTAGAAACGGAAAACTCGATCGTGGATGGCATCCTCTTTCAGTACACATTCGAAAAGGTCAATGCACAAGGTTGGAAAGAATGAGATTAGTATTAAGATTTATAAGAGGTGATAGTAACAACCCTCAGTTCTCTGGCATCTTCATAAATGGTACTTGATCTCTAGACAACTGAGATACGTCGAGGAAGAAATTGGTCGCAGCCAGCTTCTCGCCCTATTCAAAATTCATTCACGGAGTTTGCAGTTTGCTGCGGAGGTCACATGATAACAGAGCTTCCTATAGCGGTTTGAGAGTTCCTACGACGTCATTAACAATGGAAAAAAAGAGCCAACCTCCAGTCCGAAGGTGTGTTCAATGTTGACAAGCTCGTATCCATCAAGTTGGGTTGCATGGGAAGTGGTACGTATCGCGTCAGCAGGTTGCAGTAGTGCACGATTCAAGTGGGCGGTCTTTCGTCGACGACATGGATACACATCAGTCCAGTGTGGACAACGAATATTTCCCCTCCGTCATCTATCCAATGTTTGTAATTCTTGTCAAGCGCGGAGTTAGTCGAGACCATGCCGACTTGCCCGCTGACACTTTTCTTTTGTATCATGGCTCTATCCGTTCGGCATGTTGCATGATCAACGGGGCAGATAAGCCTAGTGACTCAGTCACGGTATCTGAGTATGGGATAATTTGAGAGTTAGCCGTGACAGCGTATTATGTTCAGAATTTCTTCGTGTCTGGATTTGGCGGTGAGTAGCTGTATTTTGCGTACAGCATGCCATTGCGAAACCCCCTGGCAGGATGCCGGCTTTCTGCCAGGATTTCGTGACAATAGCTGTCATGAACGCGGATTTATCGCCCTTAGCGCCTCTATCGTCCGGCAGCGTATCCAGCAGATACTCTGAGATAACGAAAGGAGGAGGGGTCTTGGAAACATGGCATGGCAGGAAGATCGTGATACGTGAAACCCTGTGATCTACCTCCCGAGGCGTGAAATACAAATACCACGTACATCCAAGAAGAAGGTAAGGCATCATATAATACATCTCATCAGAAGTTATCGTTCACTCGGACTAGTATTAGTCTACCTTACGTTTGATCTTCCCGCATGAGACTGACGAAAGATAGCAAAAATGGCTCCTCAACTCCAATTCGCACTTGATTCACCTTTGGCTCGTCATCGCCAGTTGTCGCCCACCGCAGCTATTCGCGTCTCCCCGATTGTTCTTGGGGCAATGAACTTCGGAGACAATTTCAAGGAAAGAATGGGAGAATGCACCAAGGAAACGGCCTTCGCCATTATGGATCACTACTACAGTCAAGGCGGCAACTTCATCGACACCGCGAACAACTACCAGCTTGGCCAGTCCGACGAATGGGTAGGCGAATGGCTTGCTTCTCGCGGCAATCGCGACGACATTGTGCTAGCAACGAAGTACAGCAGCGCTTACATGACGCACGATAAGCAGCGGCTCCAGTCCAACTACGGCGGCAACAGCATCAAGTCACTCAAGCACTCTGTCGAAAAGTCTCTGAAAGCGCTACAGACCTCATACATCGACATTTTGTACCTCCACTGGTGGGACTATTCTGCCTCTATTCCAGAGGTGATGCATTCGCTTAACGATCTGGTCGTATCCGGCAAGGTGCATTACCTGGGCATCTGGGATACCCCTGCCTGGGTGGTAGCTAAGGCGAACCAATATGCGAGGCTGTCGGGCTTTCGCTAGTTTGTTGTTTATTAAGGCAACTGGAATGCCTCTATGCGAGATTTTGAGCGAGAAATCATCCTAATGTGCATGAGTGAGGGTATGGGTATCTGTCCCTGGGGAGTTCTTAATGCTGGCCGCTTTTAAACTGAGGAAGGTTTTAAGGAGCGCGAGAAGCATAACTCTGGACGACAGAACATGGTATCGGAATATGATAAGGTGTCAAAAGCACTGGAAAGGGTTGCAAACGTGAAGGGTGCATCCCTGATAGATGTCGCCTTGGCGTATGTGATGCATAAGGCTCCTTTTGTGTTTCTTATTGTTGGTGGCTGGAAGTTGAGTTATATCGAGGGTAATATTAAGGGGCTTGGTACTAGTCTTAACGAGGAGGATATCTGGATGATTGAGAGGTTTTATGACTTTGATCCTGGATTTCCTCACACTTTCCTGAGTGGTACCTCACTTTTCGGCGGTCTCCCTTGGGGCGCGTATTACCTAGGAGATGTATGGCTAACCAAACTCATGGGTAACTTTGACTGGGTTGAAGCTCCTTAAGTGATTACCCCTAAGACCTCCTAATTAGGAGCTTTATGTAGAAAGTATATGTGGGTAGCTTAAAATTCTGTAAACTATTATTACCTGCAAACTGAATGAATAATATTAAAGCTTTGAGGTATATGTAATAAAGATGACTGAATGTAAGAGGAAGTTGTAATCTATTGCCTGGAGATGCAGCCTAATGAAGAATCTCGCTTGATCTGCAATCTCTGTTAGGATGTATTAATTCTGAACGGGCTTGGTTGAAGTGGTTGAGCGCTCTGAAATATTTCTGTTTAGCCTGAGCTGTCACTAGGGCATGGAAGCGTTATATGAGTGTGCTGCTATTTTGTAGTTGATCATAGTGGCTATGTGTGGTTGATGACGAAAATAATTGGGTCCCTTTGAGGGATGACTGAGTGATACCTAGGTATGATTAATGGCGGTCTCTTCAACTAGACTCCTGGATTCTGTAGCGTTTTCGATATGTGAAATGATTGGCTGGAGTTAAGGCATATAGTATGCTGATATGGTCTAGGTGTTATGGCTTGGTTCACGTCTGGGTTGGGGTGGAGACTGGAAATTGGCATCCGGCCTAATTGCTTTGACCATGGAGTGGTGATGGATTGTATAAGCTTAGAGTGGAACTAGAGATGAAGGTATTAGGAAATAACAGTATTTTTTGTTGTTGTTGTTGTTGTTGTTGTATTTAACGCCGAGGCGGCAAGGGCGCAACCGCCCTTGCGGCCGACCTCCCGAAGGGTATATGGCGTGAAGGGCCGCAGGCTCAAGCTATATACTCTAAAGTACACTCCTCTTCCTA